GCCGGGAGCGTGTTTTGGACCAGCGCCCCCTGCCGGTTACCTTAGGACCTCAGCCGTCTCAGACACTCCTTTCGCGCCAACAGACGCTCCGTAGCAGCCGTGCATAACGAAGTCGCTTTCTCTCTCTCTCCCCCCCCCCCCGCGTAAGGGCACCTTTGTGTTGAGTGAGGTGGGGGGGGGCTGCTTGGCTACGGAAACTCGAGCGCCTTGGCGCGAGAAGGATGCTCACGACGACACGATCCTGGACAGACCCGTTTACATAGCTGTCAACTTACAGATTTGAAAATTAGGGACCAGCAGCCTCGAAAATAAGGGCTCAGCAGCCAAAATAAGGGATTTTGCTTAGCTTATACAGAAATCCGCCACTGATGGAGCCATGCTGCTTTGGCTGCCACTGACTGTGTTTTGCAGGGATGATCCTAAGGGTCTATAACTCCGACCAAAGAAGAGGGGCAGACAAAACTGATGAACGACGTCGCGATGGCAAAGCTTACAGGCAGAATTAGAAACCAGGAAGAGGACCTCTTTAATAAAGAATGGGGAAAGTTTATAATTTAGTTGAAAAGCTATTGTAAAGAGTTACATACATTGGTAGGATTGACAGAAAACTTGTAGTAAAAATTTGAACTATGGATGGACAAATGATTTATAAAATAGAGTTATGAACGGGATGCAGAGGGGGAAATCACTACATTAAGATGCTGCACTGGTTGGAGGGTATGCTAAGCAGCACGTCGGGGCTGCCATCGTCCTGGCGCAAGGAGTTCCACTGGCCCTTCCCTGCCTGAGAGAGAGGGGGGAGGGAGAGAGACTGTCGCCCACGCCACCCATGAGCCTGGCATGAGGTGGTTGCGGTGCTGCGGCTGCTGCTGAAGCGCCACCCTTCTGCGTCCCTCCACATCCCCTCCTCCCTCAGGCCGCCTCCTCAGCCGCCGCCGCTGCCGCCTCCAGCTTCCCCTGGCAGTGCGGTGGAAATCTCGCAAGAGAGGGGCTGCTTGCCCGCCCGCGGCCACCCGCCTCCTCACGATGCACCCCTGAGGGGGAAAAGGGAGAGACGGAGACACAGCAGCACGTGTGCGCGCTCTCACGGCAGAGGACCCCGAGCCGCTGGTGAGCATATGAAACCCGGGAAATTTAAGGGACATCATCAATAAGGGACAGCAGCAGGACACGGCACTGGGATAAGGGAGTTTCCCGCCAAATAAGGGACGGTTGACAGCTATGTGTTTATTTTCGAAAGGGTGTCGCAAGCTGAGCACAATTTGATTTCCACAGACTGCTTTGTCAGGGAGGGTAGAAGCGTAGCATTGTGTTAACTTGGAACTCATCAGCGTGGCTGGTTTTGAAGGCTGTGATTCTTTAAATTATGTGCTGCGAAATTAACTGCACTCAACAAGAAATAAAATTACTGAATTATGAAAGTATTCCATGAATCCAAAGCACTTGTCTGAGGAGCAGGTTTCCTAATGTATCATTGTGTGATTCGATGCCCTGGATTTGCTTCTTTCCCAGAGTGGTGGTGGGACTGGAACTTTCAAGTTGCAATCTACATATCTGCTTGGGACATAAGTCCCACTGAACCTAGTGGGTCTTACTCCAGATAAGTGGGTGTACGATTACCACTTGGATCACTCCCAAGTAGCATTGATCAACTTCCTTCCAACTGTCACAGAATTGTATCCTGTTCATTTAAAAAAACGCTTCAGGGACAATACTGTTTCAATGTGTTCAAGTCTATAGGTGCCCTACTTTACATGAACAAAGGTCTACATATTATGGGATAAGCAATGAAAACAGCACAGAAACATCTATCCCTTTCCCATGCAAAAATAAAATCTCAAACATCCCAATCAGTTCTGTGTTCATTCCAGAACTTAGCACGAATCAGTCCAAAGTGCCTAATCACTGGCACTCAGTTGTATCCTCCATGAAAATGACCAAGTTCAATATCAAAATTTGAAATATTATTTAAATTTCCCTTTTCCTTTGTAGCTGATCCTTACAAAATTGCATGCTTTTAGATGCTGAACAATAGCATATGAATACAGTGGTACCTCGGGTTAAGCACTTAATTCGTTCCGAAGGTCCGTGCTGAAGCACTATTTCTGGGTTAGCGGAGTATGTAAACTGAAGCGTCTTTAACCTGAAGCGTATGCAACCTGAGGTACCACTGTAATAGAGAAGGCATAACATGAATGCAAGATGTGAGGAGTTCTATAACATTTTGTATGAAATCCAAAAACTGACTTGTAAATCATGCCTAATTTATTTATATTCCCCTTTTGGAATAAGTAATCCCCCTTTTGTGTGTATTCTATGCAAATAATGCCTTCCAGTATTTGGAATTTGCTGCTGCAAGCTTCTATTTATCACTGTCCATTGGACTCCAATAATGCTTAACTAAACCTTGGCAACATCCCAGAAGGCTGCATGGAAGGGATGTTAAAAAGCAGAGCTGAAACACTATTCTGATCATACACCAAATCTGGCTACATCAGTACTAAATAGTTGTTTTCTGGTACGCATGAGGCACAATAAAGGACCCAATTCTGTACTTGATTTCCCTTGACTTGAGGGGGCTATAGGATGTGCTGGCAGCTCCACCATTTTGGCAGAACTGGAAATATGCTGCTGGCACAAAATGTATGCTGGCAGAACTGGTCAGAAGCAGACGCTATATTTTATTTGGTCTTTATCAAGCATTTGTTCTGATTTGAGGGACTTCTTATATGTCTTCCCATTAATCATTTGTTAATTACACACTTCTCAATGCATTTCACCTAACTGCAAAAAGACAGCTTCTTTTTTTAAAAAGGATTTATTGTGCAAGGGCAACAGAGCATTTAAATCCACCTTAATTGCACAAATCTGAATTTCCTAGTACTGTATACATTCAAATCCCACCTGCAAAATACTGGGCTGTATCTAATGCTAGGCCTACTCAGAGTAAACCTATTGAAATTAATGAACATGACAAACTTAGGCCTATTTATTTCAATTGCTCTACTCTGTAGCTTAGTTGAATGCAACCCACTGACTGGAACTACTTAACATCCCAACCTGTACCATATGTTTACTGTGCCTTGTTTAATGTTTGTGTACCTGATAAAACTCTGTAAAATATTCATAAAATAAAAAAGAAGATAAATATCTGGTTAGACTGACAGTTGTTTCTAGGCTTCTGCACCCATGCATGTTCATTGTGTTATGCCTGTTACATCGAGTGATGATTTGCATCTGTGCATGGAGTTGCATATTCAGCTGCAAGTATTCAAGGCCCAATTTGGACACTTACCTAGTCTGCAGTGGTCTTAATGGGATGGAGGAGCAGACAGGCATCAGTCAAGAGCACCTGACATGGATTCCAATCATGCAGGTGCTGAGTCTGCATTTGGGGCAAAAACAGATAGCTCAGTACTGTTGCATACAGCATTGCCTGCAGGAGAAGGTTCAGTCTTCAGCTTCTCTAGGTAAGGCTGGGAAAGAGTTCTGTCTGAAACTCCAGAGAGCTACAGCCAGCCAATGTGGCTGCCTTGAGTCCCATCAGGGACAAAATACATGTGATGATGATGATAGACAACATAGAATCTATGTCAGTTGTGTGGGGAAACTTTCACTCTCCAGATGTTGCTGAACTACAACTCCCCTCATCCCTGGCTACTGGCCATGGTTGCTACAGCTGATGGGAGCTGTAGTTCAATAACATCTGGAGGGACACAGGATCCCCACTCCTGGGCTATGAGAAGTTACAGCATCTCCACTAGAACCCAAAGGCATGTTGCTTACCACAACAGTGGCACGTCAGGTTACATACGCTTCAGGTTACATACGCTTCAGGTTGCAGACTCTGCTAACCCAGAAATAATACCTCGGGTTAAGAACTTTGCTTCAAGATGAGAACAGAAATCTCGTGGCGGCAGCAGGAGGCCCCATTAGCTAAAGTGCTGCTTCAGGTTAAGAACAGTTTCAGGTTAAGAACGGACCTCCGGAACGTATTAAGTACGTAACCAGAGGTATCAATGTACTGTATGGGGAATTGCAGTCAAATACATAACTATGCATGAATGCTAATGAAGGGGTTAACACGACAGAGCTGGATTCCTAGTCTCAGATAAGTCACTCCCCCTCTTTTCCATGAGGAGGAATTCCTGTTTCTTCTCTCTGTGGCATTTTAATTGACCAAGGAAGGCATGTCCAAGCTTTGTTGCAAGCTTAAAGAGTGTGTTTGAAGCCATCTTTCTGTATTTTCTACCCAAGAGTATTCTGCCAGTATCCTGCTGCTTCTTGGATAAATGCATGAATCTGACCTTTGGAACATTTTGTAAGTAAAGCGTTTTAAATTTACTTAATAGGGTGTGGTCTGTTGGTTGCAAAAGGGTAGAGTTCTGTGTTTGCAAGCTGGCAGGATAAAAGGGTCGAAAAACCTGTATTCCTAACTATACCACTGCTTGATTTTTGCTTGTTTAAACTCGGCTATTGGGGCTCTCTCCTGCTGGAGTGTGCAAGGTCCTACATTTGTTATTTAGCCCCCACACGCGGGTCACAGGAATTTGTATTCACTACCACAGCTACCTCGGTAAATGTTTGAACTGAGGACTGACTCTCAATACGAGGTAGCAGAGTTGGGGGTAAATTTGTAGAGGGGAGGCCTTTTATTCTTAATCCTTCTCGGCTAGGAAGCTCATTGGGTGGATCTGGGGTCAGCCACTGTCTCTCTTTCCTACACTGGGTTGTTGTGTGAGTACATAACAGGCTTGCTGAAGCGCCCCCCCCCCATTTAATTACCCAGGTGGCAAGCAACCCAGGAAGATAAAAAAAAGTGCTGTTGTGTTTCATATTTTATTTTCTGGTTCTTGTTTGTGAGCTGCGTCGAACTTTTCTGAGGAAAAGCGAGGTATTAATACATATTAAGCAAACAAACACTCGACCAGACGTGAGTAGTCACGTGAGGAAGGAAACCCAAGGCACATGGAGAGGCCAGGTGGACGTTCCCGCGCGTTTCTGTGCGCCTCGCGCGTGGCGCAAAGCCGCGCCCAGCAGCAGCATTAGCAGCAAACCCTCGCCGCCCCTCCGGGTCTCGGCTTTCCCCCCTTTTTGCTGCGGAGCTGCTGAGGAGCTGAGCGCACCCTGGCTGCATGCAGCAGCGGCAGTAGCAGCGGTGGCGGCGGCGGCACCACCTCCTCCTCCATCCTTCCCCCTCCAGGGGATGGGGCGGGAATGATGGATGAAGGCGTAAGCTGGCCGAGCACCGCTGCCCGCCCCGGTCTGGACGCGCCCTCCACCTTCTTCCCTGCAGGGCTTCCTCCTCCTGGGGCTAAGGAATCACCTGACCGGCCGGAAGACCGGCCGGGGGCCCCCCAATTAAAGTGCATCCGCGGCGCAGACGGGAGGAGGAGGTGGTGGAGGAGGAGGTGGCGCCGCCGGCGGCGGTGCCGATTGCATCCCCTACGCCGGCAGCTGGAGTCGGGGCCGGGCGGCCGCCTGCAAAATGGGCAGCAGGATTACTTTCTTCGAGGTGGGTGTCCCCCGCGAGTCTGCGCTAGGGAGGAGGAGGACGCGTCAGTGGGGCTGGGGAGAAACCCCCAAGGGGACCCGGGTCGGGATGCATGGAAGAAGGCTGCGCCTGCGCCCTCCATCCTTGGGCTGGCTCGCAAAGGGTCCCTCGCCGGCGGGTGCCTTGATGATGATGATGATGGGCGGGGGAAGGCGCAGCAACTGCTCCCTCTGCATTGGAGCCAGCGGGAACCCGGCACTTGCCGCTGGATCCTTAAACACGTTGTCTTGCTGCAACCACTAGGGCTTGTTTCCTCTCCAGCGTGCTTAGGGGGGCATGGCCTTTAAACTCCTCCTAAAGTCTGAAGACCTAGGAGGACCCACTTGGAGACCAAGCCTGCACTTGGAGACCCACCTGATATCTAGTGTTTGCTGTTGCAGCTTACCTTTAGTTGGTCCTGTGTCCTCCTGACCCATCAGGCTTGGGATGGGGGAGGTACAGGGTGGGTGGGTTGTGTCTTACCAGCAGATTTTCGTGTCCTTTCCTGAGCAGGAACCTTGTCTGATGTTTTGGGGTTTTGTAGGTGCTGGTGTCTCCCATAGCTATAGGGAAGCCCAAGAGTTCTATGTCTCTGTGAGAAGAGACTGACCTTTCTTGGCATTCCGGTACCTCCTGGGTCATGGGCAGCCACTGCCACGGCACAAAGGAGTATACACTTTGCATGCCACAGCAAACATACCTTTTCCTGCTCTGCGAAAGGCTTAAAAAACCCTTTACACTAAAAAGAGTGAGCCAACACATGTTGGCAGGCATGCGAGGGTATTCATGGACTACAGATTTCAGGGAAGGGCCATGACACAGTGGTACAGGAACTGTTTTGCTTTCAGAAAGTCCTGGTTCAACTCCCCGCATCTCCAGGTAGGGCTGTGAAAGACTGCTCAGAACGCTGGAGAGCTGCTGCCAGCCAGTGTTGACAATACTGAACTAGATGGACCTGACTTGATATTAGGCAGCCTCTTTAACTATCCAGATTTCTGTAATAACGATCTCCAGGCATCCCTTTCTTGATTACCTACCTACTTGGTTGTCACATCTTCCTACTAGTAATAGCTGCTGCACTAACTTTTGCCTGTGATTGAAGAAGAGATGGTTGCCACCTTTGACAACCTAGTTTTCTAAGAACAACAAAGGGCTTTTATTGACAAGAGATGGGAACCTTGGGTTTGGAGGCCAAATGCACCCCTCTAACTGGCCCTTCAGACTCTCTGCAGGCCATGCTCCTTGCCTAACCCAAACCCATTGAGTGCCTCTGCCTGACAAGTTTCCTTGTGCTGTGAGCATACCTCTTTGCTTGCCTGACATCAGATGTAGGGGCAGGTAGGTGTAGCTTGGCAGAAAGGGCCTTGCAGGTTGAAAGGGGTAGATCCAATTGGACCCAATCAGACGTTCCCCTTTGCTGCTGCAGCTAGGCAAAACAATTCAACTCATCAACTATTCTGGAGAGAATATGGGTGTCTCAGAGGAGTCCCTCCACTTAGCCCCGTCTTCTGCTATCGAAGGAGAAGCTGTGCCCACGAGGAGCACTCCAAAAGGAGGTTGGTTCGTGCCAACTGTTTTACGTTTGACAAATTGGGATTTTCGTTAACATTCCTTGGCATCCCAGCTCCTTTGCCAGGAGGTAGGGTGGACTCTCAGGCTGTCGGTTACCAAAGTTCCCCTATGCTCTCCTATGGTTTATGCTCTCCTATGGTTTATGGCTTGTGTTTTGTCTGGGTTCAAACCACACACTAAGCCCAAACATGATTTTGTTTAATGCGGTGCTGAAGCAATCTCTCATTGCTTGTTTTGGAAATTGGCGAAACTACTGCTTTTCAGCAAATCTCCCAATTTTGTGCTTTGTCATCTTATACATGCCTTCATTAGCATGCTAAGTGTGCTAACAGTGTCTTTTGTGCTTATAAGAGGGTTGGGTATATTATGACTGAAAATAGAACATAGATTTTGTTTCAGACTAATAGGTGAAGGTGAAGTTGCACTGGCCACAACGATGGCAACTTCCTGGAAGACTAAACCGCCGCCTGCCTTGTCAGGTTTTGTGTTGTGCAATCTGAGCCGTATTTGAACATATGTAATCTTAATTGAGCATGGTGATTTAACAACTTAAGGTGTTTCAGAAAAACAGCAATAACATCCTGTGGCCAATCTTAAAACAGTGAGTTTGTTCTCATCTTCTCATCTTGAAATACTTGTATTGAATATTTTTCAAAGCACCTAAACAATATTGGGAATTAATTGCCTGCCCTACTACACTTAAAAAACAAACTATTTCAGGCCTTGATCCAAAGAGAAGTGCATACTACACATTTGTACTCAGAAATAATAACAGTTGGCAAAAACACTGGAGAACAAGAAAAATTCACAGGGCAGTGGTTCATTTCAGTGTGCTCTTGCACATGAGATATTTCAAATTTTGGACCAACGCTGTGTCCATAGATGCTCTGCAGATAGGCATATACAGTACCCGTGAAGAAAAATTGAGGCAAGAGAATGCACAATAATGAATCAGCAATGAACCATGCTTTGTATGGTTTTAGTTTTGTTTCAAATGTATTATGATTTTTAATTACCTTTAGTAAATTGCCTTGAGACAGTTGTTTAGATGGTGATGAATGTTGTTGTTCTTGTTTAGTCGTTTCCAACTCTTCGTGACCCCATGGACCAGAGCACGCCAGGCACTCCTGTCTCAAACAATTGTTAATCCTACACTTTCCATTACAATTTTCCCAACACTTTGCTCCTCAATTTTTCTTGGGAGTGGGTTTGTTGTGCAAGAGCACCAGATTAATTGCACAACCATAATTTGTTGGCACACCACTGAATCCCACCTACAAAATAGTGACGGTCTGTAAGCACCCTTTATGATCAACGGCATGTGCCTTGCTTCGGGTTTGTTTGTTTGTTTGTTTGTTTACCTTTCTGCAGCTCAGAAAGTTTAGATTCTTTTACTAGAGAAAGATAAGTTACCAGGATATTTAACAAGCGCCTGTGATCTGCAAATAAGATATACTGTCCTGAATTACCCATGAAAGGGATGAGCCTTTCCTCTCAACTAAATAATGCAGACCAATCCCATAATGTGTGGAATCAAACCCATCAATAATACATTGAGTAGTTTTTTGTCAAAAACATTATGAGCAGCAGCACTTAACTTGAGTCATCTGTAGTGTTTGGAGCTGTCTGGATCAGGACTCTGAAATCTTACACAGTCATACCTCTGGTTACGTCCGCTTCATGTTACGTTCTTTCAGGTTATGTCCCGCGGTGACCCAGAAGTACCAGAAAGGGTTACTTCCGGGTTTCGCCGCTCGTGCATGCACAGACGCGCAAAATGACGTCACGCACAGAAGCGGCAAATCACGACTCGTGCGTGTGCAGACGCGCTGCTACGGGTTGCGCTCTTTTCATGTTGTGAACGGGCCTCCGGAATGGATCCCGTTCGCAACTAGAGGTACCCCTGTATTCTGGATAGCACAATATAAAAATTAATAAGCATGTGTCTTGCAAAGAAAGCCTCTCTGATGGAGACCTGGCATAACCTCCAACCAACCCGGCTGAACACAACCCATCAGTCATGTATTGTGACTTGCCAGGCCCTTGACAAGTGCCCTGGAGTCCAGACAACCAGGAAAAAAAGGAGTCTTCTAGAGGCCTGGTGAGTTGCCATGTTTGGGCTGCATTCTGGCATGGGTAGGTCTGCTTTACAGAGTCCAAAGGCAAATTATGAGAAGTACTAATATTAAATGAGCAGGAATTCACTGTGTTGGCTTCCTTAGAGGGCTTTTGCATCCACCCTAGGCTTGGAAATAGGTCATTCCAGTGCACGCATTTCTTTCCGAAAGAAAAGCATTTGTAGTTGATGAATAAAAAGCAAGCTCTTCCTCAATAATTTATCCCCCCTGCCACCCTAACTGATACTAGTGGGTGGTTGTTCTTGTTTTGCTGAGTTATTTGGAAAGCTGTTTGCTATCATTGGTGGGCTAGAGTTATTGGAGAAATAGCAGTTTTAAGCAGTGACAGCTATGCTGAGTCACGTAGCTTCTGGGACCAATAACAGGGACGCGGACTTAGAAAAAATATTGGGGGGGCCCGGGAAAGCTCATGAATAATAAATAAGCTCATGAATATGCAAATAAAGTGGCTCCGGCCCTAAATACGGCAAGCCACGCCCCCCCAGCCAGCCGATTGGCTGGCTGGGAGGTGTGGCCAGTCGGGATTCCCCTGTTCTCGCGGGATTTCCGGCCGGGGCTCTCCGATTAGGGCGCGCGGCTGGCTGGCTGGCGAAGGAGCAGGTGGGGAGGAGGCGGGGGACGGCGGCGGCGCTCTGCTGGAAGGGCGCCCGCCCGAGATTATTGGGGGGGCTGAGCCCCCCCAAAAATTTTTTTGAGGGGGCTCCAGCCCCCTCAAGCCCCATGGAGTCGGCGCCTATGACCAATAATAACTTCGATTTTTTTTTTAGAGAGAGGTGGCTCAAATTGTGTTTTCCAAAACAGCAGTTTTAAAAAATGAAGACACAGCCAAATTTCTTATACTCCTGTCCTGTGTAGGAAAGGGCTGTTCCCCTGAACTGTGCCAACGCGAATGACTTCTAACTGGTTTCCCCCTGTGCCAATGAGGTACAAAACTAGGCTGGCGGGTACCAGGTAACCTGTATTCCATCAGGACATTGCTGGCGCATGAGGCGGGAATCTGGGAGCATGTAAGGGTTGGTTGGAATCGTATGCTTTCTCGGGTTTCGGTTCCATTGCTACACATGGCACAATGCAGAGAGGGCACTTGGGAACCCAAGGCAAAGAGAGTCTGGGTGTGTGGGTGAATGTTAAGATGCTTGTTCCACACTGTGGCATTGCTTTATAAAGTTTGCAAGCAGCAGATATTGCAGTGTACCTTAGAACAGGAAAAGCCCACTACTGTATACCTATGAAATTACATTTGTGTGATCTAGACAGTCTACAAAGGGGCACCTTTGCATATACAGTTGTGTGTGTGCATGTGCATTGTGTGAGTAGTGATCCCTGCACAACCAGATGGTCTTTTGCAGATGTTGTTCCATTCGATAAACTTTTCTTCAGTGGATGCTCATCTAACTGTTCCAGTCAAGCATCTGTTTGTATTTCCTCCAGTGCTGCTGCTTGGCAACAGACAATTGCAAAGAAATAGTTCCCTGGCATGGTTTATTACCAACTCTGGCAGAGGAATTTTGATCTGAAAATAGACTTACATGGAGAAATGCTTGGAAAGATTAATTTGACTACTAAGAAGTAATCAGGTGCTTGGGGTATAAGGAGAAATTAATGCTCTTGCTCTAATTAAATCAAAAGGAGGCTCACTTACACAAGCACTTTATAACAGCACAGGCAGGATTAATTCATTTTGCACTGCTCTTATCCCAGGCTGCTTGTTCATAGATTGCAAAGTAAACATTTTTCTCATGAGTGATTTTTTTTTTTGGGTGCGGATCAATATGGTATTTGTTTGTAAGTAGCAAGTAGGACAATCTAGCAACAGGAAAGGGCTGAGATCTAAGTGGCGAACCATAAATGGGAAGAGGTGGTAATTAGGCCCACACGTGGGTGGCGCTGTGGGTTACACCACAGAGCCTAGGACTTGCCGATCAGAAGGTCGGCGGTTCAAATCCCCGCGACAGGGTGAGCTCCCGTTGCTCGGTCCCTGCTCCTGCCAACCTAGCAGTTCGAAAGCATGTCAAAGTGCAAGTAGATAAATAGGTACCGCTCCGGCGGGAAGGTAAACGGCATTTCCGTGCGCTGCTCTGGTTCGCCAGAAGTGGCTTAGTCATGCTGGCCACATGACCCGGAAGCTGTACGTCGGCTCCCTCGGCCAATAAAGCGATATAAACGCTGCAACCCCAGAGTCGGTCATGACTGGACCTAATGGTCAGGGGTCCCTTTACCTATTCCTGCAATTGCTCTTACAGCTTTTAAACAAATGTCATTTCTAGAAAAAAGAAGTTCCAGAACTCACCATGAAAACCTCCCTTTGTTCTCTTAGACTGGCAATAGCGTCCACCTGAGAGGTGCCTGATTTCTGGCGAGTTCCAACTTAAAAAAAAAAAGGCCTGTCTATGAGCATTTGATAAATTTAATTATTTCAAGGTTTATGTCTCACTTACACCATTGCATACTCAAAGCAGCATAATTTGACTTAGCGGTTCATTGGGAAAATACGTTGTACAGTGGTACCTTGATTCTCGAATGGCTTAGTTGTTGAACAAATCGGCTCCCGAACGCTGCAAACCCAGAAGTAAGTGTCCCGGTTTGCAAATGTTTTTCGGAAGCCGAACATCCGATGCGGCTTCCGATTGAGTGCAGGAAGCTCCTGCCGCCAATTGGAAGCCACACCTTGGTTTTTGAACGGTTTCAGGCGTTGTATGGACTCCTGGAACGGATTGAGTTCGAGAACCAAGGTACCACTGTATGCTGTACTAAAGAAATGTGGTTTAATTCTTGAGGGGGGGAAATACCACTCCTGTAACAATAGTATACATACAGTGCAATCCTATGTAATATGGTATACATGTCTTCCCAGAAATAAGCTCCGTTGAATTTGCTTCCTCAGCAAATAAAATTTCAGGGTGGGATGCAATGACATATCAAGCTGATGTAAAAGTTCACTGAGTCAAGGAACCACCTGGAACGTGGTGGAACCATCTGGAACATGGTGGTGACAAGATAGGGCACTATAACACCTCTGTGCTAGCATTGCAGGGGGTTGGACTAGACGCAGTGGTGTCCAAACTTTTTTCAAAGAGGGCCAGATTTGATGAAGTCAAAGTTAACCTTTTTTAAGGATTTTACCCCAAAGTTGAAAGTTGTTGAGCTGGGATTATGCCCTCGAAACTGACTTTGGACATGCCTGGACTAGAGGGTCCCTTCCAACTCTACATTTCTATGATTCTATAATAATTAGCACTAGCAAGGGCACTGTTACACCAAGTTCATATACAATGCAAATATGGCTGGAAACGGTGCATAGAATGGATTAACTTCCTTACACCATTCCAGACACTACATTGGCACAACAGCATGTGCTTATTTCTTCAGTGCTGCAGGATCCTTAGCACAGCATGGATAATCACGAGAAACCAGTTTCAAGTCCATATTGTGATACCGGTTTCATAGTTTTTGGCCTGGCAATATACTGCGAATCATGATGTGAATTAGAGCAGGGCGATAAATTGTCCAAAACTGGTTTCAAGTCCATGTCATGACACTGGTTTCATGATTTTTGACCTGGCAATATATCACAAATCATGATGTGTGTGTGTGTGCTATTCAAAAATCACAAGGGGGGGGGGGACCATGAAGCCAGCCAATGCCTCTACATAGCTCCATCCTTATTTCAGACACTGTGATATATCAGTATTTCGGATTTTTTGTCTGGTGATACATCATGGTGTTGAAAACCTGGTTTCTCCAAGACCTAATAATTTCCACTTGCCAGTTAGGTGCCACTCTGTTGTTATCCTACAGTGACTCTGTGGATCACAGTTAACATTCTGTGAAGCTAAAAGGCTTATGTACACCCCCTGGTTGCAGAATATGGCTTAGCAACCAGCTTAACAACTGTTGGTCTGATCACTGTTTCCTGTTCACACAGATACAAGAAGCCGTCACGGCGAGATTGTTCTAGCTGATTTATTCACTTGGTATTTTCTCTTAGGTTGAAATCCTTGATTGGAAGACAAAGCAACAATTATGCTTTTTGGAAAAGGTAAGTAATCACAATGTTATTACTGCAATTTAACCAAATTTTGAGTGATCCGTGTGCTTTAGTTATATTTTCTTAGTAATTGTTTAAAGCATCCTGTTTGAGATGGATCAGCATCATTTTCCTCCATATCACAGATAGGGAAGCTCACCCTTAATTTCCTGTTTCCTAAAATGTAAAAAGGAACCAATTAGCTTGAAAGGCCTTTTTTTGAATGCCTGCATGCTTATAGATATATATTTTTTGTTACCTAGGTTGAGCCAAATGCTACAATAAGTGATATCAGGCTAATGTTCCATAAATTATGTAAGTATATGTATTTTTCAAAAGAATCTGTTTAAAAAGTGAGGGAAGCTTTCCAGAAATGCTTGAATTATATGTCATTGCATGGAGCCTGAGCGCCACTGATGTCATACAAGCCATGTATCTTCTTCTATGTACTTTGAAGCAATTCTAGTAAACCTGTACAAAAAAGTAGTTATCCCCCCCCCACTTCCTTGGTTGCCCTTCCACCAATTTGGTAATTTGCTCATATTTGTAAATTCAGAAGTTCTCTGTTTGTGGCACAGACATCCCTGCCCCAGTGCTAGGAAACTGAGTGGACTTTATTATTATTATTATTATTATTATTATTATTATTATTATTATTATTATTAAAGTTGTGCGATTTTTTTTGTCCCTACAGATCCTCAGTGGTATCCCTCAAGGCAGTCTATAAGGCTTGATCCCAGTAAGTATTATATAGTGAAGTATTATTCTTATTATTTCATTTAAATACCGCTTTTCTTATCTTGGAGCAGTTTATAGTGAGAGCCAGTGTGGTGTAGTGGTTAAGAGCGGTAGTCTCATAATCTGGGAAACCGGGTTCGAGTCTCCGCTCCTCCACATGCAGCTGCTGGGTGACCTTGGGCCAGTCACACTTCTTTGAAGTCTCTCAGCCCCACTCATCTCACAGGGTGTTTGTTGTGGGGGAGGAAGGGAAAGGAGAATGTTAGCCGCTTTGAGACTCCTTAAAGGGAGTGAAAGGCGGGATATCAAATCCAAACTCTTCTTCTTCTTCTTATAGTGAAACGTAAAACCCCATTACAATATTGCTGTATCATCCAAAAGATGTATTAATGTTAATTGGTAGCCACAGAAACTATGAAACTCCAATAACATTAAAGGATCTGTCATCAAGAGACCCCTTCATGGATCACTGCCTTGCCGTGGCGAAGGGGCTTGAATAACTCAGAGAAGCTATGAGCTATGCCGTGCAGGGCCACCCAAGATGGACAGGTCATAGTGGAGAGTTTTGACCAAACGTGATCCACCTGGAGCAGGAACCGGCAAGCCACTCCAGTATCCCTGCCAAGAAAACTCCATGGACAAAGACAACAGGCATGTAAAAGTTATGACGCTGGAAGATGAGCCCCTCAGGTCGGAAGGTGTACAACATGCTACTGAGGAAGAGCGGAGGACAAGTACAAGTAGATTCAGAGCTGATGAAGCGGCTGGGCCAAAGGTCGCTCAGTTGCGGATATGCCTGGAAGCAAAAGGAAAGTTGAATGCTGTAAAGAAAAATATTGCATAGGAACCTGGAATGTAAGAACCATGAACCTGGATAAGTTGGATGTGGTCAAAAATGAGATGGCAAGAATAAATATTGACATCCTGGGCATAAGTGAACTGAAATGGACGGGAATGGGCGAATTCAGTTCGGATGACCATCATATCTACTACTGTGGGCAAGAATCCCGTAAAAGAAATGGAGTGGCCCTCATAATCAACAAAAGAGTGGCGAAAGCTGTACTGGTGATGTAAGGAAGTGAGAGCTGGACCATAAAGAAGGCTGATCACCGGAGAATTGATGCTTTTGAATTATGGTGCTGGAGGAGACTCTTGAGAGTCCCATGGACTGCAAGGAGATCAAACCTATCCATTCTTAAGGAAATCAGCCCTGAGTGCTCACTGGAAGGACAGACCCTGAAGCTGAGGCTCCAATACTTTGGCCACCTCATGAGAAGAGAAGACTCCCTAGGAAAGACCCTGATGTTGGGAAAGATGGAAGGCACAGGGAGAAGAGGATGACAGAGGACGAGATGGTTGGACAGTGTTCTTGAAGCTACCAGCATGACTTTGACCAAACTGTGGGAGGCAATGGGAGACAGGAGTGCCTGGCGTACTCTGGTCCATGGGGTCACGAAGAGTCGGACACGACTAAACAATAACAACAACAATCAAGAGAAGTCTATAATCCTGCAGTTGTAGATAGACCAATGGCTGCCTCTATGTTTATCGCATGTATGCTTGGGTAAAACAGAACTCAAGGGATGGAGCGAGGACTTAACCTGGAAGAGGCAGGCCATGCAAGCTGAGAATGTCTCTTGCTGTCTTATGTCCTTGTTCAGTCCTCTGTGCAAAATGAGAATGGCGATGCTGTCAGGCCAGCGGGTCCTTTTCTGGTCTTGGGCGACGCCCAACTTTACTACCATCTGCAGCTGGTCTTGGGCAGGACAAAACCATGTGTGCATATATAAAACAGCAGTCATTCAACACTTACTGCTACACTTTTTATCTCTTCAGCTATTCAAGCTACTCCAAACAATGTGCTTATGGGAGAGGCCATAGTTCTATTGCTTTGCCTTTCTCAGGATCATTAGTCAACTCTTGACATCTTGTGTTTAAGGGTTTTTTTTTGGGGGTATTGGGACTGGGCAATACCCTTGCCCGAGCCAGTGGAGAGCTGCTACATGTGGGGAGTAGTCAGTTCTACACTAGACAGGTCAGTGGTAGGGCTGATCAGTATATCCTTGTATCTTCCCAAACCGGTTTGAAGTCCAAATCATGATACTTGTTCCATAATTTTTGACCTGGCAATATATCACAAATCATGATGTGTGTGTCTGTGTGCTATGCAAAAATCACAAAATGGGACAAACCCTGGAGCCAGCCAATGCCTCTACATAGCTCCATCCTTATTTCAGATATATCACAATGTTTAGCTGGGGATAAACCACAATGTTGAAAACCGGATATCGCCTAACCTTAGTCAGTAAGGCTGTATATAGTTCTTACACTCCCTGGCCCCCTGCTCTGAGTGAACATGGAATTTAATTGGAGCAATAAGCTGCTTTTCAGCCAAGGCTGATTGCCATAAATGCAAAAGTGTTACTAGGTCAACGGGAAATGCAGGCTTTTTGATTAGGAATCATGTGCTTCAGCATTCCTCTTTGGCTGTCAAGCACCTTAAATTTTTTCTCTCTTCTTCTCAGAAGGAAAATCACTGAGGGATGAAGAAGCCCTTCAGCTGCTCCCTGTTGGCACAACCGCTACGCTCTATTTTAAAGATCTAGGGCCCCAAATAGGATGGACAATGGTGAGCTTCAGTGCCTTGAATGTTTCAATGTTTGCCTTAATTAATCCTTGCATCACTTTCTCCTTGTGCTGGTGATCAAGTCCCCAATTGTGCTTTGGTTTGCCAACTAGCACAATTGGTAGGAGTCTCTCCCCACCCCTGCCATCTTTGTCTTTCTCTCTCGTTTGCTCTCCCCTCCTTTTTTGTGTGTGTCTGATTTATAAGATGGTGGGGTGAAGTATCCAAGGGTGGCGGGGGGGGGGGAGAATAGAATTGCCACAAATACTTGGCAGGCGAACACATCGCAAAGCAGCAGCTGTTGCTTGGCAACACGACAAAACACAGCTTGTGGAAGGCAATGGCAATTAGGGGGTGTTGCAAGAAACAACAACACAGGGATCAGGTTTTCCTAAATTAGGGCAAGAGACCCAGAGGCAGGCCAGCTGCCCGTCCCAGTCCTATTGAACAGGACCGTCAGCGACAGAATAGTGACCCTGGTCCCTTCTTCCTTTTTTTCTGACTGAGCCCCAGTGCCTGCAGAAATTCAACAGGTGAAGTGTTTCTGAAACATAAGGACATAGATATTTCCCCAGTTGACTTCTGTCTGTCACACCTGTTCAAGACACACATTGGCCTGATTGGAAAAGCTAGCATGGGAGCTTTTACAAAGGCAAAGCCGGAATCTGTGGGAACAGGAGATAAGGAATTTGCTATTCAAAGCTCCCGCCCCTGCCCCAATACCTTCCTGCTTCCCCTTTAATATGCCCTGTTATATTGCTAGTAACTCACAAAGCTGAAAGCAGTAGTTTGAAATGTGAATATTTTATTTTAACATATAATATTTTATATAACATATAATTATATATGTTATAATTCACACCTAAGTTCTCTACTGCTGGGCATAACTGTTTCTCATCCTCCAAGCTTCTTCTCATTTGGACATTCCTGCACAGATGGAGGCATCCTTGGCTGGGTTCCAACATAAGCACATGCTGTGAAAGGGGACATGGGGAGAGGGGAAGGAGGGGAAGCGAAGGAACTAGCAATGTGTTGGAATCCGTGGCATTAAGAGGAAGTAAGTGGCTCATGCGGAGCCAAATTTAGGACTAGGTGTCTTCTGCCTTTCATCCTGCCAGGATAACCCAAGTTATACCGTCTCTGTGAATTGTGCAGTTTGAGCATTTTTGCATGTCTTATTCTACTTGCACTTTTTAGAGGAAGGATAAGGCACCAAAGGCCTGATGGCTAGATATTCTGCTCTGGTTTCTGAGTTTTCACCAGAACTTGCAATTCATGTCTTCAGAGACACAAAGGCTACTTAATTCCTTAAGCAGCAGCTTAGATTACTCACACGCCAAATTCTCAGTCCCCACCCCACGAAAAATCATACAGGACCTTGTAAAGCTGCCTGACTTTTGGGGGCGTTCATCCAATCCATGCTGTATGCCCACTTCAATGTGGTTTTGCATAGATAGGGATAAAATCCTGGCACAAACTGTGTGTGTATGAAATAGCAAATTCTTCTTGGACATCCGTACTGATTGGAATAACAGCATATAGTGTTGGCGTAAGGAACCAAGCCATGGCCAACGTATTGACTAAAGCAGCCCCCCCATTTTTTAATTGTTTGCCCCAGGGGCCCACTTGAATATCTTTTGATGCTCAGGACCCTTCCCCCCCCCCATAAACACAGACAAAAATGCCTATTCCTCCCCCCAAAAAACAGACAAAATGCCTGCCTCCCCCCAAAACAGACAAAACCAGCTATATATCCACCCGTGAAAAACAACAGACAAGAAAGCAAGACAACAACCTCCCTCAAAACAAGCAACCTGCCCACCAATACACACCTAAATAAAGGGGAAGGGGCCTTGACAGGTGCCATGTCTGAGGGTCCCCACAGGTGCCATATTGGGGACCTCAGTTTCCCTTTCCCTGGCATCCAGTGCTGCTGAGAATTGCCGTGGTAACCACCTAACAACCTCTCTCTTTTTTGCAGGTATTCTTGATAGAATATACGGGCCCATTATTCATCTATTTTGCGTTTTATTTCCGTATGCCTTTTATCTATGGCCTGGATGACAGGTTTCCCTCGAGCCGGCACCCCGTAGTTAAGTAAGTCGCACTTCTAAGGCCAGAGGATTTAATTCTTGGGTTTGCCGCAACTTTATTCCGAAATGTCTTGCCGTATTTGTCTCTCTAGCTTTCTGAAACGCTTTTATCTTGCTGTTTCTAGCTTGGCATGTATCTGCCATTCTTTCCACTACATCAAAAGGTTGATTGAAACAATATTTGTTCATCGGTTCTCCCATGGGACTATGCCACTGAGGAATATTGTTAAGGTAAATTTGCCACACAATCTACTCACAGCCCTTCTGTTAAATTCAGATCTGGCCGCCACCTTCAGCACGGCAGTCACCAAACCCTTGGCACGGCTTTCGGGGTACGGTGTTGCCTCCTGCCACTCACAATGTTAACATCGACGTGACCTGTTAACATTAACACCTCACTACTGAAGCTTGTTTTTTCCACATTACCATTTTTATTTCTTCCATAGTTTTTTCTCCGACTGTTTCTCTATAGCCACTTAATCCCTTCTAGCCAAGCGCAAAGGTCCTCCTTGACAGTGTGAGTTTCCTCAGCTCAGTGTTTTGCATAGCAAAGGTCCCGGGTTCAATCCCCAGCTTCTCCAGCTAGGGCTGGGAAATCAGGGGAAGCCTCTGCCAGTCCTTGTTTACAGTTATGAGTTATATGGCACCAGGCCATTGGCCCATCTAAGGCAGCTTCCTATTCTCCTGAGCTTACTTTCGGCTCCATCTAGGGAGCTAGTGGGCTTATTGCAGCAAACAAGCTGGAACTGGGCTTGACACTTGATGGAGGCCTGTTGTTGAAAATGACGGCCCCCCTGTTGGATTCCTAAGGGCCCAGCTCTTTGTGGGGTTCCAATAATGTTCTTTGGGGGGAACTGGGACCCCCAATGTTTAAAAAAATGAGGGCAAGCATGGAGCTGAGCAAGGCTTCAGTAGTTGACTCCTCCTCCTCCTGCCACTGCCACCCACCATGAAGGGAAGAGGAGGCCAATTGTGGATCCAAGTGTGATGCCAGTGGCCAGGGCTGCTCTTCCTGTTGTGTAAGGGAAAAACAGGGGAAGCAGCCCCAGGCCAGTGGCAGGAGGAGAGGAGTTAGAGAGGAGGAGCCACAGGCCACTGAAGCTGTGCTACCGCCATGTTCAGCTCCGCCCTCCGGCTCCTCCGTTCTGACGTGCACATGCTCGCCATCAAGGTCCTCCGTCTCCCTTGCAAGTTGGCGTCTCTGCAGCCATTGATGAGAGCAGAAAAACACACTGCATGCTGATGTCATTGCACAGTAAAAGCTATTTGAAAAATTGGCATGGGACTACTGCGCTGTCCTGTTGCGTCTCCTAGTTCAGCCCCATTTACTTCCAGGTCACCTTTAATAACCCATAGCGATTGCCACACATAAAGCAGCCTCTCCCAGCCACTCTGCCACATTCCTTCCAGCTTTCACTCCTCCGCAGTGTTGCCACATGGCCTGAGCCCTTGCGCCTGTCCCTTGCCCGTGTTCAGGCTCCCTACGCCCCACTCTCTAGGGCTGCCGTTTTCCTTCACAACTTGTTTTCCCAGTAGTCTTGTCTTTGCAGTTGATTCCTTGTTAGTCTTCTCCACCTGAAAGAGGAGACGGGACTGTTTTTGAGAATGAGAAATTTGAACTGCAGCAACAATTGTCAGTGAACGCTGTACAGTTTGGAAAGTTGTTTTCTTTTATTTTCTTTTTATGTTGGTTATCTCCCACATACTTTCCTCCTGAGACATGACCCATGTGGTCCTTGCCCAGACTGACAAGTGAGAAGCAACAGGGATAGAAGCTATTACCATCTTACAGTTCCCATTCCCCAATTGGTCCCTTCAGTCCTTGTGATATCATCATGACATGATCTGTGGCTTCCACTGATGTGCTCTGAGGTACCACCCTGTGAAGGAAACGCCTGGTGTTTTCTAGCCCATAGACATGTTCTGCATTTTCTGCTTTTCTCTATGAACACACTCTGGGTTTAAGCTCTGATCTATATAGCATGCTAGGGCCAGTCCTCACATTAAAAATAAAATAAAATCATGTGGTGTAGCCCTTGGGGAACTGAACCATTCAGAGTGCTTATGGGGGATTTAATTATTTGAATGCTCTCCCATGCTAAAAACTCCTTCAAGGTGGAAATAAAACACACCTGGGAGAAAGTGTGTGTACTACCATTATGTACTACCTTTCCTCATCTAGTGTGGTGCTTTTAAAATTATTGTTAAGTGGAGAATATATATTATATTTCACCTACAGTGTGAAGTGACACTATATCAAAATGGTTGTTCCTTGTGTCTTTACGAGTCTTAAAGACTTGGATGAAATCTTTGAATGGTAGGTGCAGGGCGCTTCACAGAAAATCTGCCTTAGCTATCTTAAACATACGCTGGAAGCTGAGTATTATTAAATAATTCTACCTAGATAGCAAAAATAAGAATGGTTAGACTGTGCATTTGAAATACAGTTGGTTAAGCTGTTCTGTCAGGTGGCAATTGGAAAAAACTTGCTTTGCGTGAATGCCTGCCTTGTTGGTGTTTCTAGGCCTGTATCCTTTGCATGAATTCAGTTTGACTATTCTTTCCTGCAGTGCTCAGTTTCTGTTTCAGAAATAACTTCTAGAGAGCCAGCTTGTAGCACCCACAGGACCTTGGTGATTTCAGGAAACGTGGGACCGCTTCTGGGCTCACAATCTGAAACCACTCACACGGGAGCGCTGTTGGTTGACAAACAGTGCCTACACTTGGGAGTTTTTTGTCTTGTCACCACGTTTTGTTTGATGGTGTGGGTCATGTAGGAAGGCCATGTTTGGAGATGCTGGTATTCCCAGAGTGCATATCGCATGGACGTTGATGTGTCTCTGGTGACAGTCCAACTCCCAAGGCACTTTTGTTGTAGGCATGTGTTAACACCTGAACTCGGCCATAGAATCAGCAACGCATAGTGCCTTGTTCCAGCAAATCTACCCGTGCTTATAATTAGTTAAATTTTCTGATAGCTTGTATAAAACAGCTTGAATAAAATACTTTATTTGGCCTGGGCTTGTGAAAATTCTACTTAGGAAATGCTGTGATATATATTGGGACGCGGGTGGCACTGTGGGTTAAACCACAGAGCCTAGGACTTGCCGATCAGAAGGTTGGCGATTCGAACCCCCGCGATGGGGTGAACCCCCTTTGCTCAGTCCCTGCTCCTGCCAACCTAGCAGTTCGAAAGCATGTCAAAGTGCAAGTAGATAAATAGGTACCGCTCCAGAGGGAAGGTAAACAGCGTTTCCGTGTGCTGCTCTGGTTTGCCAGAAGCGGTTTAGTCATGCTGGCCACATGACCCGGAAGCTGTACGCCGGCTCCCTCGGCCAATAAAGCGAGATGAGTGCCGCAACTCAGAGTCGGTCATGACTGGACCTAATGGTCAGGGGTCCCTTTACCTTTACCTTTATGATATATATTGTGTAGAATGGCTGATGGAATTGCATGGAACCGTTAGCAGTTCCCTTTTAATATGGCTATATGAAGAGAAAAGTTAGTGATTTTTAACTAACGAAATGGACCCAAATGTGCTTGCTACGGCAGTGATGAAATGAATATTTTCGGTTTCTTTCTTCTTAGATCTGCTGCATCCTGCCTGTAACACCACTTAATATTTTAAAGACAAAAAGTAGCAAGGATTATTCATGTTGCACATGAACATCTTTCACCTATATGGTACCCAAGATTTCTGTGATCTTTCCATGCACTTTTTCTTAGTTTCCACTTAAGGCTGTAGACCTCCTTGGATAGGATACAACTCTTAAGAGTATAGCTCTTTGGGATGTTTGTAGAGGTCCTTTTGATGGTGCTTTAAGTGCTTCTAGTAAGCCCTATGCTGAATGACAATGCATCTGAAGAATAAGTTGGCTAGTGGCAGCTGGCCAGTTATTTTATTACTGCTATCAATTTCAGGTGAAGTGGAGATCACTTACTCTACAGTCTGTTATTCAGACTGGCTTATGTTATTATGTAGTTCACATTAATTACAACATTTACCGTTTGATCTGGTCCAATGCAGATACTTATCCTTAAAAAGTATTTTTATTCTGTCTTGGAAGAACATCAAGATTGGGTGAGAACAATCATAGCCACTGATGGCTTGCCTATACAGTAGCTGCTTTGGTTATTGTCAGCACCTAGTCAAAAAAATCCCTCTGTATCTTCTTCTAGCATACTCACCTGAGAGATTCCACAGTGTGGAACTGTCTACAGTTACGCAATGTAAAATGAAGACACACATAATATTTTTAAACCGGTAGAGGTCCCTAGAAAAAGGGATTGATTGTTAAACTACTCTGGTAATTATACAGCTGTACCTTGGAAGTCGAACGGAATCCATTCTGGAAGTGCGTTTGACTTCCAAAATGTTTGGAAACCAAAGCGCTGCTTCTGATTGGCTGCAGGAAGCTGCAGAGGTCCCGTCGGATGTCTGGGTTCCAAAGAACGTTTGGAAACCAGAACACTCACTTCCGGGTTTGCGGTGTTTGGGAGCCAAAATGTCCGAGTACCAGGATCCAAGGTACAACTGTAGTTCTGTGAGGGGGTGTTGTTAACCGGTCTCAGCACCCTTAACAAATTACAGTTTCCAGGATTCTTTGGCTGTTTAAAGTGGTTTGATGCTGATTTACCTATAAAGTGCAGATAGGGCCTTAGGACTTCTTGACCTGGCCTTTCAGATGTTAGAATCATAGCGCTGGAAGGGAACCTGAGGGTCATCTAGTCCAACCCCATGCATTGCAGGCGCCATTGTTGGACAACTCCCACCATCACTGAACATTGGCCATGCAAGTTGCGTTCCAGCAACATTTGGAGGTCTCTGAAGTGAATGAGCATTCTTCTCCCAATGATACAAAAACGCATTAATACAGAAATCACCTGCCGCAGCTGCATTAACTATTGAAAAAAATATTTATAAAAGGGGACATCACAATTATTAAAGCGATGGGGCTGGGTAAATGAAAACATAAGGAATAGCAATGATATTCTGTGGAACTTTGTTGGATAGGAATAAGAGGCTTTTGGCTGTGGCTGCATTTAAGAAGCTGGCCTGGGATCAAGGCCCTACATTGCCAAGTTTCACACCAGTATTGGGGACCACTCACTTTTATTAGCTGCTGCCTCAGTGCATTAGGCTATGTTAGCATTGGAAAAGAAAAGAGAAAAGTGTATTTGGGCACCAAGTTTCTTTCTGCTATGTGTAGTTGAACATTATCACAAGAAGCATACCTTGGTCTAAGTTAAATTAACGTTTGAGCAACTGTCTGTTCGGCTGAAGACACTTAAGAACAGTGGCTCATTCACATTTAATGGGATTTCCACAATTCCCAACATTAGCTGGGAAAGCCCATGGGTGCCTTCTGCACAGAGAATGTTCTAGAGTAAAAGACATAACAAATTGGGGCTTGTGTTCTCTCGTTAAATGCATTATAAACACTAGTAGGGAGCTTAACTCTGGGGTCAGAAGCGTTTAAAAGTTATGAACTTTCCTCGGTGCTACAAGCAAATGAACATCAAATCCAGGCTTAACAAATAACTGTGAGGAAAATGTTCTCATTTTAAGAGCCATTTCCTTAAATTTTCTCCTCTGTTCTGAAATTTATAGACGTTGGGTTTTTTGGCTGAATGTTGTCAAATAATGGGCAGGTCCTGGTCTTTGTTTCAGTCAGAACTCACCAGAACTGAGTTCTGGCACCTCTCAAGTGGGCGCCATTGCCGTTCTAAGAGAACAATTTTTCTTGAAAAATAGCACTGGGCAATAATAATTGGAATTGGTCTTCTGTTTAGTAGTGAAATAGCTGACAGGAAGTGGGCTTGTCTCAATAAAGGCAGGAGAAACATGAGGCGCTTCCGTATGCTCTGTTCTTAGGCATACATTTTTGTGGGTGTCTCTCCCTCAGGGTAAGAGCAGAGAGAAAGCTTTGTCCCTCCTCTCAACTGTCTTGCTAATTTAGGGAGCAATTTTGTGTTCCCTGGACTGAGGGGCTGTAGGATTATGATGACCTCCCTCTCTGTGGGAGATCCACCTGGACCAATGGTAGAAAGTTAAATGGTAGAACCGGAAACTGAATTCTTCCAGGGACAGGTCAGGGAAAGGCCTTGGATTTGCCAAAGCTGCTGTTTCCCAGAAAGGGTAAAAAAAATAAAAATGGCCAGCCCTGGAACTGGTAGACCAGTTCCTCACCTATTAGCGTCAACAGGAGAGAATTGAAAGTGCTCCCCTCCTCCTCTTCTGGATCGCGAGAACCACACAATCACTTTAGGAATGCTCTGTTGGCTTGTTCCATAGAACTTAATAAGAACCATTGAGAACAGAAAAAATTCCTTCCAGTAGCACCTTAAAGACCAACTAAGTTAGTTCTTGGTATGAGCTTTCGTGTGCATGCACACTTCTTCAAATACACAATTTTTTTTTGTTTTGACTATGGCAGACCAACACGGCTACCTATCTGTCATTGAGAACAGAGACATTTCTTGCATTGCCCCTACCTAGGAATTGCTTCTAAGCCACATAAAGGTGTCACAAAGAAATGAAACCTGGGAATTGGTATGGATATGCATCACAAACATACATGGATTAAATCGTAGCAATAGCCCCACATAATGTAAAATGTTAACACAAATATAAATGGCTTCCCCCCTTTTCCTTTTTTTGTTTTTGTTTTTACAGAATTGTTTCTATTACTGGGGATTTGCTGCCTGGCTTGCTTATTATATCAACCATCCTCTTTACACACCGCCCTGTAAGTAGCAGCATAACACACATTTTACTTTTTATTTTGTTTTAGCATTTCATTAACGGTGCTAACCGAGTGCTAAATTGAACCTTCCCTTGTTTTTGTCTTGCAGCTTACGGACAAAAGCAGGTCAATCTCGCTTTGATCATGTTCCTGGTGAGTAAATTGCAAATATAAATACTATATTGTAAGAAATTTCCTTTGTTGTACTTTAGATAGCATATGGAATGGGCAAATGCAGATGTACAAATGGTGACCGCAGCTTAAAATGCCAGTTTCAGTAGAGAGGAAGGTCCCTCCCTCCCCTTTGTCAGAAGGGTTTTATAGAATCTGGGATGTGGCTATTACATATAAACTCATTTACTATGTGCAAGCAAGGGGCAAAGGATTGTAGGAAAATAGATTTATAGAGATATGGGTGACTTGCTTCTTTTTGGATTGACAAATTTAAATAATTGAATAATAATAATTTTAATTTAGTAATTTAAATAATACCATGTGCACCATTTCTTTTGGTTTGAAAAATGATTTTTAAAAGAAATGTTGCATTCCCCTCCCCTTTTCGTATAATAATAGGTTATAAATGCAAAATTAAGTAAACTGAATGAAATGGTCCTGAAATCTTCCAATGAATTAAACCACTGATGCCACTTTAAGGGGGATTTTTATAAGGAACACAGTGTGCCGGGAGGGGAGCTTTATCCCTTCCCTCCCCAGTTATGATCCTGGTGCTTAGTGTAGAGTGGGCTAATGAGAACATTGTTGTTTTACTAATCCTCATAAATTGTATTTGTTCAGAGCCCTCTTTATTTAAAGCAGTCTTTGTTTTAATTGTCTTTTATTTCTGTCTCATTGCAGACATGTGAAGCTGGAAACTTTTCTATCCATGTTGCACTTAGTAATTTGAGAAGAGATGGTAAAAGTTGAGTGCTTAGTTTCTATTGTTATTATTATCATCATCATCATTATTAATTGGCTTGAGTTAGGGTGGGCTTTCAAAGGTGTAAACTGACCTCCCCCTCAGCATTTATTTATTTTGGTAAAGAGCATTAATACTTCTGCAATCCTTGAGGTTCCTCCAAGCCTGCTGATACCTACTAGTCGGTGCTGTTTTGGTTACAAAAGGATTTGCATCAGAGAATTAGTTCATATTAGTATATCGGATTAAAGCTACAATTATTCTAGGCAGACAGTCCACTGCAGGAACTGCCTGAAGGTAGTCAGCATAGGTTATTGGCTAATGACATTGCCATTTAAAAAAAAGATTTCCAAATATGCAAGGCAAGGGAGGAGGAAAAAGGACTTCTACTCTAAACTGTCTAGTCTTACGGAGAGTGAAAAATTATTCCTAGTTTAGCTCATGATAGAATGGTCCTTTTCATCCCATCCCACAGCTGATCATTCTATAATCCAGAGAAGAGCAGACTTCAGACTTGCAGGAGCTACTTTGAGTTTTACCAGAACCCCTATATTTACCAACTAGAGCCATGCTGTCAAACCATATACTATAGGGAAAATGTGTCTGTATACAGAAAGTAGCACTAGTTTTACATTTCTGTGGACCTTTTAAATCAATAGGATCCAAGACCAGTAAGATCCCTTATCCGACGAAGAATCCTTTCACATGGCTGTTTTATTTTGTGTCCTGCCCTAACTATACTTATGAGGTATGTATGTTTGACAACTGAACGGACCGGTAACGTTTAGCTTATGCTTAAAGATTGGTGTAAGATTTTGCTTTCGTAGGGGAGTGTAAAGAAATGTTCAGGATTCCATGGGGGCAACTTCTGAGATGAGAAACTCAGTAAAATGCATGTATTTTATTACCCCACCTTGGTTACAAAAGCACAGCTGAGTTGCATCTCAAACACATCCTATACTTTGAGACAGCGTTTAAGCTGCACCTCTCAGTGAAACTGACGAAGAAAGGGTAAGATAAAGTTTGATTTTTTAAAATTGCCTAGTGAAAGAGAGAAATTGGTCAGATAATGAATTGGAGTGTGTAAACAGGAGTATTGCAGGAGGTGGTTTGGAGGATTATCCAGGCTCTATTACATTTTCACATTATGGCAGAGCTGCCTCTACCATGAATTAGGCCAGGCGTAGGCAAACTTGGCCCTCCAGATGTTTTGGGACTACAACTCCCATCATCCCTGACCACTGGTCCTGTTAACTAGGGATGATGGGAGTTGTAGTCCCAAAACAGCTGGAGGGCCGAGTTTGCCTATGCTTGAATTAGGCCGTGTGACACAGCCAACCTTTGCAGTACTAGCAAAGGATAGAAAAATTACCAGTAATTTAGCTGCTTGCATTTTTGTGTATATGTCTGTGTGTTCTTTGGATTTTGTGTCGGACATCAAAATATTCTGAGCTCTGTCTCTACGTCATATTGACTTTTGCGTTTGGAGCATAGGAATTTATTGTTTGGCTTCATTGTCTTATTTGAGACTTCCAGCGTCATTTGCTGCAAAGGGATGTTGCAGCAGAGTGTCACTTTTGTAGGAATATAGACTTTATGGAGCGAGCAAGAGTGGGGAAATGCATTATGTACCACGAAAACAGATGCCATTACTATGCAGATAGCGACAGGCAGCATGTGTGCACATGAGTTTTCCATGGAGAACTCCATTCAGAAACAACCACCTAAAATTCAGAGAGAGAGATTTTTAAAGGATGTCGGGAGGACGTTTGTGTACATGTACCTGTTTTAAAAGCTCTCATACCAAATTCCCAACCTTTTTTTTTTAACTTGAGAAGATTGTAAAGAAATGTTGGGGGCAGCTTCTGAGGCCACTTCCAGATTATTAAGCATTTATTTTCATTGTTTGTGGGGAGATTGTATGACATCATATCAAACCACTGTTATCCCTCAGTTTCCTTAACACAAAGTCTTTTTTTAAAAAAAAACACCTCTTTTTTGTACATGAGTGTCAAAGCCACTTAAAATGTACAACTTGAATTTACCCGTGTGCGATTGAATCCCACCCCCAAAACAGTGACTCCCTGGAAAATGCCCCAAACTGGGAAAATTCTTAGGAAGGAAAATATGAGCACAAAGACTTGGTTAGGACAGGGGTACAGCTATATAGGCCATAGGTCTTGGAGGTGAGTGAGTGAGTGGCTAACTGGTTGCATTTTTGACTGACCAGGTTTACAGGTGTGTGATACTGACACTTGCATTCACTGCCTCCATTCTGTCTCAACAGAAACACTGTGTTCTAGACTCATACACTTCAATTTTGAAAAAAATTAAAATGATATGTGTGTAGGTCTGTCGAGGTTGCAAAAATAACACTACAAGGGGGCTGTGCTTTTGTGGATTCTGGTCCATATATCCAAATGGCTCCAGTTACTTCTCTGGTTGTGTGCATGATTGTATTTCAGTTGTTTTATTACTAAGGTTTTTACAAGCTGGTATTAAAAAGAGATGCATTTGTATGTATTTTTTAAAAAGGGGACTAGCTTGTTTTAGCAGTTTTTATTGTGTGAAATAGTTTTGCATTTTCTTCACCATTACAGCTGGGGACATGGATTGGTTTTACTATCATGACTCAATGCGTTCCAGGTGAATAAGATTCTTGGTTTGAAAATTTTGGGCTAATATTCCAGCTACAATATTTCATAAATGTTGACCTCTCTCTCTCTCTTTTCTCTTTCTTTCTCTTTCTCTCTCTTGCAGTGGGACTCTTCACCTTTCTTTGTTTCATTCAGATGTCAGTCTGGGCAAAAGATAAACACTCCACCTATATACGAGAGTTTAAGGATTATCCTAGTCTTAGAATGTCTATCATTCCTTTCTTACTGTAAGAACAAGGTTGTTGGGTTTTTTAAAAAGTAAATTATCAGAAACAAAGTGGATGAGGCTGCATAGACACAACCACAGGCAAAGAAAATAAGTTAGGGTATGAAGATAATTTAGGCAAGGTTTCCCAGGAGCATGCAGAAAATACTAGCTAGTGTGGAATTCCATGGGCTCAAAAGCTACATAGTGGGGTAGGAGAGCTGGGAGGGAGGATTTCACATCTGGCAACCAATGCGCCCCTTTGGTTTCAGATAGTACATGGGTAGTACATCTACCCTTCAGGTAAGACCAGTCACTATTTACTAAGGTGGACAATAAAGTCACTGGATTGGGACGTACCACAGCTATCCCCAAGTGGGTGGGACCCAACTGCAGATGAGCTGATCAAAGTACCCAATGAAGAACTGTGTGACCAAATGCTGCATCAGCTGACGATAATTGGTCCAGCTTGTAATGCCTGGCGAAGGTACTTGAGGAAGACCAAGTAGCTGCCTTACAAATATCAAGCAGCGGAGCATTAGTGGCGAAGTGGATGCTGACCTGGTTGAATGAGAAAATAGATGTGTTGGCTGGGGCAGCTTGAGGGATTCGTAAGCTAGGGTAATGCAAGCCCGTATCCATCTGGCAAGGGTGGAACTTGAAACCCTCCTCCACAGAGATGAAGGATGGAAGGACACAAACAAGGAGTCCACTGTTCTAATTTCTTGTGTTCAATGAATGTACAGCTTTAGTGCCCGATGAACGCCTAAGGAATGCCAGGCCTTTCCCATAGGGTGCTTTGGATTAGGACAGAAAGTTGGAAGAATCGATTCCTGTTGGACATGGAATCTCGAAAGTACTTTCGGGATGAAGGTACAATCTGCGCAGCAATACTTATGGAAGATGCAGAGATGTTTCACCTACCTCCCACAATTCTTAGCTCCTTGGTAGCGTGGTGAGGGAATTACCCAATCCAGTGGCTTCATCTTCCACCGTAGTAAATACATTACTTCTGGTAAATGAGCCACCATAGCTCATTGTGTTCCGGGCTTTTTAGATTCGTCTACCCATGTACTATATGGAACCAAAGGGGCACATTGGTTGCCAGATGTGAAATACATTGGCATTATTTTCAGCATTCCTACTCCGCTAACATCTTCATGTATTTTTAAAATTTGTGGGATTCAGTATTGGTTTTATCTTCTCCCCCAATCCCCATGTTGTCATCTTTAGCCATGAAGGGTGTTCAGAGCTAACTCTTTGGCAAAGGTATTATCCACTGTTGCCGAAAGAATATGCTTTCTGTAAAAGTCTGGGCCAGGCCCTGTGGCAAAAAGGAAGCATGAGAATTGGGTGTGAAACAGTCTGGAATTCCACAAACAGATATGTTTTGAGGGAGGGCAGTTCTGGATGATATGTTTATTGAGCGTTCATCCTGATTTGTTTCCAGGGAGGTTAGATGATGTTGCGTCAAAGCAATTATTATTGTTTTCCCACTCTTTCTGGTGCGTTTCCCTTCACTTTCCTTATTGCAAAAAAAGTCTGACTTTGGGAGAAAGTGGGGTTGTTGTGAAAGAGCTCCAAATCCGCTCTAATTGTGCAACCTGATTTCCCCAGTATGTGATTGAATCCCAACCTGAAATAGCAACAGCCTGGAACTGCCCAATCTCTGGACGAATTGTGCTTCAAAGCTGAGGCATGGAAAGCACTGTGGGCGGCTTCAAATCAAGCATTTGCTGTGGGAAATACTTTTACAATGTGAATGAAAGTAGTACACCCACACACACAGAGAGAGAGCATTGGGAATGAGAACAACATAGTTAAAGTGTTCAGAATAATCATTTGAAACAGACTTGTTGGGAATGAACCATTTCAGACTGCAAGGTGAGAGTTGCCTATTTGAATGTTTCCATTGCAAGAAACTCCCAGATTTATATAAAACTTGAACTTGAAGGAAAAAGGGTTCTTGTGTGTCTCTTGCCCTATTTAGCATGCTCTTGTTGTCTTAATGGATGGCTGATAGTTGTATTTTGTATTAGATTTTAATATTTTGGGACTTGATGCTATGTTTTGGATCAGCTGTTTTTTATTTATTAATTGTGGTTATTTTTGTATTGGTTTTTATTTAGTAAGTTGACTTGACAGGGTTTTAACCTTAAAAGTGGTCCAGAAATATTTAAAATTATTACATTCAGGGTGTCCTGTTAAAGGGAAGAAGCATTCAAACATTCACCACCCTGCAGTCTGAAGTGATGCAATACCAACAAGGCTGTCATGTGATTATTCTACTTGCATCTCTCATTCTTGGAAAACACTTCATGCTATACCCTGGTGCATGCTTACTTGAGAGTAGGGATAGCAAATCAGTTAGTCTTGATTCTCTATTTCTCATGATTGTAGTCTTAAATTCGGTCCTCCACATTTATGCAGCATTTTGTGAATTTTCTGTTAGAAAATATCCTCCTGAAAGTGCTTCAGCATTTTAATATGAATTTCTGCTAGAAAACCCCTTTTTGTATGCCATTTTGAATAATGCACACATTTTTGCAAGCAATGTCTCCTTAATATAATGCATTTTTAATGTTATTTTCAATAATATTCATTTTTATGTACACTTTTAACTACTATATGCATTTTTGTAAACATTGGTTGGTTGGAGAATTGCATCACAAAATTTGGATAAGTGTGAAATTCTAAGGGTGGCTATGTTCTGGTACTCATAGTTTTGGAAAGTGTAAATTTGGCTTCAAATGCAAAGTGAATTGACTTCGCCCCCATTGTTATATCAGAGTAGGCTAAGGGATGCTTCCTTTGCGTAGGAGTGGGTTGCCCATGTACTTGCAAATGTAAGTAGAACAATTGGTACTTAACCTGAAGAGTAGATTTGTGTTGCACAGGACTATGGGCTATGGCTTTGCCCCTTTGATGAAGGAAGGAGTGAAAATTTAGGAAATGGATGGCTCCTTTGTCCTCAGCATTGCAGACTCACTAAGCACAAGTAGTCCATGGAGTCTCATCAGTTAATAAGCAAATAACATACAGTAATAAAGCCGAATTCCTTTGGAACAAGAACTTTTCCTAACTGAACTATTCAACAGTGTTGCAGGCCATTATAAGGTGGGGCCCCAATGGTCTCACGCTGGCAACACAAATCTACTATTCAGGTATGTACCAATCGTACTATATCCTTTTGCCAGCATGACACCACTGGTTGGGACATACCAAAGCTCTCCCAACTAGGGTGGGTACCACTGCAAAGAAAACACTGTGAGGCCTGTTGGAGGACCCTCTGACCAATGGCGGTGTCAGCTGACACCCAGGGTGTCTTGTTTTAGTGTATGGTAAAGGTACTGGGAGATGCTCAGGTGGCTGCCCTGCAGATTTTCAGCAGGGAGGCATTGGTGAAGGACGCCACCAGGACGTCTGCTGCCCCAGAGGAATGTGCTGTCGGTTTGGCAGGGACAGGTAGCCTTTGCGCCTCATATGCCGTGGTAACACAGGTGCAAATCCATCAGGATAGTGTGCTTGGGGTGACTTTTCTACCTAACATAGAATGGTGGAATGATTACCAAAGCACTTTGGTATGGGCTATATAGATCTTAAGGCATCTTATGGCAGAGCTTTCCAAACTGTGTTGCAACACGTTAGTGTGTTGGCTGCAGTGTGTCATGTGAACGCTCCCCTCGCACTTCCCTGGGCTGGAAAGGGAGCAGACGGCCCGCCGATTTGCTAGTAAAACTGAATTACTGTGTCACGAAATGATGCATGTCTAAAAAGTGTGTCACCAACGTGAAAAGTTTGGAAAGCTCTGGTGTAAGGAATGCCAGGCCTTTTCAAGAGGGTGGTATGGATTGGGGGGAAATCTACGTAGTATCAGTTCCTGCTGTAGGTGGAGTCTGGAAAGGACATTAGGCAGGATCAGTATGGAGGATGTCTTTGTCTTTCTGGAATATGCAGGGGCGTTGGACCACCATAGGCTGTTGAGTTCAGATACTCTGCAGGCAGATGTGACTGCCACAAGGAATAAGACCTTGAATGATAGCGTGCAGAGTAGTAGCTCTTTACTGGTGGCTCCAGAGAAAGTCAGTGGGGGTACAAAAGGTAGCAGGAAAGGGAAAAGCTATTTTTAAAAAGTTGTTTTGAATTTGAAAATGAAGGTAAGCAGATGAAGAATAAAGTAAATCAGAAGAGAAAAGGAAGAAAGTGTCAAGAGGAAAAAAAGGAGTAAAATCATGGGAGCCCAAGGAAACTGTGACTATCTTCGTCAAAGGTAGGAACGAAAACTTCCTAAATCTCCATCCCTGCCTTTGTCAAAGGGTCATAGCCTAACCAGTGGCCCCATATTGCCAAAAGGAAATATGGAGGTGTGGTCCTCTAGTTACTCTTCATATATACCAAAATACAAGGAAATGTGGAAAATAGTTTTCCTTATTTTGTGTTCAATGCATTTTAAGAAGGCTCTGTGCAAATCAAATCAGTAAATGAATAAGACATTATGTTACAAAGTTTTAAGAACTTAATTTTAAGACTATCAGCAAAGGGACTCTGACTGTTTCTTGATGAAGTTTATTCCTCTAGAAATGTACATAAATTTTTGCAACAATTTGTAAAGAGAATATGCAATAAATTCAAACTTATATTTTGAATTCTGTCCAATTAATTATAGCAATAGAAGACACATTGCGACTGGTGAGTGAAGTTTTAATATTTCTTTAATACCATATTTTTCAAGTTTAAAAAAATGCATCCATGATAAGATAAAAAAACCTCTTGTTTCTTTTCACACAGACAATGTGTAAATGTTTGTTATACAGCAAATTACAGCCGAGAAATTCAAATCACATTTAATGACTTTCAGGATCTGCTTCAAGTTTGTTTCTTTATTCAAAGCTATGTTGGAATTATAGCATTGTCCGTCCTGATGCTCAGTACAGGAAATCCTAAGCTAGACCTTCCCAACAGATAGCAGTCCATCCTCTGCAACTAATTCCATGGTGGAACTGCACTTAATTTTATCTATCTCCTAATATTCAACTGAAACATACTCCCTAGTCCTGCCATCAGAGCAGCTCTTCAGTCTCCTCTATTTGGAGAGCATTTTTAGGTCTTTGCCTCTTGAGTCACCCATCTGTGGCATAGTTATTGCTGGGAGTGGCCGTCGTGTATATCAATATATCGCCGAGGACTGGTATGAGGGGCAGAGTGGGATGGTGGTTTCACTCAGCGGTGTATCACTGGTGAAATTGCCTCCGCTCCAGAGTCCCTCTGCTACCAACGCCCACTGTGTCAAGGGAGAAACAAGCTGAAGCCAGGTGCTGGAGGCAGAGGGACTCTGGAGCAGTGGTGGTTTCACCAGTGATACAGCTGCAGAGGGAGAAACAAGTGCCATCAGCAAGGCACCAATACAGCTTTTTCCTCGCTCCGCTTCTTGAAATTGCCCGGCTGAGGAGCATGCAGCTGCCCTTGCCTCAGCCAAGCAGTTTTACGGAGCCGGCGATAGTTTAGGCGCTCTCTTTTAAAGTGCTCCCGCTCCCCAGCTGAGAGATCTTCAAAGATGGAGGAAACGCTACAAACTGAGCCTGTCAGGTTGGCAGTGCTTGCTCCATCTATGAGGGCTTGCAAGGAGCCAGAGGCGGGCAGGGGGACTCCTTTAAACTTCTCTGTTCAGGGGCACACAGCTGCCTGCCCCGCAACAGAGACACAGAGCTTTCTCAGCTGGGGGGGGGGGAGCCTTTCCACCACACCCCCAGCTAAGCAGCAGGCTGCAGCCAGCTGCATTGGCCCCAGCTCGGCGAGGCACCGGGGTGAAAGCGCCTCAGCTCCCACTGTGAGAGCTGCAGCAGTTTCACTTGGCACCTCATGGGCTGGGGCCAATGCAGCTTGTTTCAGCATTGTGGTGCATTGCCAAATCACAATGTTTGGCTGGTGATAGAAAATCTAACATCGCCCAGCCCTAGTTGTGTAAGTTACTTCTCATTGGGTGTGTGTGGATGGTTAGGTTTTTAAACACCCAGTGTAGTCACTCAAAAAAGAGTGATGCCTGTGTGGTTGAAGGAGCTCCACCACCAAAAAACACCCAAAACCCACACAAGGAGCCACTTTCTGGCAGCTACTCTCCAATACCATAACTGAATTAAACAGAATGCTATTTTTTTTAAAAAAAGTTTTACTTTCAACAGAGACCCACAATGGTTATAGCACTGAAACATACAAAACAGATACTAAAAGGTTATTGATCTTGAGATTAGAGCAGCTTGAATTGAACCTCAGCTAATGCAATATTCCTTCGACATAAATCCTTTTTTAAAAAGATGTCAAAATCAATAGCACCTTTGGGGAATCTCTTCTAGATGGTTTCCTGTTGACTTCACTAAGAGCTGCATACAACTACAAGCTATGGTTGGGCTAAATCCAAATCTCCACCTGTTAAGATTTTCATGGTGGGAAAAATGGCACAACTGTGAACTCCCCCATTGTACCTTTTAATTAGGTTTTAAGTGGGAGTTAAGTAGTATCAAGAGTTGAAAATGAACTGTTAACAGCTGAGGGGAATATTCCAATTTAAAACTAATCTAGTAAAAGTGAGCCACTAATGTAAAGAAGGCCATGAGAGACCAAATATTTCCTGTTCATCCGTAAAATTTTGTGATTCTGTTGCTGGCAGTGACAGCCCATCTTGTGCCTGACTGCTGTCAAGTCTAGATTTGACCCAGAGCATTAATGCCACAGAACAATAGACTTTAAATAAACATGTGTGCTTGTTTCTGTTTTTGGTTCAGAATGAAACTAGTAAGCAAAGCACATGCATCCTTGGGCTTAAAAAAAATATTTACGAACACACAAGTGATTTTGACTAAACTTAGTATCTACTCATTTGATCCCATCACTGTGCCAAGCTAAAGTTCCTAATATTACATTCTACTTTGCTAAAAAAAAATTATTTAAGAAATGCACATGCAGCTTCACAGGGCAGAGCCCTCCACAGGCAGCTGTCAAGTGTTAATGCAATATTTTAAAAATGCTTAAAATACATTCAAAACAACCCATTTATAATACTAAAAACTGCTTTAAAAGCCCAGCACAATACTTTTAGTAAAAAAGACTGAAAAGCAAATCTGTTTTTTGTTTTTTGTTTGGTTCTGTAAAAGCTTAACGAAGATGGATCCATTCATACATACTTCCTTTGTGGGCGAGTTCCAAAGATGCAGGGAAACCACTGAAAGGGGGCTAAAACCTGTGCTGGTGAGAAGCTTATTCAAGATTTGTAGCACTCTGCTCTGGCCTGGGGCCCAGCTCTTGGGGAGTTTGCTTCACCTGTTGCACAACTTCTCTATGCAGTTGTCTTCCGATAGAAAGCGGGGGTCACCTTCACCTCTCTACTAGCTCCCGCTGCACGAGGGTGGAGATGAATTTCCTCATCCTCCATCTGTTGTTTAGCAAAGTTGACAAAAACCTGTGGAAGGAAACCGGGAAATGCATAATCAGAACTGCACTTGCTAGAAGGAAGTAGGGAAATCCAGAATGTCTGTGACAATATCAAGAACATAGGTGATTCATGACTCCAGTGTTGACCTTGGAAAGATCTCTCCACGTCCCGTCCCCCCCAGATGTTCATCTCATGCATGCAGTTTTCTAGATCAGGACTGGTGGCTAAGCCCAGTACCTCTAAGGTGAGGAGCCAAGGACCTGTCTTTCCCACATGAACTGCAATCACCATCTGAGGCCCTTCTTTGTGTGCATCCCCAAACAAGGTTAGGAAGATGGCAACACAAGAATTGGCTTTTCCATTGGAAAACAAATAACCTATGGCCAACCAGATGTTGCTTTAGAGCTGGAGTGAAACATCAGGGAAATAAGCTCTCCTCCTCCAATTAGACTCATGCACAGGCTGACCTGGCAGAAGTCACGAGACGTGGCGTGATTGACAAGGCAATTCTCATACAACGTGTGCACAAATAAGCCTGCTTCTTACTAACAAGAACTTTCAAAAAGCACACATTAAATACATGTAAGGGTTTTTGTGAGAAAGAAATGCATCTTTTTGTTCTGCAAAGGAAGAGCCATGTCTTGTGAAGCGAAGGCCATTCTTATGACAAGTGCATCACCTTAATTAGTATAATTGGTCTGCAAAGCTTGGTTCTACTGAAAATGACTGACCACAATTATCTCCTCTTTAAATCAACACTTTCCTCACTTAATGCCACTCTCTATTTTCAGATGAATGGAATCTGGAAGCACACAGCCTTTTAGAAAGAATTGCCTGTTACTAAAACATACTAGGCATTGGGGGGGGGGTCCTAAGTGGCGGAGGGCTTGCATTTGTTGAGTTAGGCCCCTCCCCCATTTTTAGCATATATTTTTCTTACCTGATCCAGGGTGGTTTGTGTGACAGAGTATTCTTCAATATTCAGGTTGTCCTTGTTAGAGAGAATCAGCCGGAAGATCTTGGCCAGTGAGTAGGCGCATATCTGGTACTGGAGCATGTTGTGGTGCTTTTCCCTTTGTATGCTGCCAGGGAAGTTCACTTCTATGAAGTGTTCAGCTAGGCTCAGGTCTGGAGGCAGTCCGGGTTTAGAGGCCTTTATTTTCATGCTGATAATGTATCCATCTCCGTATCTGTGAAATACCCATGGTATATGAAGTGACGGATTTACTACCCCAGTAAATAATATTCATCCATCAACTACACTAAATTACACTAAATCAATCAATAAACATAAGACATGAATCATCAGCTTACTTGTACTTGAGATGTTGGATGGTGCCCAGGCATTTGAAGGTTCCCTTAACCATGATGGCTAGACGTGTGCAGAGCGCCTCACATTCTTCCATGCTTGTAAAGAGAGAAAGCTTGATGTAAAAAAGGCCTGTAGTCCCACTTACTCATATTGACCCCAGCCAGTAAATGCTCCATTGCGTTGTAACTTTGTCAGGATGCTCAGCTGTTATTGCAGGCTTGCTGCTGATAGGGGTCTAGAGAGAGCCTCTGACATCAGTGGGATAACCAGCCTCATACAGGCAACTCCCCATTCATGTGCATTCACGGCACATGTGCTGGTTTCAGCACCGCAAGGGGGCCGACTGACATGCACGGTGCCTTGGAACGCAACCCCCATGCTAATGGGGAGTGCCTGTATAACCAACACGCTTAAGTTTAATTAATTCATGAAGAGGTTAATGCCATAGTAAGCTGTTCTGCCAGGCTTAACTAAGTTGCTTTGTCCACTTGGGGGGAAAGTCTTGTTTCCGTCAGTCTGCCACATGAACTCCAGTATGTAAAGAGGTCTGAAAAGAGGTTGCTCCAAGCTGCATTTTCTGACTGCTGTATGGAAAAGCACATGAACTGGACCTTCAGAGAGTTTGTAAGTAAACCATTTTTAACTTTCCAAATGTGTGGTCTTTTTCTATGATAGGGGAAATGGTAGATTTTCACCTGCAAACTGAAGTAGTACATTGCTATGAGTACTGTATCACATGCTTTCTCTGAAGGTTTACAACAGCAGCAAGTATTTTTTTTAAAAGGGTGTTAGATTCCCATACTGATTTTACATGGGGAGGTTTGTATTACCTGTGTGACGTAAGGACCACAGCTCTTCCGTCTCTGATCACACTGACAATTGAGTTCCATAAGAAGCGCCGGGACTGAGGGTCCATTCCTGTAGTTGGCTCATCCTGTGAGATGTGGATGATAATAATGATGTGGGTACCCTGAACAAAATACTGCAGCATATGCCCTGTACGTAACCCAACAGCATTTCCTGCTAAGAGCTCCAGCCAGCCTGGAACAGGAGCTTTGTTAGTGCTATTTGGAGCTCAGTGAGAGAAGGACAGATACACCTTTTTATTTTATTTTTCATACAGGTCCTGCAAGGCTCAGGTTTGCATTTTAGTATTCTTACTCTCACACATTCTAAAAAATGCACTTTTTCAGGTGTTAGGATGAAAAATGCCCCCAAATTTAATTTGGGGGGGAAAGTGCGACTTAACCTTCCAAAAATATCAGAAACACCATTTGAAGTGGTTCAGCAGAGGACAGCAAGAAAATCAGGGCACTAAATTTTGCAAAGAACCACACCAGGCAAGAAAACAAATTTGGAGTTTGGCACTGTTTGGGGTGTTTCTCAGAGAAATTGGTGTTTTTAATAGTGTGTTGTGTACCGTCCTGATACTTTACGACATGGTGACATAGAAATTACTTTTAGAAGTAAAATAATTTGCACACCACACGGTGTCCAACTGGAGTTTTCCACAACCTTACAGAATTGCCTTCATCTAAAGAGGCTACTTTTTACCTGGCCTCCTTGCCACAAAGTGACTTACCAGCAGGACTAAAGGAGGGCAGCCTATCAGCGCAATGGCAGTGGAGAGCTTGCGCTTGTTCCCACCGCTGTATGTGCCTGCCAACTGATCTGCATACATCAGGAGACCAAGCTTCTGAATTCCCCACTCTGCAACCTGTGGAGAAGGGATAAAGGAGGTCAAAGGACTGGTAGTTACTTAAAACACAATGGGCTCAATCCAGTCCATGATGGGAGCAGAGTCTATTAAGGAATGCAGTTATTGGGTTACTTCTCCAGAATCCACACAGAACTCTTCTTATGCATTGGTAATACAAGAAAACTCTGCAGATTGGCAGGATGGATTTGCAGAATTATTTTACCAGGTGCAAGGTTGGCACGTGGAAATAACAGCAGCAAGGTGGCGTGACTAGCCAGACTGGCTACCTGCAACTTTCACAGGGGTGAATGCATATCTGTACCGCAACATAGATAAGAATATGCATGGACATCAAAGAGCCGCCCAGGGATCTAACAACATACGTAACTGCCTTTTGGGCCTGGATATCTTGGGATGAAGTTCAAAGAATATATAAACAACTCTTGACTGATCAGAAATCATGGTTGTTGTTTTTTAAAGCCTCATACTTTTTAAAAATAATAAACGTTGATGAAGAATTTGTCCTTACCTTCTCAACTTCTGCTGCTGGGACACCACGCAGATTGGCATAAAGACGCAAGTGCTCTCTCCCCGTGAGCAGGTCATCAATCGCATCGAACTGTGGGCAGTAGCCCATGTTTTGATGAACATCAAATATGTGAGTCAATATGCTGAAGGAAAAAACCCACCGTTATAAGATAAATTGCACAGAACAGGAGTTACCATGTAGTTAAGAAGAAATGCATGCTAACATACAGTGAGCTATTCACAATATCTCCGATTTTATACCATTCCTGCCATGTAGGATAGGGGAAAGAAACTAAAACAAGCTCACCTCAGGCCACGTGCATCTTGTAGGAGCCGGAGGTGTTGAGTGAGCCTACTTCCCTCTCCAGCCACCAAAAGCATAATACGTGTGTGTATATGTGACTTTTTCTCCTGCCCTCAGCCACAGAACAGGGAAATATTGCTAACTGGCAGTGCAATGACAGTTACTCAAGTTACAGGGTGTTTTTATTTCTACAATCAAGCGGCATGTAAATTTTCCTAAATAAATTATTTCATTGTTCACTAGGCTGGGCTTACGCTTTCTGGCATTTTTCACGACATACCTGTGACCGGCAACTACAGCATCTCCAGATGTTACTTGAGTGTCTCCAGTCAGCATTTTGAATGTTGTTGTCTTGCCAGCTCCATTCACGCCCAAGAGACCGAAGCACTGAATTTTAAAGTAATCACACACTTTGTTAATTCCAGAAGGTTGTAAAAGTGAATCACTTCAAAAGGCTTTACAAAGTTGATTCACAACCCACCTCTCCGGGACGAATGCCAACACAGAGTCTGTCCACTGCTGGTGTGTGTCTACCTGCATAAATCTAGAATAAGAGGAGGAACTTTTTTTTAATAATAATCTCTTCTATGAAATCTACAGCTGAAGGAATATATCGGAACTTGGCATCTACCGCTTACAGGGACAAGAGGGTACAACATAATGGAAATGAACATACCATCAGCAAAGTTACATAAGAGAGGTCTAGGTAAAAACTGCTAAAAACATACACATGGTCTCCAAAAATCTAACAATCTTGCTGATGAGGATGTCAAGGTGAATAAGTCTTATAAAGGAAAAAAAAATATTTTTATGCAAACATCAACTTTTTGTTTGCACATTTAGAATATTCTTTATATTTTTCATAATGAAGTACAATAAATGGAAGTTGCAAGGAGTGATTCAGAGGTAGTGTCAACAGAAAGCAAAGTAAAATGATGCTTTACAGTTATGTGTTAGATCTTCAACAATGGAGTAACAGGAAGGAAAATAATACATTCCAGATGCTCCAAGGGATGCAAGTAGCTTCAGACTGATGATCAAAAGTCAAGGAAATAAGGGTCCAGGATGCCCCAGCCCCAAACAGAGGTTTCATGCTGGGCATACTGTCTTCCATTTCCAAGATAAAAGTAAAGCAAACACACTTTTTGTAACGCTGCCTGGAAGCAGATTACCTTGGTCAGTTCTTGTAATTTCAAAATATCCATTCTGCTGCCTCCATTCAAGATTCGTTGCCTTTCCTCTGCAACATCCTCATCTTCATCCATAACGGGCACCATCATGTTTTGGGCAAACCTGAAGAAGCCAGACAGAACAAGTTTATAATTCAGTCCAGGTGTGAAGAGCAGCCTTCATATACATATTGAAACACACATCCCACACTCAGAACAGTACTTTAGAAGGCAGATGCATTAAAACTAACTAATTTCATCCATACGAGACCTTTCCAGGCCAAGAGTTTTCCAACATACCATCCTGTAGAGAAGAAACTATGTTGCGACAGAAGATTCAGAACAAAATAGACAACACCCTGCACCGCCAGGGCAACCATGTTTTTTCCAGCAAAATCCCAGCGAAACGGGTTCAAGACATGTTCTTCCCCTTAGAGATGAAACCAACCAAAATCAAGCTGAATTACTACCAAAATATACAATGTGCTTCATTGGCAGCCACTGAAGTAATTGTTTTCAAATACAAAGAAGGACTTTATTTTACCATTATCAGTGAACTATTTTGCAATTTCTCTAGGTGTTCCCTCCTAATGAATATGCTATGCTGTTACCTTCCCCCCAAAAAACAAACACAAACCCAACCCACCTCAGTTATGCTGCCTCGGATAGAGAAATAAAATAATCTATCATTTTTAGAAGAGCCAAATGCACACAATTTTGTATGCAGTTTGGCTAATCATTGTTTTATTTTCACTAAATTCGGAATTTCAAAGTATGGCTGTGTTTTAATTGGCATTTTCTTTCGGAAAGTGAAAATTAGGTATGCCCTTTAAATGTGAACTGGGTCAAAGTTCTGCACCCTCCCTACCCCTCCAGGGTGTATATTAAGTTCTGAAAGGGCCAGCTCTGTGTTCAAAAGCTTACTTGGGTGTGGGGCAAAACAGAACAATTCCACGTTCCATCTGTACTTACCAAACCGAGCATATACATCAGTCACAGCTTGGTTCATGGCTAAGTCAATGAGTCCACGACCCAGGCAGAAATGAGGAAATACTAACAGGATATTTTTCAGTGTTTTATTGAACTGCAGCAGAACCTGCAAGAAACAGAAATACACAATATGCTAGCGCTATTCAGATTTACTCAAGAGTTCCTTTATAATTTAAGAAAACGTTGGGAGTTAGGATGAAAGGCTACACAATTCTTTACCTTACTAGCTTTTATTGGCAAGTGAAATAGGATGCAGTAATTGCCATGTAAATGAGGATGTACCAAATTGGGATGTACCAAATAGGAAATTTAGGTGGCAGATGAATGCCCCCACCCCTTTATCCAGTGCTACTGGATTAAAGGAAAAGTGGACCTATAAAAGTGGATGCTCCTTTTTGCCAACCCCCCCTTTAGAATTTCTAAACGTCTTACGCTGGCCACAGCAGAGAGGCTCTTAGATAGCGAAAGTTTGTGGCAGTTTCAGCAACTGTTTCTAACAATATCTGACTTGGCACACATCCACACATAAATACCCTTGCTGGATCATAGATTAATAAGTACAGTACTCTTGTCACAATAATGTCTATGACAAAAAGTCACTCACTGGGTTGTTCTCAAAGAGCTCCAGGACAAATGTAATGGCACTACTGTTGATACCAATGAAGAGGTTAATGCAAGACAAGGCAACGTAGGCAGTGCTTGGGACGCTGAAGAAGCAGGACAATGGGTACATCATAGGAATTATGGCCCACCTGCATGCAAAAACAGAAAAAAGGGGGGTAATAAATTATCTGCTTGGTGAACAAACTATGTCTGACCACCTCTGCTTTTTTATTTTGCTGGTGGTGAGAGGTCCTGGGATAGGGAAGAGATCATTTCTTGGCCACCTTCTTCCTGGGTGCCCTGCCGAGCAGTTGATTCCAGAGAACAAGTATATTAACACCTGTAGCTAACTGACTTGCCTTCAGAGAAGAAGGCTGGTGCAGTGCAGACCTTTTGGGATCCCTATGAAGGCACTTCCCCTTTAATTTTGTACTGCAGAATGTATTACCTGGTAGGAGACAGTGTGTGATGTATTATTGGGTGGTAATCGGAATTGTGTTTTGGTTGCCTGAGTGAGAGTCTGGGTTGTCACATCCAAGAGCGGGCAAAGGAGTTGTAAATTATGCTAGATGCTGCTATGTATTTTTGTAGATCCAACATTTGCTCTTTTAATAACTTGTTGGCTTGGCATTAGTTATCTGTATGGTTGAGAGTGAGGCTTGGGTGTGTAAGATAGCCAAGGATATATATGCAGATCCCCCACTATCTGCCCATTTGATATGCAAAAATACACTTATTCCCACATAGGAAAATACTCCTTATTCCATTGGAAATCATGGACTTTTTATGCAAACACTCGCCTAACAAAGAATTTCCACATAACATATTGTGTTACTATCACAGTTATTTCTAGTTACTAACAATCCTGTTTTGTGGAAGTTTATTGCATTTTTTCAGGTGATTTTTATCCTTAATGGCAACTTTAAGAGAATACTTTTTTAAAAATTACGCCGCTTTGAATCTGTATTTTATATTTGACCTTGCTTTTAATATAGGTTGTAAACCGCTTTGAGACTTTGTTTCTGAAAAGTATAAACAGGTATTTAAATATATGAAACAAGCACCTACTCAATACAACAGATACCCATATTTTGAATGTGTCTGGCCTTGTTAAGAATTAATGAAATTACTTACCCATATAGAAGCAGCAATGCGATAAGTGCGGGAAGGTTGCTTGGGGATGTGTATGCTTTCTTTTTGAAACCAATGAATATTCCCACTACCAAGCCAGCACTCACTGCATAATTGACCTGGCACAGGGGGAAGAAAATGAAAACTCATTACAAACAAACAAAACACCTGGAAATCGTTTGGAGCCATATCCCCAAATTTTGCACCAGCTTTTCCAATATTTTCCAGGATGCGTTCTACTGTGTGTATTATTCTCCTGGTAAAACAGGAAAGCTGCCCAGAAATATAGGCCTTAGCTGGAAAATCATCATCAATCAGCATATTATATTATATTATATTATACTTAAGTTTGGAATATTTTTGTTGGGTCTTCTTTAAAAAGAAGGTGGCAGGAAGAGACGTATGTGCATATCAGGGTTGGCTAACCATGTTGCTCTGATGGACTGCATTCACCCTTGACCAACCTTGAGGTGTGGCAACCCCACACCCCCTTTTCACATGCACACAGGCCCCCTTCCCAGCTGGTCAGTGCAGATCAGCTAACTGAGTTATCACCTCCTTATCAAATGTCTGACTTTAGGAATGAGGAAGAGGGCGATTTGTTTCATCACTGTGCCTGCTTTCATTTCTTCTCCTTTTTGCCACCACCACCAAACCTGGCAGCATCTTAGGGGCCCAGAAAAAAATGTCTTAAGGCTCCCAGGCCGGGGGTTAGCTGCACTGTCCATAATGGGCAAAACATTTTTATATGGATAAGTGCTAGAATGGGCTCTGGCACCTACAGTAAAGGATCTTGTGGCACATTGCTGGGGCAATCAGCGATACGATTCAACATCAGAAAACTGCATAAATCACAATGAAAATTTAAATTCATCACTTCAAGGTAAATAATATGACATGGATTGGGCTGATTTTATCTGATTAGGAAGAGCTGGGTGTCTGCTGCAACAAGGTTTTGTGGAAAGGCTGCATGACAGTATTTTACAGGACTCATTGAAGTCCATTCAACAACATATGTGACATATATATAAGGAGCTGCCTTATAACAAGTCGGGCGATTGCTCCATCTAGCTCAGTACTGTCTACACTGGCTGGCAGCAGGTCTCCAGGATTTCAAATAGAGGTGTATCTTAGCCCTACCTGGAGATGCCAGGGATTGAACCTACAACATTTTGCATGCACTACCACAGAGCTGTGGACCTCCTCTGTACTTTCTTACATCATGTCCATTGGCTACTTACAATGTCCCAAAGGAAATTGGTAAACCAGTAAACAAAAGGCCTCACACCGCTGACGAACTGGAGGTGCTTGGCTTTGGTCATCCGTTCTTGGATAAGGTACAAGACAAAGCTTGCTGGGATGAAAGACATGGCAAAGATCACACAGATGGCAACAACAGCATCTACTGAAGTGGTCAGCCTGCAGGGAGAAAAGTAGACGGGGACAGCTAACGATCAAGAGCTGTATTATTATTGTTTAAAAAACCAACACCTCGATGTACGTACTGTCACCCCAGTCTCTGAGGTTCTCTCAAGATCTCACAAGATTACATCTCCAAGCATGTGGCAATTGGTGGATATAAGCCCCTTTCACATCATCTGAGCAGCCAGAAACAACATGGCTAGGATGCACGCCATTGAACAAACAGAAGTAGTGGTGTAGCGTTCAAGAGCATCTATCGAAATGTCACTACATATGTGACAAACCTGCCCACTCAGAAATAAATTGAAAAATGTGCCATTGGGTTGCCACACCAACAGTGAATCTAAGTGAAAAACATATTATTTTTAAATAAGTAAGAGGAGATATAGATTAAATGTAAAAAAAAAGTATGGGCTGGCATTTGATGACACCGGGAAAACCCCCCTGCATACATGAGTAGCACCAATTCCACAATAAACTCTCACCTGAAAGCACCCTCTGTCTTCTGTTCACCCTAAACCTGTTGCTAAATGAAATGACAGGTTCTAACTATATTAAAGAGTAGCTTGATTTCTGCACTATACTTAGTGAAAGTATCATAAATATTTTTATCTTTCATACAGGCACATTCCAACCCTAACACATGCTAGCAAGAAGGGAGGGAAACATATCAGCAAACTTTTCTTGCTTACACAGTGACTTCAGAGAGCTGCTCCTTCGTGAGGTTCAGTGGATGGTTGACAGTAGTTATGCCGTATTCCTCGGGGTCTTTGCCAGTCTGCAGATTGGCTCTCAGGATTGCATTGTTGGCTATGTTGAGAAAACTGACCATGGCATGCCAGCCTTTGTTGTTAAACCACACCTGGCAGAGGAAGATAGCTCATTAGCAACTTGAGCAAGGCAAGTTCTGCCTCTTCTTTATTTCACCACCTGGCTATATAAGTGGAAATGGGTCAAGATCTCAGAACTTTGCTGGGGTGGTACTTCATATGTCTTGAAACAGGTGGCATTCGTCCCAAAATTTCATGCTTGCCTTTCCCTCTAAAAAGCAAATAAAAACCCCTTTTCATATCTCAAATAGGGTCTCTTTCTTTCTTTCTTTCTTTCTTTCTTTCTTTTCCTTCCTTCCTTCCTTCCTTCCTTCCTTCCTTCCTTCCTTCCTTCCTTCTCAGTTAAGGTAATACAACAAAGCCACTGTTCCCTTAGGTGTGAATGTTAAATGCCAGAAAAGGGAAAACTTGTCTATTTTTGACCAGGGGCTCCTCTTGTCCCGTGCCTAGAAGCAATGGGTTCGAGTGGTTTTCCATTTGCCCCACTCCTTTCCCAGGGAAACCTCACTCTTTAAGTGCTCAATTGGATCAAATGTCTACCTGGAGGAAGCCTGAATTGCCATTTGCTCCGACTGAGCATTAAAGAGTAGTTTCCCCCCAGGGGAAAGCAGTGAGACAAGAGGAAGTGTTGATAAGCCCTAGGTTTTGCAGGATCCCATAGTGCATGGATGGGAAACCTGTGGCCCTCCAGATGCTGGGACTACATCGGCCACAGGCAGCAGGGCCGGTGGTCAAGGAAGATGGGAGTTGAAATGCAACATCATTGGTAAGGACACAGGTTCCCTATCCCTGATATAGTGCTTCTAAACATTGAAAGGTTTAGTCTTAAATATAAAAAAATACCTTAATATTGTATTCAGTTTCCATGTACTTAAGAAAATTGGCCATTTCTTTCGAGGCAGCCATTGTTGCTTCACCCTAAATAGCAGAAAACAAAGGGCTAAATTTTTCTGCAGTGTAAACATACTTTAATGCCTATAGACATGGGGTGGGGGGAGCTCATGATTACATAAAATCAGAACAATCCTTGCTTACCCCTGTTATGTTCATCATCTGACCAAGATCTCTCAGGAAACCAACCATCTGCTCTCCGGTGACATGCAGTATTGGGAGTTTTCCTCCAATGGAGATTCCTCCATATCTAAAACACAAAGAGGACATGACCATCAATTGGTCATGGAGAACCCCATCTGTCTATGAATAGATTGATATACTGAACATTCCCTTAAGAATAAATGTGTCTTTCTTACAGAAAAGAAGTACATTACTCCATGTTGGGCGTGGAATATAATTATAAACCAGATAACGACTAGGTTAGTCATATCATGCTATCTGTTATGCTTTAGCAAATTCTTTAGGCTTCAAAATTCAACAGAAAACCTACAGTGCCTTCCTACCTTTTCTCATTGACCCAGTATTTGCTCTTCAAGCTGCAAAAGAAAATGAAAATATTATATTCCACACAAAGTTGGGTTCTTTCAGATTCAGGGAACTGCTGAATAAAATATCTGGGGACAATGGGCTGTATAAGAGTATTTTCAATAAGAGTATTTTCAAAGCGCAGGGACATTTGGCTTTGCAATGGAATTTCCCCTCCTCATCTCCCCACAGATTTGGGGAGGACACGGGCAGGGAGCAGAGGGAGGGGAAGTTCCGTTGCTCAAGTGGAAATACTTCATTGGATGCTGCTGAGTGTGACTTCACAAGAATGTCTAATCCTTACTCGGATGGCGAGTGATCTCACCCTCTATCATTGTTCCTGACTACCACTCATTAATCTGACCTTTCTGTACAGGTACAGATGGATTGCCCAGAGATAGCCTATGCATGTACACCTGTTCTATGCTTTTTCTGTGCAGACGTTGGATGGCCATCTGTCAAGGATGACTTAGCTGAGATTCCTGCATTGCAGGGGGTTGGAGTAGATGACCCTCGGATCCCTTCCAACTCCTAACTGTGCATAACAAAGCTTGAAAAGCTGTGATGCTGAACAGGAACAGTGGCAAGAGCATCACAACACTAAAGCTGCTTTTAATAAAAAGCAAAAACAAAGCTGCTGTGGCTATACACAAACATATTTGTGTATAACATATAGTTTGCCCTCACAACCCAGTCTTGTGCAGAGTTAGGAGCAGCAAAGTTAATTGGAAGCAATGGGTTTGCTGCTTGCACACCTGGCTCTGCACAAAACCAGGGATGGTTAAGCTGTGGCCCTCCAAATTTTGTCAGACTACAACTCCCATCAACCCTGACCACTGATAGTTGGGGCAGATATTATAAACCACAGTTATTTTATTCAGTGTCCTAACGAATGGAGAACTGCACAGTGGGCTGGGTATTCAAAACTATTCAAACCATTTCAAGGTAATTGTTCAGAGCCTCAGTCTATACAAGCTGCCCTGGATTTGTAAAAAAAAAGTTTCCAACCTGCTTCTTATGAGGGTGGGATAGGTTTTCACCAGGAAATCAGAAATATTTCGATGAGTGAGATCCTGAAGGATTTCTGTGCTACGCTGAGCTCTCTAAAAGGCAAAGAAAAGGACAAATGGATTAAGAAAACAACTGTTAAACCCCTCGTGGTTAGAATTTGGCAGTTCAGAGAGGCAGGCACAGAAAGAGGTCACACAGCAGTGATTGCTAATTTTGATTTACGGTGAGAAATGGCTCCTCTGCTGAAACCATAGAACTGCCCTGACTCTACTTGAAGTTTCAAGAAGAACTTCTGGTCTTTTTCTATATCTTGAATTCAGATCACATAAAATACCAGTGATTTGCAATCAAAAGCCAGGCAAGTTTCACTGAAGGCTACCATAATATTTGTAAACTTCGATAAACCTCACCCTAAAAATGAATGCAAATGACACTCAAAACCCTAGCAATGAATCTTCTCGATTGCGAACTAGTGTCATTACAGCTTTGGGGAATTAAAAGACAAGAAACAACTCGGCAGCTAGCAAAAACAACCACCCATTCACGTAGTATATGAATTTAACCACAGAGTGGCAGCACTACCCTTCACTAGAAGACAAATGAGACTATGCATGAGGGTTTTTCAAAGTAACCAAATATGACCAACAACCTATTTCAAGAAGAGTGTTGTGAAATTGTTTTTCTGCACAGCCCTGTTTTCTGGGAAAAAAGCAGATAATGAAACCTCAATGTTCAGTTTGGCAGTTGCCCAACAAGATTATTAACAAATGAATCTCTCTCTTGCAGCTTAACTATTAAAAGTGATATTACTTTTCTAAATTATCTTTACAACCATCGTGAGAGGCAAATCTCTATTCTATTTTAACAGATCAGGGCATTGAGGGAGAAAGCTTGGGACATACTCCGAAGGTGAGCCCACAAAAGCTGAATAGGATTTGAACTCGGGTCTCCCAGATCCAAGCTGCATTTCACAAGCACATTGGATCAACTCCACAAAAAGCAAACCCACAATAAGCTTGTTACACAAGGTGTAACTGAATAAGAAGAGCCAGCTGGATACAGACCTGAGGCTCACAATGGCTTGTTGTCATAACCATGGTTTAAAGTTACATTTGAACCAGAATTATATAAGGATACTCAACAGGACTCCCTTAAAATCCATGTACATTTTGCTTGTGAATCGCTCCTTCATGTATTAAAAGGGTTTTCTGTATATGTTTTCACTATATGTTTTGTAGCGTACTGTAGAATTTGGTGCAAAACTGGGTTCTTTTGGGAGCTTTTGGTTATAGAAAAGTGGCCGAAAGAAACCTGCATGTTCCCAAAGGAGTGTCTCAAACTTTAAAAATATCATAGCTGCTGCCCTTCTACTGTGGCTCCCCATACCCCCACATGCTTATTTCCACTATAGCAATCCTTCCAAGATGGCCAAATACTACAACTGACAAACTGAGTAAGTGAAGCAAATTATGGAAAGTAACACAAATGTGGGACTTGGGTGGTGCTGTGGGTTAAACCACAGAGCCTAGGACTTGCCGATCAGAAGGTTGGCGGTTCGAATCCCCGTGACGGGGTGAGCTCCCGTTGCTCGGTCCCTGCTCCTGCCAACCTAGCAGTTCGAAAGCACATCAAAGTGCAAGTAGATAAATAGGTACCGCTCTGGCGGGAAGGTAAACAGCGTTTCCGTGCACTGTTCTGGTTTGGCCAGAAGCGGCTTAGTCATGCTGGCCACATGACCCGGAAGCTGTACGCCGGCTCCCTCGGCCAATAAAATGAGATGAGCGCCGCAACCCCAGAGTCGGCCACGACTGGACCTAATGGTCAGGGGTCCCTTTAACTTTAAACACAAATGTATTGTAAATGCAAAATTTGGTGTGTGTTTGTGCGTGTGTTTTAGCATACTGTATTTTTTGCCCTATAGGACACACTTTCCCCCCTCCAAAAACGAAGGGGAAATGTGTGTGCGTCCTATGGAAATGTGTGTGCGTCCTTTTTTTTAAAATTTCCCCCCAAAAAAACGAGGTGCGCCCTATGGGCCATTGTGCCCTATAGAGCGAAAAATACGGCACTTTCAATCCACCTGAAACCAATTCAGTGGCAACCACAGTGCTTCAAACAGGCAAATGGCAACCAAGCAGTCATTCTTACCTGTGGGGGAGTAAGTCCTCCAGCTCCCAAAGGACACTCCGGTAATATGGTGAGTTTCTTCCGAGTACTGCATTTGCAGGATGGTGAGGGGTTCTGGGGATGCCACATATTAGTTTGGAAAAGGGCAGCTATGTTATAAGGGACAGCTGGTGTCCTCCAGGCAGTTGATGCATTAACGCAAGGGTAGTTCCTACACAAGGAGACAAGAGCACAGGTGATCTCATTAGCAATGTTAATATCAAACGGGCCATGCTAGATCTCGGAAAACTTGCAATTATATATCTCGCCTTTACAGTACCAACCGTTAAAAAGGAGCAGTTTCCTTAAACACATTACAAACTCAACTCCATGTATCAAGTATAGGGCTGAGCAATGTCAGGTTTTCAACTTCATGATATACAGTATCACGAGCTAAACATTGCGCTATATCACAATGTCTGAAACAAGGATGGAGTTATGTAGAGGTGAATGGGGTAATGTTCTGGCAACTGCTACTACTTAGGAGTCTAAAACGGATCCATTTTTATTTTTAAAATATTGTTGCAACTGGTATTGTATAGTACAGAGCAACGGGCACGACAAGAATCATGAGAGCAGTGATGACTGGCTTCATGATTTTTGCCATATCATGATTTTTTACATAGCACAGGCACACGTTGTGATTTGTGATATATCGTCATGTCCAATGTTACAAAACCGTTACCACAATGTGGACTTCAAACCAATTTTGGACGGTGTATCAATACATCACCCAGTCCTAATCACCTATTCTGTAACTAAAGGGCTATTTATACTACAAGCCCATACTTGTCACCAGTTAACCTGTTTGGGGCACATCTGGGCCAGGGATTCTCAAACTTTTTGAGCCAAGGGGCACATTTTAACATTAATGGAGCTGTTGTGGACACCAATAGATATTGTGGAGGCAACCCATGTGTGGAGCAACCCCAAAGTCCTTACACAGAACCTTTCCTTTCTTTGTAGTTCATATTTTTATTCTCTTAAATTTGGGGTGCTTTGCTGTGTTTCTGTACACAGCACAAGAGACATGAATTCAATTGTGGGTCTGACTTTGTGGAACTCCCTCACAGCTGAGATCAGAAAGGCCCCTTGCCCTGCTGAACTTTAGGCACTTTTTATTACAGGAGGTATTTTAAGTAAATTGCATTATGCTTATTTTAGGTTTGTACTATTATATATATACACACTGCCCATCTGACTCAGTTTCCCCCGCCACTCTGGGCAGCTTCCAACAGAATATACAAAACACAACAGAACATCACACACGAAACGCTTCCCAATACAGGGCTGCCTTCAGATGTCTATGGAAGTTTGTATCTCTTTGACATCTGATGGGAGGGTTTCCCACAGGGCAGGCACCACTACCAAGAAGGCCCTCTGCCTGGTTCCCTGTAATCTCACCATGTTATTTGATTGATGAATTTATTTCATGATTGTTCTGTAAACTGCTTTGTGACCTTCTATGGTGAAAAGCAGTTTACAAATTTAGAAATAAAATAATTACACCAACAGACAAAATCCCCAGTTTTGTCACTGGTGACAACAACATTCTTCAAGATTATCACTGGCTGGGAAACTTCTGAGACCAGTTCCCTACTGTTTCAAGCACTACTGATGCCACCTGCAATTGAATAGATTAGATTAGTAGAGAGAACAAAGTGACTTACTGAAGGGTCTCTCTCTTCAAGCAGCGATTTCCAAATCCCGGTTTATTTAAGAAGGCGTCAATAAGAGAAACCATCTGCTCGCTGCCAGGCCGCTCATTGCTAATGAGATTGGATGAGATTTAAGGTTATAAAAAGATGCTGACTGCAGAAGCAAGACAGTGGCGAATGAAAATCGGCTGATCACACAGGTAGGGTCAAGCCACAGGATATGTTAATGATCAACTGCCCATTGTAGGATAAGGCATACTAAGTGTAAAAGGATTATAGGAAGGACAAGGGCATTTTCGACCCATGACCAAGGCACTGATTTCTAAATGCAAAGTGAAAACCACACACGCATGCATTCCTTGCTTACAAGAAGACAATAGTTTTTGGGCTGGTTCAGAGAGTCTGTATGTGTTTTGTACTGGTTTCATACAATCTTTCCATCCTGCTTTCCAGGTGGAAAAATTACGGAAATGGAGCACACACATGTATACAAGTGACACACATCAATATGGTGTGTGTGCCCACAGGTTTTTCCATGTTTGAGGTTATACAAACTGGCCATAAGTGACAAGCATTCACATTCACCCAGACATCACCTATCTACATATTTTTGGCACTGCACCACTTAGCTATTTAGAGCAGTGTGGATGGACAGAAAAAGAAAAATATTGAGCAGCAAACCCAGTGTCTTGTTTTCATTACACAGAAGCCAAAGTATCTCAAACAAAGCAGAAATTGTACACATGGCATTTTAATGGGTCTACTGAATTAGCTAGCAACAATCCTAGAAGGTAGTGCAGTGCTATTGTTACGCCATAAACATGACACTAGCTAGCCAGGAGGAAGATGCAAAATCTAGGCTGGGAGAAAAGATCAGTCGTGATCTGAAAAAGTCTGACTTCAGCAGCTAACTACGGACTACATTTGCATGATTTAAACCGGAATGAAGCAGCAGGGAACTAGAATACACTCAGCAACAAGGCACCACAAGTGCTATCTAGGAACGAGCGAGGAAGGTCTTCTCTGACCTGAAGAAAGTGAACTGGTGCCCATAGATCCAAGGGTGGAGAGTTAAATGGGGTATTCACCAAATGGAGGAATGATTACTGTAAGTATCAGAGCCAGCAGCACAAAGCTAGCAGGTAGAACAATCTGCAGGCAATATGGAAAATGTCAGCCACCAGCAGGGTTCACAGCACACCAGCGGTATCTAAGTACCACTCAGATAACACACAAGGCAGTGGACACTTGTGCTGGAAGTCCACATAGGTCTGATAACACAACATGTGATACATCAAAGAATAAGAGTCAAATCCGCATTTTATAACTCATGTTTTTCTTTAATCCTCCCAAATTTAAAGAGAATGGCAGCATATGCTAATAGCATACAGTATTATGCTATAGCACATTATGCTAATAGCATGTTAGTATATAACTAGAGATTATAAGAATGTAGGAACATAGATTATAAGGAAAGGAAGACCCCTCTTCACAAGTCAGGCCATTGCTCCATCAAGCTCAGTACGGTTTATAATGGGACCTTCTGCACACAAATCAATGTGCTCTGCCAGAGCTACGGCCTCTCCACATATATGGATACGTGGAGTTTTCAGTAACTATGGAATACGACTTTTTTGTTCTCAGTTTTTGTCTGTATTTGGATACCTTGTTCCCCACCCAAATCAAACTTGCTCAATTGGGTTTCTCTTACAGAAGCATATTGTTTTCTTAATTGTATGGGATGCATCATTGACAATAAAGGACAATGGACCACCTGCTCAGGTGGATGGCTTTGTTCTAAGATCTCATCATTTTAAAAAACAAAAACAGCTACATTCTTGGTTACTGTTATTAAAATGTGCAGCAAGTTGATAGCAGAATTTATATCATCACCCTGATGTCAATAGCAAATTATTGGAAGTATGTATGTATGCTTCTCTGGGTAATTCTGAAGACCTGGTATAATTTGTTGTAGACTGTATACACCCAGTGAAATTAATTGACAGAAGCTGGCTTTAGCCTGATTTGTATCTGGATAGAACGTTTTAGGATCTGGTTTATTGGGCTGCATTTTTAAGTACAGCCCAGCGATAGGCTTATAATGTAGTGAGGTGCTTTTACAATAAGATTGTACTTCTTTCTCCCCTTAAGCCTGTTATAAATGCAGGTGTGTATAATTGTGAATGCCATATGGAAGAAACCAGGCATGCGCAGAGTTTGTCTGAGGCCCGGAGCAGGAGGCTTGTTAGAATAAAGTTATAAACTCAAACAAAAAAGCCCCCCTCGGGGGGGGGGGAGGCGCTGGCCAGCTTAGCCCTCTGGAAAATGGGGGCAGTATACCGGGCTGCCCCCCACCCCACATGGGCCTGGAAGAAGCCCTTGTGACTGTAATGGAGGAGCACATACCTGAGCAAGGAAGTCTTTAAAGCTACGCGTACTGTGGTGGAATCGTTTGATGAAAAGTGCTTTGATCTGCTGAAAGGTAAGTTGGCAACCTTTGTTTTGCCTTGATCCTTTCCCACCGCTCCCATCCCCTTCCTGTGCCACAGGCATCCGAGAAGTGCCATTGGCTGCTGGAGCAGTCTGGTGGGTTCCCTCTTCTTGTCCAGCAGCACCGTTCTCCTGTGCAGCTCCTAAAGTTTGCAGATCAACAAGAAGAAATGCCCACGATTGAAGAATGGAGAACGAAATTAATGGATTATGCAGAACTGGACAGATTAACAGGGAGGATTCGTAACCGATGGGACCAAAGATTCACTGAGGAATGGAATAAATTTACAGAATATATTAAAAATATTTGTGATAATGATATAACATTTGTAAGTTTCCAAGAAGCTCTGTAAGAAGGTTTGGTAGAAATATTGTTTAAATAATATGGTAAGATAAGATATACATAGTGCAGTATAAATGAAGAAATGTGAAGATATGTAATAACTACGGAAAATTATCAGACATGTTGATGGAAGTCTAAAAGAAAAAAGACGTGTGATGAATTCCTAATGTTTAATTGTGTTATAAATTTGTTTTTATTGGAAAATTAATAAAAAGTATATACAAAAAAAAAGTTTGCAGATCAAAGATGCCATGCCAATTACTTCATTTACATTTACATTTTTTTGCCCTGCCATTCATGAAACTGTTGAGTTTCTCCAGGGTTTGATTGTTTAGAAAACACCACTTCCAAAGTGGCATGATAATAGCGCAGCTACACTTACAGCAGGAAACATTTACAGATCTAATAGAAAATAAACTCAGCAAATGCCTACTGTACTGGTCCAGGTCTTTCCCATTTCCCATCAGTTTGTGAGCTGATGAACTACATCTATTTGATTCTGGATTTGCATCGCTATGGTTAAAATAAAAGCATGGCACCACTGGACCTAGAACCGATGCTCAAATAGGTTGCCTAATCCTTTCATTGTTGAAGAATGCCCTCACCATGGGAACCTCTAGAAAAACATACCCATAGCTTAAGATCATAATGGTCTGGAGTTCCCTATCCCCACCCTACCAATGCCTAGGGATGTAAGAAGGCATCCTTCTAGGGAATGGAGCTGGGACTTTCTACAGTTGCTCTGCCACTGAGCTACAGCCCCTCCCCTCTTGTTTTCAAATCAGAAGTCTATTAAGATGTGGCAGATATTTAAATCAACTTTTTAGCATGGTACTAGATGACAAGAGAGTTTACCTGCATTCTGTATTCCAGGGTCAGCCTCTGCTGTAACCTTCAAGAAAACCTGCAAGAGAGATGCATAAATATGTTCTGTGGGGACATGAGGGTCTTGGAGCATCCTCTTCCCTCTGCCCCACAGTAACGTAGGTGAAGAGCTTGAATTTACTGGAAAACAGTAGATCCTACTGTACCATTAGCTCCCCATAAATCCAGATAGGATTCTTGTTCTCTTAAGAACTCAGACACACGCTTAATATTTACAAAAATCTTATTACTGATGGGGTATAAACGTCCACCCAAAATTATGAAAGAAAAGACGGGCGGGACAGAGAGCGAGAACACTCCACAAAGTTAACAACCTCTTCAAGGGGCGTGTCGGAGATCCCAAAACTGCTGAGTCCCACATCTGCCAGGGTTTCCTCCAATTCCCTGAAGAGACTGGCATACGCTCGCTGTTTGAAATTCTTACTGGGTAGAAGATAGATAAGTTCCTGACCAATACTTTCTATTAACTTGGCTTCTGGAACATGGTGGTGGATCAGTTCATTTAGTTCATTCACATCACCTGCAAAGATGCAGAACAGAGTTTGGGAAAAATGAATGGCAAATTGCTTGTTTGTTTAAGTATTTACTTGCTTCCAACCTTTCCCCAAAGGAGTTGAAGGTGCCTTCCATTGTTCTTCTCCCCCTCCCCATTTTATCCTTGTAACAACCATGTGATACAAGCTAGGTCTTGAAGGTTATGACTGGAATAAGGCCATCCAGTAAGCTTCATAAATGAGTGAAGATTTGAGCCCTGGTCTCCCACATCCTAGTCTGACACAGATCACAACGCCATACTGGATCGACAATTGTTTGAATTTCAACAAGCCAGTTAGGAAGGGCTGTCCTCCCAAGATACACAGTACATGTAGAGACTTACTAGAGACTAATCACCATAGGAGCCAACTCCTTGGAGCCAAGGTCCCTTTGCTCCCCTCAATAAAATATTTGGAGCCCCCAAAGTTGATGGGCATTGCCATTTGAATGGTGTGTGTGTGTGTGTTTTGCATCTTGTAATCCATTATGTGGGGCAGGACTTACCTGCCCTCCCCCATATTTTATTCGTTGGCACCCCTGCAGAGTATAAAGAAAAACACAGGAAGATCTCCTCTGGGTCAGAAGAAGGATCCACCTAGCATCCTGTTTCCGAGGATGACACCTCAGAGAGTCCTCTTAAAAGGGGCACAAGCAAGGCATGAATGCCCTTCCCGGTTTGTTTGTCCCAGCTGCCTCTGAACATGGACACTCCATTTAGTTTTCATAGATACGGCCCATGAAGGTATAAGTAACTCAATAAACATTATCATAATGTTGTGCAATGAACAAGTCGGCCAAACCCTGTTCTCACCATCCAGTTCCTGTTCCACAGTTTCGGCTTTGTTTGTGGGCACACAGCTGGAGCAGGAACATGAGCATTTGGATCCCAGGCTGCAAGAGGTCTAAAATCAGATAAGCAAGAGGAAGGTGAACGAGGAACAAGTCACATTATCAGCTTCAATGTGATCATAATACGCGCTAAGTATAGTGTTTATCAGGAATGATTGCTGATCAGGCTTTCCAAATAATTGTTTTCAACCTTTGTTGAACCAGCTATTCTTGGGAACTGCTTGATACTTCGGTTGGGAGTTGGCAGTTTTGTAGGCATGCCTTTTATAGTGTTCCTTGTATTTTGCAGTTCAAGGCTGCCCTATCGTAAGTCATATGCAATCTTTAAAATTACCTTGCGGACAATGGTGGAAAGGTGAGCTGTAAACCTCAAGAGGGAAAAACAAATAAATACGGAGAATAATAAGGGCTTGTGTAACCTTTGCATTCAAGTGGTACTGCAATGTACGCTGTTCTTGATTATGAGTGAGGACATGAGAACATAAGACGAGACGGCTGGATCAGGCCAATGGCCCATGTTGTCCAGCCATTGATAGCTTTATCTTCCATGAATTCATCTTATCATTTCTTTAAAGCCATCCAAATTCGTGGCCACCTCTGCTACCTGTGGCAGTGAGTTCCACTCTTCAATTAAGCTCTCCTTATTTCTGTCCTGAATCTTCCAACCTTCCTCTTCATTGCATGTCCACGACTTCTAGAGAGCCAGTGTGGTGTAGTGGTTAAGACTCGTAATCTGGGGAATTGGGTTCGTGCCTCTGCTCCTCCACATGCAGCTGCTGGGTGACCTTGGGCCAGTCACACTTCTTTGAAGTCTCTCAGCCCCACTCACCTCACAGAGTGTTTGTTGTGGGGGAGGAAGGGAAAGGAGAATGTTAGCCGCTTTGAGACTCCTTCGGGCAGTGATAAAGCGGGATATCAATTCCAAACTCCTCTTCTTCTTCCAGTGTCATAAGTGACGGAGAAAAACTTTTCTCTATCCAATTCATCAACGCCATACATAATCTTATAAATATGTCTTACAGTGGTACCTCGGTTTACAAACTTAATCCGTTCCTGAAGTCCATTCTTAAACCAAATCCGTTCTTAAGCCAAAGCGTGCTTTCTCTAATGAGGCCTCCCGCCGCCGGTGCCCTTCCGCCATTCGGCTTCCGTTCGTAGACCAAGGTAAGGTTCGCAAACCGGAACACTACTTCCAGTTTTGCAGAGTCTGTAAACCGAATAGTTCATAAACAGGGCTGTTCGTAAACCGAGGTACCACTGTACTTCCCCTTCTATAAACTAAAAAAATCTCAAATGCCGCAACTTTTCCTCATGGACGACCCCCCCCCTATCATTTTGGGCATGCAAAATGATTTGAGGAGATGCAGACTAGAATTCACTGACTGGTCTAACTAATGTGAATGAACTTTCTTTATATGATCTATTAAACCAGCTAACACAGCCGATTAATTAATCACTGTTAACAACCAATACATTACAAAGAAAGGTAAGTTGTCTTATTGCTCAGAAACAGCTTCTGGTTTTCACATAGGAACTTTCAGATCATGGACTTGTTTCATCATAGCATTTCTTGTTCTTTATTTTAGACTTTTAGGTTTTGAAAACACTGAGTTAGAGCTGCATAGTCTTTTTTCAGCATATTATCATCTCCTTATTTTCAGCTTCCCCTCTCCACCCAATTGTCACCCACTTTTTCTGTCCCAACATTAGAGGCCCTTCCCCTCAACTGCCCTGCGTTCTATGGTGTCAATGGAGTAGGAATTATAGAACCTCACTGGCAAACCTTCAAGGGTGCAGAGCTGGAGAGAATTCTGAACAATTGCAGACAGGAAAGGTCAGTTACCTGTCCCTAATTAATCAAGGTGCCTCTTGTTCCTTCCCACCCTTAAGCAGAATGTATACAAATAAAATGTCACTCGCAGTGTACTGTATTTGTATTTGAATATTGGGGGATGAATAATGCTTACAGGTTACTTGTGCAAAATGGTGCCAAACACTTACAGCTTCCTTTCCTCCACTGTCTTGGATGTTTTTCATCTTGCGGACTAAGGTGAGATAGAAGCCTGTGCCAAAGGAATTCTTTAGGAAAACAGGGGATCCTGAGCAGTGCAGCCTTCCCTGGGAAATGATAGCAACCCGGTCACCAAGGATGTCTGCCTCATCCATGTGGTGAGTAGACAGAATGATGGTTCTTCCTAAATGGGATCAAAAAATAGTAAATCACCTGTGAAAACACTGGCTGCAGGCCTCTTCTCTATTATATAATCAGACATTACTTAATAACTTTAGGGAGTTTAGCTTGCAAAAGCTTGACAGTCAATAACATGGGACAATTATGTAAAGCTGAGAGGCTGGGGCAGATATTCTACCCACCCAAGGGGAGGAAAAATAGCTAAGCATTGTCACCACTACTAACAATCAACAACTAATCTGCTGAATTTAGCCAAAACAGATACTCAGTGCACCACATATGCAGACCCTATAATCTGTCAATCTTTGCTGCCTTTTCATTTGAATGGGAAGATTCCTTCGTAGGTCTTCAGAAAGAATGTATAATTATTAACAGGTAGATGGAGCACAAATTGCAGCCTTAGACAGTGAGAGATCAAGCACAGTCTGCTTCGTCTGAAATCCACGGTCCTTTTCTGTGTATACACACAGAGAGAGACTGCTATCTTTTCATCATCAAGAAGCTTTTCATCCATGAGGACAAATTACCTGAACGATACTTCAGCAGGAGGTCCCAAATGGATCGTCTGGAATACGGATCAACTCCTGAAGTGGGTTCATCTAGGACAACCACTTTTGCTTCGCCTACAAACGCAATGGTGACGGACAGCTTTCGCTGCATGCCACCTAAGGAAAACAAGAGAGCAGCTAGAGTCAGCTAGAGGAAAGAGACTGCTCCTCAACAAGCAATAATCAAATATTTAATGTAACAGACGATTTAGCACTTAAAGGCTAACATGTAAAATGTAGGATAAGCTTTTTGTAGACCAGAGACCACTTAAAAGCTTATGCCGCAACAAATGTGTTAAGACTGCAAGGCGCCACAAGACTCCTGCCTGATTCTGATACAACAGGCAAAACTCTGCTGTTGCTTTGGGATTTCTTAAAAAGCTATATTCTGCTTTACCATATAAAATAACTCAAAGCAGCTCACAAAGAAAACGACAAAGAACATCAAAATGCAAAATAGTTTCAAAGCAAAAGCACATTTCTTCAATCTTTCAGAGAAATTAGATATCTGAGTATAGAATATCCCAGTCTCAGGAATGGCTCAGACTGTGTGAACATCACATCCTTTTCAGCCTTAGGATAAGCAAACAACATGCAGTCACAGAGGGAGAATACTCCTCTATTATGTATCAGTGAACAAAACCATATGTGGGGAAGACCCTGTTATAAAATAAAGTGATGTAGCTTCATCAGGTGGTGGGCTTCTCATGCCACTAAGAGGTGCAAAAATATCAGCTATTTAATCATGCACTCTACTTTTTACTGTACTTGTACTACAATTTTGCCAATATGTGCTGGGATGAACATGGGTGAGGTTAAACAGAGCATCTAACTCGGCCCTCAGAGGCAGCAGTGAATGGTTAATATTCAAGAGCTAAAAAGGCACACAGGACTTTGAGGGTTCAAACCTTTGGATACCTGATAAGTTTTGAGCCTCTTCATTCCTTTTATGTGGAAGGCCTATATCTTCCAGCATCATTTCCATTTCCAATTCTGCCTCCTCTCTGGTTTTCCCTTTTAGCTGGGCATAAAACAGGATGTGTTCTGCAACAGTAAGGCTATAGAAAAGAAACAGTGCTGTTTTAAGTTGGCCAAAAGAGACAAAGCATGTTGCACTATTATACTGTAGAAACAAGACGCAAAAGCTTCCACCCACAGAGAGCTGAAGCCAGTTTGACAGACAGGCCTCTGCTGTAAGCTCATCTGGTACAAGGTTTCTGAAACATTTCAGAAGCCTGCAAACCTTGTTTATCCAGAGGTGACATAAGGGAAAAGGGAATACAGTACTATAATGTCAGAGCTAAGCTTTTCTCTAACCACTTCTGTCTACAACCTGGAAGATTTTGTGAGGGGGAGAAGAAGTAACAGTCCACTGGAAATGCAACATCATCATAGAAAAAGTTTTGCAGGTTCAAAAGGGATTGGCTCTCTTCTTCCCTCAAAATGGTAACAAACACCCACAAACTCGCCTCTGAGTTGCAGAATGATATAATCCTTTTGAGAATCAGTGTTGACATTTTGCCTAAGTTCATTCCCCCGAGTGTGAATTATGGTCCTAACTAAAGCCTAAATAATCATCACAGAGCAAAACTAACACAAGCACACTTTTATGTTGGGTTGCTTGTATCAATGTGTGTCTGCTAGGCAACAGAAGACTTGCATCAGGTAGTCAGAACAATTGCAGCCTTTCAGTTGGGAAACGCATTACTTGGAAGCAAGTTTGAAGCAAATCCCTGGCAGCACTTACTGATTGAACAAGATGTTGTACTGAGGGCACATGCCTAGACTCTGCTGTATGGAGTCCAAGTCTGTCTGGATGTCTTTCCCACCAACCAGTATTGTTCCAGATGTAGGTGGAAACAGACCGGTGAGGATAGACCTAGCCAAACAACATGAGAAACAGGTTTATCAATAATTATACAGCTGTTATTTACAAAATAATAAAAACAAAGCAATATCAGATAAAGTTGAGATAAAGTCCTGGGGCACCACTAGGCGGCGCTTTTGTCTATACACACGTTTTGGGAAAAATGCAATGCAAATCTAAAGGCGGCTTTACAGATCTGCTTGCTGTATCTAAACTTAAGAATGAATAAGAACAAGTCATACGCACATGCACACATTTATAGGGGGAGAACAGCATTAAGTCATTATTATTAGTTCTGCTGAGCTATATCATTAAAGGGATACTGAAAGAAAAACGGTTTAAGTTTTATTTTTGATAAAAACTATCAGAATATAGCGCTCTGTTTTTTCTTTCAAAAAAGGCTTTACATGAGATCTGAGGAGGCTGTAGGCAGAACCTGAAACACTTGTAATATTGAGACAGTTTTAGTCAAAAATTAAATAACTTGCATTTTCAAATGGAAGTTTATCTGTTCCTTGCAAATGCAACTCTTGGAAAATTAAAACAAAAACATTTCATCCTGGCTCTGCAACTGGAAGTAAGACTAACTGGGCCTAGGATAGGAATAAAAAAAGTAAAGGACCCCTGAGAGTTAAGTCCAGTCATGAACGACTCTGGTGTTGCAGCGCTCATCTTTCAGTTTTTTGCACCAGTCTGCATTTTTTAATGAAAAGTCACCAGTGAATATCTTCTAATATGCACACATTTGTGTGCAATTTTGCCTACTACAGAAACCCGCAATTTATTTTTAGGTATTGCACCTAAAGCCAAAATCGCATATAGTCAAAACACATTGAATTTCCAAAGTCACTTTTCCTGGAACCCTGCCCTCTTTTGAATTATTATTATTATTTTTTGCCATGCACATAAAACTAAATGCTAACATGCACATTTTATGCGCTCTTTGATCTAGAATAAATATAATATATATTTTTGGCACACAGTGCTTGGATGAATAACTACATTGCAAAATTCAGAGAAGTGTGAATTTTGAAGGATGGCTGTGTTTTCAGTTCCTCATTGTTTTGGAAAGGGCAAATCGGGTTGTATCACCTTAAAATGTGAACCACATCTAATTTCTCCCCCATCTCTACCCTTGGAGTGGCGGCACTCAGGGGATGGGGGGACAACAAGCAGGCACAGGATAGGGGAAGCAGCCTTTTTCTTGCTGATCCTCCCCCCTTTCAGCGCTTCCCACCCCTGAATTCCCCATTGATCTTGTCAAACATGGGATGGGGCACACACATTTGCAAAGATAATGTCTGTTCTAGCCTAAGAACAGAACCCAAGAGAACATAATGTGCAGCTCATATTGCAGAAAACCCCCAAAGTACAAGCAAAGTGACAAGAAAGGAAAGATGGAGCAGATCTGCAATGTCCACAGTTTTTGAAAAATTGACCTGGCCACAGCATATAATAGCTACTCAGGAAGAAACCTGGGGGCAGTAGAAACCGAAAGCCAAGGAAATGTTTGTCCAGACCCCTGAGAAACAATGCACCTGGAACTCTCCTAGGCCCGAGGGGCATATCAACTTTGCTGACTTCATTGCTTTTTCAATTCTTTCAGACTAAAGACTCCCCGTCTCTCTGAGCATATTTAAGAAGACCTGACCCCAGGAAAAAAATGCTGCTCTTCCAGAGAGACATCTGCTTTTGTTTCTCCTATTACTTCCACTTTTATAAGATAGGCATTTCCTTCTCCCGAGGTCTTGGAATTATCCCCCCACCCCCGCACAAGCCAATGTGATCACCGATAAGGGTAATCCATGTTTATAATTCACACTAGTTAAGATGGGAGAGTAAGAGCAATCCTCTGTAGGAAACAAGATGATTACCTTCATTTTAAACAATATTTACTGCTGTATCTAAAACCAGAACCGCTCCAGGAAACAAAATATATGGCTATGTAAATTTACAATACATGCAGAAATTAAAATAAACCCCAATACCTAACTATGTGCCTGGGCTGCAAAACAGAACAGGTTATTAGAAGAGTTGATTAAATGGAATCACTATGACAACAACAATTGGCATGCAATTTAGAGGGGAACACACACACATATGCACATCCTCCATATTGTTCTTAGCTATGCATACCCAAGTATAACTGTCAGCAGCAATAAGCACTTAAGGTTGTTGTGCCTATCTTTTGAGCCACACACAGAGAATTTCAGTTTTGTTTGTGAAATGAAGAACCATTCAGTGAAATTAACAGGAACTAGCATCAGAGTAGAGAGATAAATGCAAGCTCAGCCTCCTGTCATCTCTAGCGATGTTAGTGAATTTTGTAACTACTTGGCTCAGCACATGAGCTTGTCCATTTTAGAATGCTCAGCTTTATTATGAATTGAATACCATTTTCCCGAGAAGTTCTTCTCTGGCTCAGAACGTTAAATGAGATTCTGCTGACCAAGCACCCCAAACCCACTGCACATTTTTTAAAAAAGTTTATGTTCATTGCTTACTCTTCACTAATCATATGATGATTACTGCAAACTACCAGATCACCTGATAAACAAAGAGCAGTTTGTTTAGTGAGAATCTATGAGGGTCAATCACTTTCCTTGATTGTTCTTTACATGCATTTGGTTGTGGTTAGTGTCCCATATCTAGATTGAAACCCCTCTCTTGTTCTCAGGTGTGTTTGTTGGTGATGATAGTGGCAGTGGTTGAACTTTCCATCATGGCTGATTCTCCACTGGGGCACAGGAAACTAAATTACAGTCTCAAGGCCAAAATGATCACACCTGCATACACACCAATGCCAACATGACAAGTCTGCAGAGAACGCTTAAAAAAATACACAAGTATTTTCTGAATACAGAGACCACTCTGAACCACCGGGAGCTCACTTATCAGCAGGTTTACCCTCCTCCTCCATCCCACACATACTACCTGTAGCACTTCATTTCAGAAAGTGTTTGCTGAGGTTACAGGTGTGAAATGTATCTTCACTCTTCAACTCTTATCTGTAACTGGAGTTTTACAAGCCACACCTTCTTTTCCCTCCCTCCCTTTTAAAAAAGGGCATTACAACCTAGTTTTGTCTTATTGTCAGTGAACTAAAATTATGAATATAACTTAAGAATAATAGCAAAGGTGTGGGATGTAAACACAGGAGCAGTCAATGACAACATTCCTAGAGTGTACATGCTAGAACATGGGGGGGATGTCTGTCCAGCAAGCAGGTGAACTTCCTGGGGACGGACTTCCTCCACATGTGACCAGAGGTGGGTGTGCCTCACCTGTGCAGGTAATAACAAAAGCACAGGGCAGGCAGCCATCTCTCTCTCTCTGCCATTTTCCTTCGATGAGGAAACACCTAAGGATGCCCTCTTGGCTCCCAGCCAAGAGAGGAGATAAGGCCTATCTTGCTATGAGATAGATTCTAAATCTATGTAACCTTTTTAAGCCTGTCTGCCGTCTGGGATCACATTGTGAACAGGACGTGAGTAAACTCTTTTATACTTTTATGAAGACTGTGTCGTGTCTTGTATTTTAAGAGGGAACTAAAGGGGAAATTACCAGGGTAATTATTATAGAGGTTCTAGCGAACCTGTGCACACGTTACCGTTGCGTACTTAAAGGGGAATGTATGTAAACTCTGCTGATATTTTGGGAACTTGTTAGCACAAGTTGGATTAGGATATAATCTCACAATATATCCTCTCCTGCACCCCAGAACATTCCCACAAAGGGTTAGTGGCCCCAGTATTGCATATTTCTGCGTATTTTTGGAGGATTGCATTGGATTGTGATTTTGAGTTGAGTAGTATTTTTCTGAGTTAACTTCCTGGTAAGCACATGGTCCTTTGTTCCATTGTGCAGTGGGGATTAAGCAACCCACCCCCTTCCCTCAGAGTTCACAGTGACCCAAGGCAGTGAAGAATTGTTTTGTATTTTGAGATTTTTGAGATTTTGATTTTAAAATTTTGAGAAATTTTGAAATTTTGAAGAATTTTCAAATTTTGGATTTTAAGATGGCTAGAGCAGCTTTTGATAGTGATGCAAAGCTAGGAATGCCTGTGCTGAATGAGTACAATTTCATGCACTGGAAGCAGCGCTTGATAGCATGTTTGGATTATAAGCACATTTTGGAAGCTTTAGAGCCTCAGCCTACAGGATCGTCTGAGGGAGATTTAGCCAAGATAAGTGCTTGGAAACGCATGAACAGCGAAGCTAGACACATAATTTTGAGTGGACTTCGTGATGAGCAGCTATCATTAATAAATAGCACAGATGATGCATCTCAAATCTTAAGAGATATTGAGCGCGTGTATGGAGAATCTAGCATAAACAGCTTCAGAAACTTGGTGTGTAAATTAACCAGATTGAGGATGAATTCAAAAGAGGAATTCACAGAGCACATCAACAAGTTTACTGAGATTATTCAAAGAATTGATCTGACTCCCAAAGCTTTTGATGAGGATACAAAGATAGCATTTTTGTTATCATCACTTGGACCACGCTTTGGTGCATTTGTAAGTTTGATGGAGCATAGACAAGGTCTGACATTTAAAGACTTGATTGGTTATTTAAAAGAAGAATGCAGAGATAGAGGTGAATCTCCAGTGAGAAATGCTAGAAGCAAGGACAGCAGTTATGCATCTAGGCAATGTACAAAGTCCAAAGAGATGCCTAAGAAAGTGATTTGCTTCAATTGTAACAAAGAAGGACACATTGCAAAGAACTGCAGTGCTCCTAAAGCAAATAAACCCCACCCCTTTCAGCCAAAAGGGGAAAAGAAGGGGAAATGTGAATGCACATGGTTACTGCAAGAAAGGAACTTAGCTGTCCAGAATCGTGAAAATAAACGTAATAAATGGATAATTGATTCAGGAGCAAGCTCGCATTTTTCATATAAAAAGGACTATTTTAATGAGATTAATGAAATAAATGATGAAGAAGGATCTGAAATTGAGATTGCAGATGGGAACATTGTTAAAGCAAAAGGTGCAGGTTCCATGAGCCTGAAATGCAGTATAAACAATGAATGCATTGAGAACACAATCTCTAGAGTTTTGTATGTTCCAGAGCTGAGTTGCAACTTAATCAGCATGTCCACTTTGGACAAGAAAGGTTTCCAGGTCACATTTGGAAATGGAGAATGTAAAGTGACTAGAAATGGCAAAGTGTTTGCTCAAGCAAAGCTAATAAATGGTGTATATGAGCTTGATCTTTCAGAGAACCAGTCTGCAAAAGTGGCACATTCCAGCCAGAAGGATGAAGCAGATCTGGACTTATGGCACCGAAGGCTAGGACACAGAGACGCCAGCCTCATTCTGGATCTACAGAAAAGAAATCTTGTAAGAGGTTTGCAGGTAAAGCAGAGCAACAAAGCTCCAGCAAAGTGCATAAGCTGTATTACTGAGAAGGCTGTAAAACCTTCATTTCCACGTTGTGCAGAACAAAGAAGCAACAAAGTGCTTGACATAGTGCACACTGACATATGTGGACCCATGAATGTTCCCTCACTGGGAAAGAATAGATATATTTTAATATTTCTGGATGACTTTTCAAGATTTTGTGTTGTATATTTCCTCAAAGAGAAGAGTGAGACAGTGGACAAGCTCCAGGAATACATTGCCATGGTCAAGAACAAATTCCAGAGAGCTCCAGCTGTGTTAATGAGTGACAATGGAGGTGAGTACTGCTCAAATGAAGTGCAGACTCTCCTGGCCAGAGAAGGAATTGCACACGTAACCACAATTCCTTACACACCACAGCAGAATGCCATAGCTGAGAGAAAGTTTAGGTCCATTATGGACATGACAAGGTGCATGCTAAAGGATGCACGTTTGCCACACAAGCTGTGGGCGGAAGGAGTGTACACATCGGTCTATTTGCAGAATAGACTGCCAACTAAAGGTGCAGAGCGCACACCATTTGAACTTTGGCATGGGAAAGCTCCCAATCTGTCGCACATACGTGTGTTTGGAAGTCCGTGTTACTTCCACGTGCCCAAGGAACACAGACACAAGCTTGACTCCAGGGCAAAAGCAGGTATCCTTGTGGGATATGCTTCTGGAGGCAAAGGATACAGAATTATGGACTTACAAACTGGTAAGACAAATGCATACCATGCGGTTTATTTTGATGAATATGGAAAAGTAGACACTAAGAACACTGTTGTGGATTCTTCAGATGAGTCAGAAAGGACTCAAGAGTTTGTATATTTCCCTTTTGAGACCCCACAAAGTAATTATCTGCCTTCGAGTGTTACAGTGCCCCCTACAGGCGATGCACCAGAAGACGCAGAGGACCAGAACCCTGGCGGCACCAGAGACGAAGATGAGGACTCAGATGGGGACATGCCTGCGTTGGAGGAGGATGAGGAAGCTGATGCGGTCGCAGAACCAGAGGTCAGACGCTCATCCAGAACCAACAGAGGTGTCCCACCAGTACGGTTGTCCTACCTTGCAGGGTCGGCGTTTCCACAGGAACCTTCCACTTGGGAAGAGATACAGGAGATGCCAGCTGCAGAAGCCAGTCTCTGGAGGAAGGCCGCGCAGGAGGAGATGGATGCACTGCATCAGAACAAGACCTGGACACTCACTGAGCTGCCTCCCGGTAAGAAGGCCATTGGCAGTAAATGGGTTTTCAAGGTTAAGAAGGGGTCAGAAGGAGAAGTGCAGCGCTACAAAGCTAGACTTGTAGCACAGGGATTTTCACAGCGTTTTGGTGAAGACTATGATGAAGTTTTTGCACCAACTGTGAGGTACAGCAGCGTAAGAATGCTTTTAAGCATTGCAGCCTCCAAGAAGATGAGAGTAAAACACATAGACACTGCTACCGCTTTTCTACATGGGCAGATTTCTGAAGAAATTTACATGAAACAGCCCAAAGGTTTTGTAAAACCACATGAAGCACATTTAGTGTGCAAGCTGCAGAAAGGACTTTATGGACTTAAACAGGCTGCCAGAGCCTGGAACCAGAAGTTGCATAAAATGCTGACGCAACTTGGGTACAAGCAAGGCGATGCTGACAAATGCTTGTACAGTAAGTCAAATAATGGACAATTCTCATATATCCTAGCATTTGTTGATGACCTGATTATTGCCACAGCAAGTGAGAAAGACTATACACAGATAGTAAAACACCTTAGCAAGGAGGTGGAGGTCAAGGAGCTAGGAGATGTCCAGTATTACTCGGGATTCAGGTGGAAAGAGAAGAGGACGGATCATTTCTTCTCAGCCAAAGACAGAAGATCCACGAGCTAATTGAGCACATGCAGATGCAAGACGCACATCCAGTTGCTACACCGATGGCTACTGACTTCCTGAAGAATCAGCAGGATTCGAAGCAGTTGCCAGACAACAATGACTACAGGTCGGCGATTGGTAAACTTTTGTATTTAGTTACCACATGTAGACCTGACTTAGCTAATGCTGTGGGGATTCTTAGCAGAAAAGTGAATTCTCCCACTGAGCATGATTGGGCAGGTGTAAAGAGGGTGGTGCGATATTTGAAGGGTACCATGAACTGTAAATTAAGGTTACCAGCTGTCAGAGACCCTAAGTTGGTTGGGTATACTGACGCGGATTGGGCTGGGGATAATGCTGACTATAAATCAACAAGTGGTCATGTTTTCATGTTTGGGGATGGACCTGTTGCATGGGGCAGTTATAAACAGAGCTGTGTAGCATTATCTTCCACAGAATCAGAATACGTTGCAGCAACAGAAGCCTGCAGAGAGATCGCCTGGCTTGATCAACTCATAAAGGACTTTGGGTTGGTGAGAAAAGGGCCTGTCAGCTTGCTAGAGGACAATCAGAGTTGCCTGAAGCTGACGCAGAGTGAGAAGTTCCTGGCCAGAACAAAACACATTGGGGTTAAATACCACTACATACGCCAGATGATCCAGGATGGACTTGTGGAACTATCCTACTGCAGCACCCAAGAAATGACTGCTGACATCCTGACGAAACCCCTACCAAGAGAGAGTTTCCAGAATCTACGTGTCAAGCTGGGACTCTGGGTGGTTGAATAAAGTTGTTTATATTTTGTATATGTTGTATTGCCTGAGAAGGGGTATGTGGGATGTAAACACAGGAGCAGTCAATGACAACATTCCTAGAGTGTACATGCTAGAACATGGGGGGGATGTCTGTCCAGCAAGCAGGTGAACTTCCTGGGGACGGACTTCCTCCACATGTGACCAGAGGTGGGTGTGGCCTCACCTGTGCAGGTAATAACAAAAGCACAGGGCAGGCAGCCATCTCTCTCTCTCTGCCATTTTCCTTCGATGAGGAAACACCTAAGGATGCCCTCTTGGCTCCCAGCCAAGAGAGGAGATAAGGCCTATCTTGCTATGAGATAGATTCTAAATCTATGTAACCTTTTTAAGCCTGTCTGCCGTCTGGGATCACATTGTGAACAGGACGTGAGTAAACTCTTTTATACTTTTATGAAGACTGTGTCGTGTCTTGTATTTTAAGAGGGAACTAAAGGGGAAATTACCAGGGTAATTATTATAGAGGTTCTAGCGAACCTGTGCACACGTTACCGTTGCGTACTTAAAGGGGAATGTATGTAAACTCTGCTGATATTTTGGGAACTTGTTAGCACAAGTTGGATTAGGATATAATCTCACAATATATCCTCTCCTGCACCCCAGAACATTCCCACAAAAGGTGGCTATGCATAAAACCTGTACCTGGGCAAGTATAGTGTGTGTGTGTGTGTGTGTGTGTGCGCGTGTGTGTGTGTGTGTATGCATGTAATGTTAGTATATAGCATAAGAGGCCAGCATCTTGATGAAACTAAGCAGGTCTGGATCTGCTAAGTGCCCGAATGGGTGGCCACCTGGGAACTGTGTCTGCCACCTTGGGTTCCATGATGGAAGGAAGGCAGAGTATCAAGTGCAAGAAAAAATATATATGGAATTAGCAGCATGATAATCTTATCTCAGACTGACTCACATAGTGGTTGTCTTCCCAGCTCCGTTGTGGCCAAGGAAAGCAGTGATCTGACCCTCATAGAACGTAATAGTCATTCCATCAACAGCTGGCTTAGAGCAACCGGGGAAGATCTTCACCAGGTTCTGAATACACACGCCTGGGACCAGACCAGAAGGCTCCTCTTCAAAGTGCAAGTCTGCTTGAAAGAAAGATTTTTTTTATATTAAAAAAAATATTAATGAAACAACTGCAGAGGTGGGCTGTAGAGGTGTGTGACTACAGCTCTAAGAAACACAGCATATTATAATTATTAGAAGAAGCAGTTGCATTGCAACACATTCTGGTTCACCGTCCCCCTAACAGTACACATTTTTTTTTCCTGGGTTGCATCATGGTTAGCCCACAAAGAATTGGACCTGCAGTGATTTTTGTAGAAACTGTCAGGTCCGAGCTAACAATAATGGTCATGGGCATTTGTTGCTGACAAAGCTTTCATGGACCTTCTACCACACTGAGGATCGCCCTTGGCCATTACGAATATTCATATTAGTAAAGGTAAAGGTACCCCTGCCCGTACGGGCCAGTCTTGACAGACTCTAGGGTTGTGCGCCCATCTCACTCTATAGGCCGGGGGCCAGCGTTGTCCGGAGACACTTCCGGGTCACGTGGCCAGCGTGACATCGCTGCTCTGGCGAGCCAGAGCCGCACACGGAAACGCCGTTTACCTTCCCGCTAGTAAGCGGTCCCTATTTATCTACTTGCACTCGGAGGTGCTTTCGAACTGCTAGGTTGGCAGGCGCTGGGACCGAGCAACGGGAGCGCACCCCGCTGCGGGGATTCGAACCGCCAACCTTTCGATCGGCAAACCCTAGGCGCTGAGGCTTTTACCCACAGCGCCACCTGCGTCCCCGAATATTCATATTAGGACTACTTTAATTTGCTCCATTTGCCAGTATAGCCAACTATGTGGTAACCTGAGAACCAAGTCAAAATTTCTGATAAGAGACTTATGAGAAGGTAATTTCTGAGAATTCCCCCTCCCAAACACACAAAGGGCATTTTTTTCAGCCACCAATTGAACCCCCAACCTCCCTGAGGGTGTGGGGGAGCACAATCTGCAAACTGACCAGCAACTGTGCACAATAGTTCACTACAGAGTCACGGTCATGGCACAGAGCAATTTAAAGTGGCCTCTTATGGTGCACAGGAGAAAGCAGCAGGAGGCCTTTATCAGCAGTGACAACCAAATCTGGCATGTAAACAATCCATCTGTCCACTTGAACAACTTTCTTTTTTCCTTATTCCACTCCTCCCCCCACAAAAAAGGGAACAGAATGAGATCACCAGAGTTTAGAATAACATTGTTTTCTTTTTGTCTTGGTGGGAGAAACTCACCCTTGTGCAGGAGGAAAGATCAAGGCCTGGGTTTCCCACTGAATGCAGACCATCCAGAAGACTGAGCTCATAAGACTGCCATTTTAAATGCCACCATGGGGACTGTTTTATTTTCCTTAATTCTGGGCCAAAGAAACAGCCTTTGAAGTAAACGACCCCCTTGGGCATTTGAGATGATGTAAATCAAGAGCCTTTTGACTTGTGTTTATCCAAGTTACCTTAAGATTTGTAGGGGAGTTTCCATAAGGGTTTGCTTACTTAACTTTTCAGGATCAGAAGAGTTATGTTAGGGTGCAGTCAACACAGTCCAGGCATGTCCCTTTCTACTAATAAGGTATTGTTGAGAAATGTATGTTACTTTCCTGCCCTATTTTTTTGTCTTTAAAAAAAACACATTCCTTCCACTTTCAGTCTGAAGTGACCTAACAGGGCACAGGTTTACAACCAGGCCTTCATGCGGGCTTCTGATGGCATATTCAGTATTCAGGTTTGGTGGGCAAAACTTGGAAGAAGAGAGGCTTGGATCCATCCTATGCTCCCAGACTCAGGCTGACATAGCAAGGCACCAGAGTGCCTTTTCAATCGCATATGATAGGCTGGAGACATGAGAACACAAGATGTTTTGTGCATACATTTTCAACGCAGGTATTTGTGTTGGTGGAACATCAGTATATTTTTAATTTAAAATTCATTACTTTTTTTTTTGCAAGTAAACAAGGAGCACTGCAACATGGATAGCTAGTTTTAGTCCTCAGTCATCTGTGCAGGATATTTTTTAAGTTTCCTGACACTACTGCTGCATAAAGTCCTTGGATTTAATACTACAAAGATATATGAAAGTTTCTAGGACATGGATTTAGCTTTTCCCCATTCCAAATACAATAAAGGAAGCTGAGAAGAAATTCAATTCAATGGATCCTGAATTATGTTCTTTTCAAATCTGTGTTTTTTCAAAAACACATTCATCACACAAGCTGCCTAAAGGTCACAGGTTAGAAAAGGGAATGTCAGTTATTTATTCTAAGGCAGGCCAACTTCTGCAGAGTTTTGGGACTTGCAGCAATCTGGGGAATAAGCCAACAAGGTGCTAGGAGGAGATATGGTAAAGAGTTCTTTGCTTCTTGACAAGCTATATCTTTTTGAAGGAAGATCCCTGCTTTCATTCACCCATCATCACATAGGATGAACCCAAATGACCTGGGGTTTCATTCAATAAATTTGAAAGAATGTGTGCTCGTGCTCAGTGCTTGAATCACCAACTTTTCACCAAATGCAAAAGCTCCAGTTCTGCAGAAGGTGACTCCCTGTGTCCAAATATTGCTCCAGAAGGTCAGCTTGCACAGCAAAGAGAATCAAGCAGAAGTCTCTCTCCCCCCCCCCCCGGCCTGTAGCACATCAGTGTACATACTATGTTTGAATGCTGACCCATTTAAAAAGGTTTATAGATGTCTGAGAGGAAGCTAGACTGAACTGTTCACCCTGATTGTGCTAGTTTTGTATGCCAACCTCCAATGAAGAGTTCTTCAGACTGTTTTGTTGGAATTGGCCCTCCTGGGACAATAAAGTGAGACGCCTCTACTCTGCCACACCCACCTGCAGCTATTCACACACCACCACATAGGCAGACAAACGAACTGGCGACAAAGAAACACATCAAAGTTCAAATGTATAACACAAAAAGAGTTGCGATTACTCCGCTTCTCTCTCTCCTTACTAGTCATTTCATCTTTGCCTTTTGCCTCTGCCTCAGGCTTCCCCTGCTTGATGTACTCTGGTTTCCTTTTGTGTTTACATTTGTTTTCTTTACCATCCTTCTTCAACGGGCTGTCTGTCTGGGTTTTCCCCCTGTCGGGTTCGTCAGCCATGGACTTTCTCATCTCTTCTTCTTCAGCCTTCATGTTGACGCTGCCTTCCTTCTCTGAACCTTTGTCTAGGTTAATCAGAAATCAAGTCATTTTTAAAAGGCAACCACTGCTGTCAGTCTTGAGTACACACTACACCTTTATAGCACATTTGAAGCATACTTCCCCACTCAAATAATCCTGGGCATTGTAGTTTGTTAAGGGTTGCTGGGCAGTGTAACTTTTTGAGGGGTAAACTACCATACCCATAATTCTTTGAGAGGGGGTGGTAAGGTAGCTTTGTGAGGGATAAACTACAGTTCCCAGGATTCTTTGGTGGAAGTACTGTGATTTAGACGTGCTTTCAATGCATGGTGCGGATGTGATCTTAAGTTTCATTTAAACAGCAACATTTAACAGAAGACTGTGTGTGTGTGTGTGTGTGTGTGTGTGTGTATCACGACCACCAGAAGGCACATGCCTAAATAGTGAAGGCCATTTGGTTGGGTATAGGTCTTTTAAAATACATAGAATTGTTAAGTAAACTACAAAACGCCAGGAACTTCTTGCCCCTTGCCTAACAAAGCTTAAGGAGAAGCATTCTATGCGGTTTAAATCTCTTTTTTTACAGCTCTTCTAGAGGACTAGGACCTTAAATGAGAGATTTTAAAACTTCCCAATAGGAAGTTTTGTTCCTAAATCACAATGACTGCAAGTGAGACTCAGAAAACAATATTAAATTAGATGCGATTCTTACTACTACAGAGTGTTTCCTATTTCACTATGTATTGTGTTCACAGAGTACTTACTGCCTCAGTGATCAGGGTGTGCTTTGCATTCCTGTGATGTTCAAGTCCTTGCTCTGTTAGCTTGTTACACGCAAGTGGCAAGGTGAGCCAATCCCTTGCCTCATCTCCCAGTGTCACAGCACTTATTGCATTTTCCCTATCAGTGTATTTATGGCCACTGTCCCATGGTAGGAGGGGGCACCTGCACTGATACAGGTTTAACACAGGTGTTTTATGGGCTGCCAGCACATGTGTCGAATAACCGGGTGAGGCCGTAATACACCAGGCAGATGGTGATTCTAAGGACATGACACGGATGCGCTACTCTGTTGTTAAAAGATTTAAAGCAGCCTTTATCTGCCTCGGGTCCCCCAATGTCGTTGGACTACAACTCCCATCACCCCTAGCTAGCAGAAGCAGTGGTCAAGCATGAAGGGAGTTGTAGTCCATCATTATTCGGGGACTGAAGGCGGAGAAAGGCTGAACTGAAGTTGGCAACATTTTTAAAATAATGCCTTTCAGTGGGCTTTGCTGATGCTCTCAACATGAAGATCCATGCTGCTATTGCTGATTACTTGTTTCATTTAGGAATTGCTTCCTAAAACAGATCCCAGAGCAATTTACAGGAAAAACATATGAGCAATTGTATATATAAAAGCAATGACATATATGGGAAAACAAACGAGAAATGTTGAAAGGACAAAAGAGAGGATCAAACAGTTGTGCGCTAATTTCTAAGTCAGGAATGTGGGCTGGATGTGGCCCTCCAGGCTTCTCTACCTGGCCCTTGGAACTCTCCCCAAGCTCCACTCCTTATTAGGCCTGTCTCGCACCCTCCTGGAGTGTTTTTGCTTTACTGGATTATGTCCTTTAACTCTGATAATGGCTCTTCGTTGCCTGGGTGGAGGAGAGTTTGTTGTGTGAATGCATGTAGCCTACTGCACAAAGGTAGCAGTTGCATTAATTGTTCTGCCCACCTTACCCCCACAACCCATCAATGCCTTAAAAAGCTTTGCCTAAATCTTCCTCGTAGTATATAGCCTTGCAAGGCTGCTTTGATATGTGGCATCCTGGAAGCTGGAAAACAGAAGCAATGTCAATAGTAACAAACAGATGCATCCTCTGTTCTTCTGAATTCCTCTCACAGGACATCCAGTGGGAAAGCTGTACTTTCAGCTGAGAATGCAACAAAAGCAAATCCGCTTCCAAGAGGGGCAATGTTGCTGCCCCTTTTCCCGCTCTGACCCTAGCATGTGCCATGACTGGGATGCTGCTGGTGGGAGAGGTTTCAGGTTGTTTGCAGAGGGGATTAGCCTCCTGCTGGCCCAGAAGTACCTTCATCTGCTGAGAACCAGATTCAAACAGCCTGTCATAGCCTGTGAAGTACTATGGCAGCGAGAAACAGAACAGCCATGCAAATAACAGATTTTCTCCTCCTTTCTCTGTAGTATAGCAACTGTTTGTCACTGTGGTCTTGTGGATTCTGGAATGAGTTGTTTATGCATCTATTCCAGGCACTTGGACTCACAGTAGTGATTTCAACATCATTGATAATTCAGTGGAGCTGGATGATTGGAGGTTTTTCTTAATGAAAACTAGTTTAGCACCCTTAACATGCACGCACATCCAGCCAGTTCATACAATCCAGAGTATTCTTCATATGACCATTCCCAGGGACCCAACGGAGGACATAACATCTGACCAGGTTCTTCCTTGGATGTATCAGAAATCTGAAGAGGTGCTGTGTCAATGAGATGTTGCTAGGAAGTTAAACCCAAGCCAGTAATGCAGATGCATCAGCACCTTAAAGGTTATCAAATTTATCATGGCATATGCTTTGCTAAATGAACGCAGTATCATCCAGTTACAGGTGTGTGTGTATATGTGTGTATATATATATATATACACATCATTTCTCTCTTTTTTTGGGGGGGGGTATAATTGTAAACCATGAGGTCAAAGGGAAATGAAATGTAGAAAAGCACAAGCGATGGTAATTATGTTATTAAGAGTGGTAATTCGGGGAAAAACAAATACATCCTGGCATTGATATGTCAATTAACACATATAATGTGCTCAAAATCCTTTGTCTCGGTTCAGTCGATAAGTGATAGCACTGAACCTCTTGGTGTGTTGTAATTCAGTGGTTTCACAATGCAGTCTTCGTTTGACGTTCCTTTGCTCCATTGCTGGCCATGCTAAAGCTTGAAATTTTCACACTGGCTTTTCAATATCGCGGTTTCTGATGTCAGACTTCTGCCCATTTATTCTTTTGCAAAGAGGCTGGCCTGTTGCAGAAGGGCTTTCTGGCAGATGATGGCATATATCACAATGGAAGATGATCATGTGAATGATCTCAGTCTTGTTGCCAGAGTAGACACTGGGCAGAGTTGGGTCTGATCCCTGTGTCTGCAGCTCCATTTTGTGACCTGTTGTTGCTGTTTTAAGGAGGGAGGCTCTCTTTAACCAAGTACATGCCCACCTCCAATGGAAGGAAGTGCAGTTCTCCAGCATGGGCTCTACATAGATCACCAATGATACATTTGAAACTACATGTACAAATACTCAGGTTCACACTTCATACATCTGATGAAGTTGGGCTGTAGTCCATGAAAGCTTATGTCATAACAAATGGTTTGCTTTTAAGATGCTGTTAAGTCTCTTGAAGGCTTTTGCTAAAAATGCAGGGAACAAGTCTGCCTCTATGTATCTTGGATGTGTGGACCAGTTCCCAAATGGTCAGGATGCAAGAACACGCCTATCTCAAATGGGCTGAAGCATATTGCCTTTCTATTATGCATCTCTTGGTAGATGCGAGAGCATCCTTCTCCATGTCTGTAGAAGTCTGCTCCAGTCTCAGGTTGCTGCTGAAAAAAGGCAGCATCAGAAAGAGAGGACCTGGATCTTCCAACATATTTGCGTTGAGAAAACAGATATCGTAAGACTAAAGGGAACATGGGTCGTCTTTGAGTATCAGGCTTAGTTCAGACCACTTGCAAAAGCGTTGGTCGCATCTGTGTGTTGGACCAGTTTTAGCCCTTGTTTGGGGACACGTCAGAAGTATGGTTTCACTTGGGGTGGGGGGCAGGAGGGAAGGGAGATTACAGAATATTTCCAGGAACAGTGAAATGCTATACCTGATGTTCAGAGTCACTCCAGTGCCAGCTCAGTTAACATCAAAATCATGCTACTTCCTTCAGCAGTTGTCATAATAGTCCTTGTCAACTATCTCCAGACAGATCAGTAAGAGAGACATGATTTGCAGGCCGCCAGTTAATCTCAGCATAATTTAGAAAGATTTCAGACAGAACCCCGACTCGCTCTCCGGCAACACTTTTAATAACAGTGGGCCACTCAGAGTTCAAAGCCACCTGCTAAGATTCCCACTGTAAGCCTGTGTCTAATCTTTACAATGGCTCCCATAATGAATGCAAGAGAGCATTCGCCTCTAAACGGATCAGCGGTTCTCAAGTTATTTCTGAACACCAGTTTTTCCACATAACTCACCATCCACAGTTGTTGTTTTCTCAGCCTTTGGGTGCCCTGACCCTAGCCAGTAAGACTGCTGGAAAGGGAAATACCAAGGCCGTGGTATCCCATAGTCTCCTGAAACAAAAACAAGTTGGTAGGGTGCATAAACCTCTTTGTGTTTTGCCATGGGGAAGAACCCATCTATGCAAATCTTACGCTGCAATAATTACTTGGTGTTTCATTAGCAGCAAACATTGCTGTGCACTAGAAGTTCAAACAAAGCACAGCCACCCACCACCGTCTTGGCTGTAAAGTTTTTTTACAGAGGGAAAGGGACAGAGGGAGAATAACCACATTCCCGATTGCTTTTGTTTTCAAAACTGAAACTCAATTTAATTAAGGAATTAAGCTATTCCCCAGACCAGGGATTGGTTGAATTTTTAATAAGCAGGCAGTGAAAGCCTGTACAGTATGTGTTCTGCCTAAGGCAAGGTTTGAAACAGGGATTTCCTAGCTCACTTTCTTAGCCACTACATCATCAGTTACACTAACTATCACTCTGTATTCCATTACACTATGAAGTGACTTGATTCCTGGGGGCAAATCCTACCCTCAAAGTTAATTTCCAAATTCCAAAGATTAAGGGGCCACTGCAGATGAAACTGTCCAGCTGCCTTAAAAGATTTCATTCTATCTCTCTTTCTGTAGTGTTGGTGGCTCTTGAGAGAACTATCCTCCTGGTGTGCAGGGCTGTGTAGCAGGGCACCAGAGAAGGAGGAACAGACCTTCCAGTCAGTACATTTTTAACGGGAAGGGTGGGGTGGGGGGTCTGGGAGGGGTGATGTTTTGCGGATCAGGTGGGAATTCTTATCCAGCTCAGATTTTAATCCCTAGGCTCATAAAACTTGCCTCTTCTTTCGGGCTATCTTTAAGAGCTCCTGAAGCTCATACCCAAACCAAGACATAGCAAGCTGGATCTGTGTCTGTACTAAGGATTTTTTCTTTGATGACCTTACATAGGGGTGGGTAACTCCCCGCCTTCCACCACAAGCCAGCCAATCACCACAATGACAATAGGTGATCTATTTTTGCCTGTGCAGATGGTCAGCTAACTGTAGCCACTTCCATAGCTCTGTGCGGTGCTTTGCAAGTCCCAAGAACCAGTTTACAAACACTGTAGACACAACTTTGCAGGTGCAGACAGTCAACCCCCCTGCAGCCCAGTGGTGTCTTAATCTTCCTCGCACCTTGTGTCATATATGATGTCATGTGGGCGTTCCCCCACCCCCCAAAAAAGTTACCTTGTGGGACAAATAGGGAGGGTTTGGTAAACGAGGAAATGAGAAGCTTATATCTGCTTCCACCATGGATAAGATATGAAAATGCTATTTTGAAGTTCCTTAAAATGGAGTAGATTACAAGTCTTTTACAGAAGGGGAAAGGCTCCGAAACAATCCGGTGGTAACCAGCGTCATTTTTAGAAACCCGTATAAGAGGGAAATCAAGTGTAAGGTGTGAGATTACCTTGTTCAGATAAGATCTTTTGTGGTGCTTTGCTTTAGCTTTTGAACACATATAATATGCGGCAGGACAAGTTTCTTAAAATGCCATATATTGTACTCTTCTGAACAAAAGCAAGAGAATATAAGATCATATGATACGTTCTCCTGGCAAATTGCAAATAGTGGCCTGAGACTTCCTTTGCCCTTTTGCCCTTGTGCATAATTTGCCAAAATGCTGACAGCAGGGACAAAACACCATAATGTAAGGGACAGGGACCAAAATTTTATATTCAAGGCTATAATCATGTTTATTAACTGCCTTTTTGCAGTGGTAGCTACACAGAGCCAGAGGACCTAGTGTTTGCACTAGGTTTCAACTAGTTGGCACTGAACATTCTGAGGTGCTATTTATTTGATTTATTTTAATGTTTAGTTAAGCTCTAACTTTAAAATCCAGTTCTATTAAAATCACTCTTTAGCAGCAACAGTGTCTATAAGGCTACCTCTATTTAAAATGGGCAGGGAAGAGACACTGCCATACCTGGGAAGACATTATCCAAGTACCAAGCAAGCAATCCATAGATAAAACCATCCAAAACCATCATCTCCATAGAGAACAAGAAACTGTATTGATCTCCTTCTAGTGGGCTGGTTCGGACGTTATCCCACTGTAGCCCAAGGCCTTGCTCTTCATAGCGTGACAAGTATTCTGTACCAAACCCAAATGCCACAGGTGAAAGGAAGCTCTGGAAGAGGAAGAGGAAGAGGAAGGAGGGGTGTCAAGTTACCTTGATGGGGATGGGGGAAACTGTTAGCAATGATCATATGGCAGACAGGAATGAAAAGGGGATGGGTAGATTTCCTTGATTAGTTTTTCCTGAATGTTCCACTCCACTCATCTTCCAATTTTTTAAATTTCAGAGTGTCTGTATTTGCATTATCCCCTCCCCCCTTTACAGATAAACATTAACAACTGTGTACATTAAAACACTATTGTTGTTTTTAAGCTAATGGAAATCACAGCAATTTTCCAAGACATTTTCAAGCACCCCTAAATTGTTGGAGAATTTTGCCTCTCAACCCCCTACAAAGATTATTTGGTGAAATCCCCCCTCCCCATTTCCTCACCCACAAATATCAATCAATCAATCAATCAATCTCTTTTATAGACATAAAAAGCACATCATATACATGGATCAGAACACAACACAGTTAACAAAACGTAGTAGGAGATACTTTAGGATAAAACTGTCCAGACATCATGAAGTACGAAGATGGCTCTTAGGACCTGTGGTGACATAATTTAATAGTGTCGCTCAAAAATCTTGCCACATTCTCCACAATGTCATTACTACAACTGTTCATCAAATAAGACACCCTGGAAGAGTCAGTGTGAAAAATCCCCTCCTTTGATAAGGGGGCCAAATATATTTTTGCATAAAATGGGCAATAAAAATAAAACATGTCTGATGGATTCAACCTGTTTTGTGCCACAAGGGCAGTATATTTCAGAGAGTGGGGTTTTCGAGAATCTACCTTGCAAAATTGCAGACGGTGACATTAAATCTTGTGAGGGAAAGAGCTCTGCGTAGGTGGGGATCATAAAGCTGGTGTAAATATGGAGTGTCCTGGCCAAACGAGGGTGTAATTTTATAGTGGTGAGCCACGCTCTGGTTTCCAGCAGCCTTTGTCCGGTTTCCAGACAAATGGCTGTATATGGCACACAATTTGGCAGCGCCAGGATTTTGTGCATAAATTTGTATTGGAAGCATTCCAACGATTGCTTAACTGCACCAGTCCATAATGGAATGCCATACAGGAGTTTTGGGGCTACTTTGGCGTTGAAAACCTTTAGTGCAGCTGGGACGAACTGGTTCCCTCTGTTAAAGAAGATACAGGTGATAGCCAGAGCTAGTGTTAGACTATCCACTCCATTAAGTGCAAGCTTACAATGGTATTTACAGGAAGCATTATATTGGAAGTGGATGCCTAAGTATTTAAAGTTTTTAACTTTTTCCAATGGGTTTCCACTGATCTCCCACCTATGAGGCTTCCAAGATGTTGAGAAAACAAGATGAAATTATAAAAGTTATAAATGACACAGTTTAGAGGGCACTGTGGTTTCTATTGAGCTGGGTGGAGGTAGTGGGTGAAGAGGATTTCTTACCGCCATAATCTTTAGCTTAAAAGTCAGCCGGTCCTGCCAGGCAAAGCAAACAATGTGAGGCAAGTATAGGGTAAAGTAGATGACGCCACTGCAGGCAGCTGCCAGATTAGCCTTGGAGAAGAAGGTGCTGAGCAAGAAGCACTGCATGATGCTGGCCGTGGTGAAGGTCAACAGGAACAGGAACAGGAGGTGGGGGTTGCTGTAATGAAGCACTCTGCCATACTGCATTCATAGAAAGAAAGAAAGAAAGAAAGAAAGAAAGAAAGAAGAGAAAGACCCAGTTAATCACAGTCTCCATTGACAGCATGGCGGAGACCATAACTCATCTCTGCTCATTCATTGCTGTCCATCCTCTCTGCCTAGGCATTTATGTCAGAGTCTATTGAAAAAAGAAGGGCTGGGGTGAAATTCATCAGTAGGTCTGATATTCTACCTTCTGCCAGACAATAAGATACATGAAGGGTATTCATATCTCTGTTAAACAACTGTGTGTGTGTTGTGTGGAAGGATGCACCTGTATGAGAATTTCTTTAAGTATCCTATGCGGTCATGCAACATATCCAATCCTTGTAAAATGCCACATCATAGCAACAGGCAGCTTAAGCTGTGCTGTTTGTTCTGTGCTGTGCATGTCATCAGTGTGGCTTCATCATACTTCTCCTTTCACGCAAGGTGTTGCAATATTGCTTCAGCAGGTTGCTCAATGTCATAGAGTTGCTAGTAAAACCTTAGCTTCAAGATCAGGCATTTTGGGTAATGCAGCTTCCTTTAAGATTAGGGCATGGTTACCAGTAGCTATCTTGAGGGAAGGTAGCCTGCCATGGATTAAAAGACGACAGGATGACCCTGCACACTCCTAGATAGGCACTGGGTGAATTTCTCTCCAGATGTTGTTGGATTCCAACTCTCATCAGCCCCAGCCAGCAGGACCAATGCTCAGGGATGATGGGAGTTGTAGTTCAACATCATCAGAAGGGCCACAGGTTCCTCATCCCTGTACCGAGCACCAGGTGATAACATGGCAGGAGGACCACCATCACAGGGTAGAGTTCAAACACAGCAGTTCAGAAGACTTGTTCTCCAGATTTCTGGCTCATCATTAAGGCAGCACCCTCACTGTGCAGTTCAAAGGCACAGGTCTAGTCTAGCATGTGGGTGTCTTGTGGACTGAATCGTGAATTACAAAAACAGCTGCCTTTCAGTAATCATTAGGCCTTTGCATGGATTGTTGCTATTGAAAAAATATCAGGTTATCATTGCTCCTCCCAGCATAAATTGTGCAGCTGCCCTATGTTGGTCAAGGGACAATCACTTTGCTATGACTGCAACTCTATGCATGTCTACTCAGACATCCTATTGAGTTCAATGCAACTGTTTCTCAGATAAGCATGTACAGCATTGTATCCTATAGCAGTCAAACAGATAGTTCAACCAGACTAAAATTTTACAAAATGTGAAAAGTAAGAGATTTGGAATGGGGCTAAAAACATGTTCCTCCACCTCCCTAGTTTGCTTGAAGTGTTTTTATACAAATTCACACACTGCACCTTTGCCTGAAAGCAGATGCTTAAAAATAATTAAACCAAAAAGCCAAAATACTGAATTTTCAGAGCATATTCTGATTATGCATGTCATCTCTTCTCCCCAGATTACAGTCCTCTGAAAAATAGGGTCCATGAAGAGGGGAATCAACTGTCTTTTTAAAAGTCGCTGTCTTTTAAAAAGCTGAAATAGTATTTTGCTGCTAAGTGACATTCAAATACCCAGAACCAGGGAGATCTCATGAGGGTAGCTAAGATCTACCAGGATCCTTTGCACTGCTAAGTAAACCAAGGATGATCTTTATGAATCTTTAAGGACCCCATTACAGTGAACAGTTGGACCTCAACTGGAAGTTAACCTTATCTAATCAAGTGGGACAGACAATTGTTCTGTACTTTTAGGCCTTACATATCTACAGCTATTTTTTGACAAAAGTTACAAATGGCAATTGACCATCATTGTTGTTTTATCCCACACAGGAAGTGTGCTTGTTCATGTGCAGCAGTAATTATTAGCATTAAGTATAATTATGCTTGTGCAAGGAAGAATGACACACGAAAAGTGGCAGTAATGGAATAGCACAATATACAGTATGAATTACTACTGGTATGATATCACTGCTGGCATAAACTCCTATAGAGGAATGTGTCGGCCTTTAGCGTATCTGATTATTTCACCAGGGGTCTATTGCCAACAACCAGCTCATAGTTTTCCAATATGTCAGATGTCAGATCCCCTAATGTACTCTTCAAAAGATACTGCCAAAGCCATTCTCTTAACAGCAGTATTTGGCAACGTACATGTGGCACGTAAGGCATTAACTATTATAGAGAAGAAGAAAAATATATATTGGATACACTGATCTGGACTTGAAGTGGGAAACAACCTCAGTCCAGGGGGGAAACACCAGATATAAATAACACCGGCCCTGCTGGTGAACTCAAACAAACAATAAGCACCAAATTAATGTGGTGTCAAAGTTAAGTGCTAACTATAGGACTGCATACCTAAGCCAAGCTACAATGTCAAAGCTGACACACCATATCAGTTCAGGTAGGCCTGGCAGAGGAATAATTGAACAGGAGCAGGCTTTTCTCATAAAAGTAAACTGTGCTTTAGCAGTAGTTGTTTACAAATTTTTGTTCTTTAGTAAGCGCTAAGATTCTGGCATCCAGAGTCATCTTTATCAGGAAGGCTTTTTCTTTTGTTTTAGAATGCAGCAAATCACAAAGCAATCAAAATAACATATAATAAACAAACAGCAAGAGGAAGCAGAAGATTAAATAAAGAAAGAAATCCTTAGGGTCACCAGGAAAAAACAAGAGCGCCACACCCAACAAGAAGAAACAGAACAAAAAAAGCCAAGCCAATGGGTATACAGAGGTATGTTTTCATGCTGTTAGGTAGTTCCCAATATGACAGAATAGTTCCCACTGCATTTTCGGCTTCGCCTTTGTCAGGAGAAATTTCCCAGGCACTATTTACTCAGAGGCATGAAAGGTGCACTCCACCCACCAGCTGCCAAGATGACCCGTGGCTTAAAAGCAAGAGTTCCATCTTCTAATGAACTTAAGAATAGCTCTGTTGGATCAGGCATTGGCCCATCTAGTCCAGGATCCTGTTCTCACAGTGGCCAACCTGATGCCTATGGGAAACCCACAAACAGAACCTGAGCACAACAGCACTCTCCCTTCTTGTGTGCTGCCTCCAAGCATGAAGGCGGAATGTAGCCATCGTGGCTTGTAACCACTGATAACTTTATCCTCCATGAATTTGTCTAATCCTCTTTTAAAGCCACCCAAGTTGGTGGCCTGCAGGAGTGAGTTCCATTGTTTAATTATGGCCTGTCCCTTTTTCTGTCCGGAATCTTCTAACATTCCACTTCACTGGATGTCCATGAGTGTTTTGAGCAAGGGAGAATCCATTGGGAACTATCCTAGAATGCTCATTGGATAACATTCAGCATTTATATACAGTGGTGCCTCGCAAGACGAAATTAATTCGTTCCGCAAGTTTTTTCTTCTTGCGAGTTTTTCGTCTTGCGAAGCACGGTTTCCCATAGGAATGCATTGAAAATCAATTAATGCGTTCCTATGGAAACCGCCTTCAGACCAGGTCCGGGGACAGTCTGTCCCCCGACCTCTTCTGAAGGCTGGGGGGGGGGGAACAAGGGCTTTTCTTCCCACCCCCAGCATTTTAAAAAACCCCGGGACAGCGGAGGACTTCTCCGCTGTCCGGGGCGATTTAAAAGCCCCTGGGAAGGCAGGCAGGGGGCACAAAGACTTTTGCCCCCCGCCAGCCTTCAGAAGAGGTCCTGGACCTCTTCTGAAGGCCGGCGGGGGGCAAAAGTCTTTGCTCCCCCCTGCCTGCCTTCCCGGGAGAGCGGAGAAAGGCAGCGCGTTTCTCCGCTGTCCCGGACGGCTTTTGAAGGCAGGCGGGGGGGGGGGCGAAAGTCTTTGCGAAGCAAGCCCATAGGGAAATTCGTCTTGCGAAGCAACTCGCAAACGGAAAACCCTTTCGTCTTGCGGGTTTTCCGTCTTGCGAGGCATTCGTCTTGCGGGGCACCACTGTAAAGCTTTTGGAGAATTCAAAAATTTCCTTGTTGTGCAACTCGACAAGGCAGATCAATATTATTCTTTCCTGAGAGAATTTTGTGTGAGCAATTAAGCTGATATATGGATTCTGGCCCTTTATGGCACCCTCTGCGTTGCACATATTTGCAGTTGCTAAGAGGGCCATTCTACATTTTGCAAAGCAATGCCCAGTTATCATGTCTGGCGGACGTTAGAAGGTCGAGTAAGTCAGAGAGAAGGAAACAAAGAGGTTAAAGGGATGGGCTGCAGCTCAGTGACGGAGCATGCAACAGGCCCCCCAGGTTAAATCCACAGCACCTCTAAATAGGTCTGGCAAAACAACTGCAAAAGTTTGACACAGCTTTGGAGGTTATCCAAAATGTGGGGGGTTTGTGGTTAATTTTCCTGAGCAAAACCCCTGTCTGAAACCACCGCCGGTCACTGTAGACAACACTGAGTGAGATGCACCAGTGGTCTGACCTGGCAGCTTCCTATGTAAGACTTTGCAGACCAAATAGAGGAATGTGGAGAAGCTTATTGAAAAGATCAAAGCAAACGCCGAGGGACACACTTGAGTGGTATGACTCTGTGTGCCCCCTCCCAGAAGCAACGTATTTTTTCGAACCAAGCAAACAGCTGGTGGTTGTGACAAATGAGTTAGAGGGTAGATGCCTCACCGTAAGGTTTAAAAAGAAGTGAGAGAGAGAGACTTAGTGAGAGAAAGAGAGAGAGAAATTCCTGTTTTCTGAGGCCTCCTTGAAGTGAGCAGCAATGTTTAGAACGTGACCTGTCAAACCTAATCCAACCTGAGGCACTGTCATGAAGGCAATCTTGCGAGTCTCTCAGGAGTAAACATATCTATCTCTGTCAAGTGCTGATGCTGCCTTTGGGGGCTACCTAAAGGAATGCGCCTGCTGCTACGTGCTCGGGAGGCTGATCCTTCCAGCATAAGTCTGTCTGTCTGTCTGTCTGTCTCTTTTTCGTATAGCTCCCATTATTCCTTGGTAGTACCGGCAGCGTGAGTGCAAAATGGCACGTCTGGGCCTTGAAAAAGAAAAATGCTCCTCGCCTGGAGGTGATGCTCTTACCGTAATGAGAGTCGTCAGGAGAAACGTGCTCACAGCCATCATGATGAAGCTGTCTAGGAACCAGGCGAACCAAACAGCCCCGTTAGTGACCCCTCTGTTCTTCATGGCCTCTTTCAGCCTCATTTCTTTTTCCAGCACAATACTCTTTACCGTCATGGAGACAGAGTAGATCCAAGCAAGCACCATGAAGATGGGGAAGGCACGGTTCAGAGTAACCATGAAGCTGCCCAGGAAAGAAATAAAACAAAGGTTAAAATCATACAGTCTCCAAGAGGCAGTGTGAAAGGGACGCACGGATTGAAACTGGTCTAACAGCCGTTCCTTCTCTCTAGGGAAACTCCTGATGTTTTCCATGAGTATTCAGAACATCCTCAAACTATGCTTCCCAGTTTTCTTCAGGGGAAGTCATGAAAGTTAAGTTGGCATAAAACTGGTGTGAGTGCACAACGTCATGGCATCCCTAAGACAGCGCAGCTTCATTATTAGGAAAGTGGATTAAAAAAATGGATTTCGCTTGAACAGGAAATGTTGCCCCATAAGGTTTTATGGGTTCTGCCTTTTTGAAAATCGCCTTCCTCTGTTATTGCAGACAATTCATAACCCATATAAACCCCCAATATATTTAAGATTCGGTAGAGCTGGCTACAGCCCCTATCCCCAGTCTGCTCGCTGCTATTTCCACTTGGTGGTTGATTTATCTTTGTCTAAGGTTTTTCATTATGGGAACAACAGAAAACACCTTCTGATTGTGTGAGCTCTGTGTTAATGGCAATCTCAATTCAATGGAAGAAATCAAATTAAAAATAGGAGGGGGAGCAGGTTTAAATTGTTCACAGGTGTATCGACTTCTGCTGGAATATTCTTTCCCTGCCATGCATAAGTAGCAATCTTGTGCTGTGGGCTGAACCCACACTGACTGCGCCAAAGCCCTGCAATCAATTATCCTTCTCAAATACCTGATCTAGAGGTAGATCCTGCCCTTTTGCACAGCCATGCCTCCTCCTTGAGGATATGATCAAGTCAGCACATGGAGATGTAGCAATTAAAGGGGGGGGGGAATAAACCTGTATCATATGTTTATGGGATTATCTGCGTCTGTTTTGTCTGTGCTGCTAGGAGAGGGGGTGGCATCTGGAGCCAAAGATAAGATCATGGCAAGACAGATCAAGTCAAAAACAAAAGGAATGCAGAGGCAGACTATTTCTCACCTTGGCTGCTAAGAGAGGTCGCTACTGGACAAATGGAGAAAAAGAGTGTTTTTGAGAATTAATCTAGGCCATGCTATTTGTGGCAGAGAAGGGATATATTTTGCAAGCTGGTGCCTCCCAGACAGACCCTTGTGTTTAAAAAGGAAACAGAAATAGAAACTAGAGACCACAAAATGATGCCCTCGAGGATTCTGCTGTTATTGCTTCATGATAAGGCTTCCCTGCCAAACTTCACTTTCAGAGTGCCAAGCCACTGTGTATTTCCCCTGTCCCCCTACCAATATCTTGTCAAAGAGCCAGCATGTTGCAGCTAGTGTGTTGAGCAAAGAATGGGGAGAGCTGGGTTTAAATTCTCATTTAGCCATGAAGCCCGCTCACTGACTTTCAGCCTATGTTGTCTAGAGAGAGAGAAAATGAGGGTGGATCATGAGTTCCTAGGATAAAAGATGGGATATCAATATGATAAGTATATAAACAACGTACAAATGACACCCAAGTAGAACAATACTTGTGACTTTACTTTCACATACTTCAACCTTACAAGGAAAGTAAGAAATATTGTTATATTTGCAGGGAGATGCTGCTATACAGTGCACACACTGAGTTGTACTCAGCATAAGTATACTCTGAGTAAACCCATTGAAATCAATAAATATGACTAACTTAGGTCCATTAATGTCAATGGGTCTACTCTGAGTAGAATTTAGTTAGCTTCAACCCATTGCTATCCTGATAATGCAATCCTACACATGTCTACCACTGAGTTCAACTCCCAAGTTAGGACCGCAACCTGATTCGTGCCACTTTTTTCCTGCATAGAGCCAGTATATTCACTGGGGAGGGAGCCATGCAAGACTGTATCTCCATAATCCATCATGACAACAGATACACAAGAGTGATTTTTTACACGTGATGCTGTAAAATGAACCTATGCGGTATTTCCCCCAAACTGAGGTGCCTTCTAGGTAGGAAAAATGCCACATATTATGATGGAAGGTTGTATGTTCAGTGCAGTATTATCAATGCTTAATTTAATTAAATTAATTAATTAATTAAATTTAAAAAAAATGCATGAATCTAAAAGAATAGCGTTTACATTCAAGAATTATGCTATTGGGTCTAACCACCAGAGGGCTGTCTTTCATCAGAGGCAGGCACTTCATTCACAGACAAGCAGCTATGGCAGCACATACCCAGCATAGTATGATTTAGAAGAAGAGACAGCCTTGAAGCAACTTTGAAAGCGATTCTGCTTTCAAAGTTGCTTCAAGGCTGTCTCTTCTTATAAAAGACGACGTAAGTGGGATCTCGTCTCATTATGTGTTGGGCCTACGCTATTAATCTAGCTCTCGTTTTACACGAGCATTTCCCCATTGTGAAACCAGTTTTAAAATGGCATTAAGAGCCCTTCCCAGTATGTAAAGAAGAGACCTGTGGGTTAATGATGATTGATGATAAATCAAAGGAATGCAAAACCTTTAGAAAAAGCTAGACCCTGGGCCTGGTCTCTTACCCTCTGTAATCTGAAAAAGAAAGTTCATTCAGCTTCTAACCTCAGGATTGCTGAACTTAATGGATAGCTGAAGTTGAAGTAAGAGGCTGAAGAATTTGATATTGTTAGGTTTTTGTTAGGGGGCGATACACAAAACTCAAATGCTGTATGCATGACTATGACCCTACCACCCCCTACCCCATTCCTGCGCATAGCAGCACAGGCAGCTGAGCCTCCACAAAACCCTGCAAATGAAGATGCTCAGATACTGTAGCTGCAGAACTATTCAACAATGCTGAGCTTTCAGAGGTGTGACATTTAAAGCTCTTCATTGTTTGGAGGGTTTGGTATCTGAGGAATGACCTCTTCCCACATGTCCCTACCCAAGCCATCATCTGAGGCCCTTCTCCGAGTGTCCCCGCCTAGCGAAGGCCGTGGGTGGCTACGAGAGAAAAGGCCTTTTTAGTGGCAGACCCCTTTGTTTTTTGTTGGCATCTGTCTGTCAATGGAGTGTGCCTCCAAGGGTGAAGTCAAACCACTGTGTTAACTGCACCTAAGTGACCACCCCAGGACACAAGCCTGGACAGTGTGCATGGAGGGTCAGACAACAAGACCCCCCTCTTGGCCTCACTGATGCGATCCAAAAGGAAGCAGAGCAATACGTTAGGTACCAGCTTGGCTGCAGGAGTTGCCAGAAGGAGGCATGCAAGGCACCATCCAACCATCTTAGGGACTCCATTCCAAATTTGTGTAGGGTTTACTCCCTAGCCTTTTCTTCTCCCAAAGATATGCTGCAAAGCAGCAGAGATTTAGGATCAGTTTTCCTTCTCCTCAATGGGCTACCTTCCCAGGTTGACAAGCCCCAACTGCAGACCCACCCATTGTGGAATGCCCTGCCTAAAGAAGCCTGGCATGGTGCCTACTCTTATATCTTTCTGGTATGGGGTTTTATTTCTTTGCTTCCTATTTTGAATTGCCTGTTTTGGTTTTATTCTTGTGCTTGATTTGTTGCTTGTATTGTATTTTTACTGCAACATTATCTTCAGGTTTATCTGCTCATAGACTGTTTACAGGGGCAGGGTGCTGATAAGTTATTCAAATTTCGTTTATCATTTATTACGTTTTTTCACTTTTACAAAGGAGCTCAGGATGGCATATTATCACTCCCCACTCACATACAAAACATCAAAACAGGCCTGTGGGGTATGTAAGTCTGAAAGGAAAAGACTGCGAGCTTAATAGCTGATCAGGTGTTTGAACGTGATATGGACAAGGAAGTTTTTGACCTTCTCTCTCTCATACCACTAGAACTCGGGGAAGATCCTGTAAAGCTGAATGTTGGGATATTTGGGACAGACAAAAGAAAGTACAGTGGATGCTCGGGTTGCGAACGTGATCCATGCGGGTAACCTGTTCCAGTACTTCCGGGTTTCGGTGGTCTGCAACCTGAAAAAATGCAACCTGAAGCGGCTGTAACCTGAGGTATGACTGTACTTCTTCACGCAGCCCAGATAAAAGCTGCAGTTCGGTCCCATAAGGAACAATTATAGCATCCAACTTGGGAGGTCTTAAAAGAGGATTAGACAAACGCATGGAAGGCGAGGCTATCAACCACAATGGTTATGCTTCTGATAGTGTGGCTCTGAGTGCCAGTTGCTGGGAATCACAAGTGAAGAGAGTACACTCAGGCCCTGCTTCCCGCAGGCATCTGGTTGGCCACCGTGGGAGCAGGACGACAGACCAGATGGGCCATCGACCTGATCTAGCAGGCTCTTCTTGTGTTCCCTGATTCTAGTCAGACACACTGTCAATTTCACCACACTGGAATCCCCAGTGGCAGCTCCACAGCTAGGAGAGTCTCTGGCTCCCTGATTTGCAAGGGCATTTCTGGGGCACAACTGCCCACACAATATCTGTGGCTGCATGAGAGAAAAAGAGAACAAAATCCTGCTAGGTCGGTCAGTGTAAAATGTTTTCCAGAGATAGGGAAAGCCACTGATTGTTTTGGAACACTGTACCGTTTCACCAAACCTTCCTTCAAGTTCTTGTTAAAAACCAGAGGAGTTTTTAAAAAAACAAAAGCTCTTTCCCCTCTCCTTTTGTTTGATGGGAAGATTCAGACAGCTATAAACTCTAACTTCTCCTGTACATTCCTGCTAATGAATCCATGGATTGTTGTTTTCCCAATGGAAGTTATCCCAGACCTAAGGTCTCCTTGCCGTTCTCTATTTTAAAGTTTTAAAACGCTCCAGTGCTTTGGTGTTGTTGTTTTTTTGTTTCAGCCTCCTTATCTCAGACTTAGCCAGGGCAGCAGCACATCCCAGACTCCTTGGGGGTGGGGAGGAGATTTGCCTAATACCTTCATCCTGGATTTCTCTAGCTTTTCAGCAAGATCAAAGGCAAAAAGCAGCCAAGCCCCCTGTAAAATCCAATCTGCCACCCACCCAGCCACCCAATTAGTTATCAGAAATAGATCACTGTGGCTGCTCTTACTCACACATCATCTACAAAGCATGGATAGGGCATTTGTTGCAGGTAGATCCCCGAAGGCACTTCAACTCCAGTCTGCGTCTTGATGATTCCATGCTCAACCATGTCTTGCAGATATGCAAACCCTCCCCAGATGTAACGCAGATCATCCACTGGGTCAGCTCTTGGTCCAGGATCCCAGTACCTGTGAAGACATAAAAACATTATACTCAACCTAGAAAGCTGAGGGTGGTGGAAAGCTGACTAGGGTTGACATTACAATTGCCAGAGCCTCGGACTTACACTATTCAAGGTTGAAAAAGTGGCAGCTCTACCTTGATGAGAACTACAGATCCCCGCCCAGCTAGGGACTTGTGTGTTTAGCTTAAGGCTGGAGATAGATCTAGGTCACTGTTGGTGTTTTATACTTTCCAAATTGGTTTTTCAGCCATTGCTTCTTTGTCTCAGAATCCTAAGTGTAACCTGAAACCCGCAACACCTAGCAGAGATTAATTCAGGCAGTCTGCAGCCTCCATTTTGAGACTGAGCCTAAATGCAAACCGTATGGCTACAATACCCAGTCAATTTTTAATGTACTCTTTGTGTTTTCTTCTCCTATCTCCTCCCCTCAGCTTTGTACAGCATCCAACCTGACGAAGAATTCTGGAGAAAGCTTGCTCACTATTTTGTAACTTTTTAAGTTGGTCCTGTTCAAGTTATTTCCCAATATCTTGTTTTTTCCAGCTCTTCCTATGAACTAACACAGCTATCTTTGCTTTTTATGTTACCATAAATTACGTTACACCGAGTAAATCACGCTTCCAAGGCTTCTCTTCTGTTACCAGTCTACACAATGTGGGGTCCAATTCTAGATGTACATTCCACACTGTACCATCATATAAAGGATGGCTGTATATTATCAAGCATCTGCTCATCTGCTTCATAACACCCTCTGATTTAGGGATTACCATCAGGCAGAATGTGGGGTGGCAAACCCCCAAAGAGTAGCAAAATATCATTTATCTAGCTTTTTATTATAATATTTTCACCACCAGGATATTCCATCTTAGTCACTGAAATGTCTTGGCTGCTCTGATTTATATTCTGACTCCAGCCAACCTGGGCCTAGAGCCATAGCCTAGGCAAGGCAAGCTTGGGCCAGGCCTTCAACACATGGCGAGATGCAAGACTGCCATCACCTGTCTTTGATTTTGTTCGTTTTCTCCACTGAATCTATATCCATGCGAATCTTGAATTTGACATGAGGCGGCAGCAGTCTGGTTTTTGGGTCCAGATCAGGAAAGATGAGAGCAGCCCAGAATTTATTCTCCTCCAGAAGAGAAAGAGCACGGTGAGTCACGTGGGTTTCATCCGCGTGGCCTTCAAATTTATCAAGAGCCAAGCACTGGAGAGAGTACAAAAAGCAGAAGACACATTGAAGTAGGACAGAAGGACATATGCATTACATAAGCACAAATGGGTTCACTATAACTTTTTTGCTTCTTACTCCAAGGTAGGGATAGCCAACATGGCACCCTCTAGATGTTGCTGGACTCCCCATCACCCCTGACCATGGGATTTGTATTCTGCCTGATGGTTTATTGTTTTTATTTTCTGTGGGTTTGGGTCCTGAAAAGTGACTGATAAATAACTGAAATAATTGAATAAAACCAGTATCTCGAAGTCACCATATTGGTTATCTCTGCTCTAAAACAACATCAACACAACACATTGAAGCCAGCTTGAAATTGGATTGCTGGTAGTTTCTTGGTTGGGAAATGCATGAGACTTGAAACCAATTTAAAATTTTAATGTAGAGACGCCTTAAGACTTCTATGCCTATTCTCATGCTAAAGTGATATGTAAAAACTGGTGATTAAAAGATAAAAGGAAAGACCGAAAAGGCCAACTTAAGAATATTCCACATCTAACATTTGTGTGGAGACTGACAATGCAATCCTACATACATTTATTCAAAAGAGAGAGCCCCCCCTCCCAAGTTCAATGTGGATTACAATGGGTGTAGGATTGCAGCCTGAATGGAGTAATTGTAGGGTGAGAGTTGGGAGCCTGGTCATTAAAGAAATGTCTAGCCAGGAAGAACACCAAAGTGAACCCTTCATCTCAGCAAACAAACAGAGGGAAAAGATAATGTGAGCCCACCACCTGGAAAATAAGACTGGGAGAGCAAACAAAATCACCAGGTAGAGACAAGAGGAAAGTGTCTCATCAGCACATCCAGCAGAAAGAACACACTGCAGTGAGGAGGCACCAAGACACACTTCTCTATGGGTAAACACTTCACTCAGTCTCCACTTTACTCTGTATGCTTGGGAAAGTGTAGGGGTTGAAATCATGCCGGCTGTGGGGGAAAACAGGAGGCATTCTTAGCATATACGCCCAGTAGGAATGAGCAGGAGGGCTGAGGAGGCATCTGAAAATGTGTCTTTCACAATGAATACATAGAAATGATGGAATCTGAATGGAACCATGGCAGCAATCCAGAGGTAGACACAGTTATTGGACTGGAAAATTGTCACAAACTTTTATTATTATGTAACGACCAGCAGAGTCTATAAGTGTTAGGGGTGATGAAGGGGTCCCATGCCACACTTCCTATATAATCCATCCCTGCAGAAGACACTATGTGTACATGGGATATACATAAAACACATTTCCCCTGCTAAAAGAATTCTGGGAACTGTAGTCCACCACCCCAACAGAGATATAATTCCAAACACCCTTCAACTACAGTCAACAACCATTTCGCCCGGAGGTTCCATTCCTAGATGCAACGCATGTTGGCACAGCACACATAAGTGTGCCCTGCCCCGTACCACCTTTTAAGGGACGTGTTTAGTGATACTTTTTGTCACTTCCGGGTTCAGCGCCATGCGCGCATGCACAAACACACATCATTCAGAGACACATTAATTGGTCACTGCCTGTACAGTTCCCAGGATTCCTTTGGGGTGTGTGTGCTTTAAATGTATATTTATATCTGCTGATATATTGACATTTGACCACACTCCTGTGCATTGTTACAGAAAAAGCAATTGGGAACAGCAAACGTGGCATGGCAAGTAATTAAAAAAACACACATAACCATATATTTGTATTTTTATTGAGCTTCCTAACTCCGAAACCAGCGAGTTATTATCATTGTCTCATCTCGGCAAGTAAATAGGCAGCATTCAGTTCCTAAACGGACTAGGAAGAAATGTGTTTAATTACCTCACCTCATAGAATGCCACACAAAGCCAACTTGTTTGATCTTATCTTCTATCTAGATGGTCTTTTCGGCAAGCCAACAACCAACAATTACTGTACATCAAAGTGCTTGCAGACAACTTGTGATTTAACAGGCAGACTTCTCTGAAATGTAAAGTCTCCTTTGTTTGGCCTTGTCATCTAAAGAAACTTTTATTATGTTGTTTTAAATGGTGGGGGAGGGGGGGAAGCACCTCTGAAAGGATCCTGTTTTAACTAAACTGATGATGTTCCAAAATACGCCTTACTTAAAGGATATGCCAAGGCTATATTGCTTTTTAGTGGATGATCAACAAAAAGTGATGTATTTAAACCACCTGTATTATAATTATGCTTGTATGTAAAAAGGAACATTGTACAGTTCTATCACTGAAAAGTGGACACTGATAACAAAAAGGATGACAAAAAATTGCCCAAAATCCATCTGTATTGATGCAAATCAGGAAAGTAATAACTATAATATAAACAGAAATATGTCTCACCATAGTGTGGAAGACTGACCAAGTGACAGTTGTCAGGATCCTGCACAATCAGAAGGCCTCCTTTGAGGAAGAGGCACAGGACCTCATGAGGACATGGAAGGACCCATTAAAAGTCCTAAGGCTGACCAAAGTGCTTTGGCTCACGGATGTCTCACCTGAGCCCCACTGATAACCCATCTGAGCACAGGCCAAGCCCTGGCCTGACCCTAAATGCTCAACCTTTGTCACCTGCACTTCAAGAGGAAAGGCAGCAGCAGATTCAATGGGAGCCCATAGCCTCCAGAAAGTTATGCCACCAGAGGTCTCTTCAAGTGGAGGGTTCCACTAAGAAGGATGGAGAAGACTTCGCTGTAAACAATAATGCAGAACATCACCAAGAAGCGGAACAGCTGGCAGTGAAGATATATGCCTTATATATTCTCCTCTGGATGCTTGATGGGTTAATAGCTCCCTGTTGAGCTTCTTAGGGCTCCAGCCCACCCTGCAGTTCTTGCTCCAGCTGCATCAGTAGGTACTGGTCATAGACACCTGTGGTCCTGCTCAGTATACTGCCCGGCTGCTAACTGTTGATGAGCAAATTACACTAGACTTGGGCAGCCTTTCAAATAAAGGACGGACTTCTATGCAGTCTTACCGGATGCAACTATGTTTTGCTAAAGCCTTTATTAAAATCCAAAATGGCAACCTAGGCTGCAACTTTGAGGGGAAGGGTTGCTTATCTTTTCCCCTGAGGGGGAAAAACCAGCTTTCTGGCCCAGAAGAAAACAACACTGCCCTGAACATAAGACCCCATGCATAATAGTAGTAAAAAGGTAAAGAAAAAGGACCCCTAGATGGTTAAGTCCAGTCAAACTTGGATATGGGGTGTAATAGTAGCAACAACCAGGATCCAAAGTTACTTAAAGCCAGGCCTTCCCCATCCTGGTGCTTCCAAATGTTTTAGACTCCAACTCACATCAGCCCCAGTCAACATGTGCCATGGTCAGGGATGATGGAGGGGAAGGCTGCTTTTGGCCAGAGTTGGGGAACCTGTGGCCCTCCAGAGGACTACAATACCCATAATTCCTGACCATGGGCCATGATGGCTAGGGCTGATGGGAGTTGGAGTCCAACAACATCCAGAAGGCCTCTGATCAGACCCCGCTACTATAGGCACACCATTAGGGCCGGCATGCCCAGTAAATTTTTGACTTTAAACAACAACAACAAAAACCCTTACTATGCCACAGGCTGGGTTTTCTCAGATTCAAAAAATAGCTTGCCTCATTGTGTGGAGAGGCTGCTGTTCAAAAACCAGAAGCCCAAAATCCCCTTGAGCATACAGTATTGGTGGTTTAGTTCAAGGATAACAGCAGCAACAATATGAAGCAACTGTAGACAACTTATTATTTCACAAAAGCATCCTTCTTCGCAAATAAATTGTACAACACTACACTACAGGTTTTTCGTTACTGAACGTAAAGGAAACTTATGGATGAACCCTTCCCTATATATTTTTCAGTTTTAACTAGAAGTTAACTAAAACAGCCACAAAAATACTTAGTGTTTTTATAGCGCTTAGCATTTATAATTCGGTAAGGAGAAGCCATCAAGGTAGACGGCCAGTAGGCTCTGGACCCTAGCTGGATACCATTGCATGCTCAGTTTTGAAATGCATATAAATGAATGCCCAAACAGAGATTGATTTAAAACTGCTTAAACAGCTTAGGTTCTACCTTCTTCAACAACATAGACACATACAGGGTGTTTTCTAAATCTCTATTATAAGCTTCAAGGCTCTGGATCATTTTTTTGTATGCTGCCCTGAGCTATTCAGAGTGGCAACAAAGAAATCCAATAAAATCAGTTTTTTAAACTAAATGTAAGTGTGTTGGAACTATCAGAGCTAGCAACAAATGCTTACAAATAATTGTTCACATCAAGCTGCTTTCCCCCATTATCCAAGTGAAGTCTTCCTTGCCCAAAGTCGTAAGTCAGAAAGATATGGGGCCCATAATTAATGCCTGCCAAGACCTCTCTTTAAAACCCCTGGGGAAGCAATCAAGCCATTGTTCTTCTCAACTCTCATCCTGCTCCATGCCAAAAGTTCACCTTTGTAGCATACTTTTTGCTTCGTTAGCAAGACCTCCCTCCTCCCAAACCCAAGCCGACCTTCCCCCACAAAAAAGAGTAGTACAATTTTACACATAAGAAGTGAGAAGTTACACAACTCCAAAATAAGAGGACACTATCAGCAGACTATTCATATACAGTGGTACCTTGGTTCTCAAACGCCTTGGTTCTCAAATGCCGAAAACCCGGAAGTAAGTTTTCCGGTTTTTGAATGTTTTTCGGAAGCCAAACGTCCAATGTGGCTGTCAGCTATTGTTCCCAGGGCACCTGCACCAATCAGAAGCTGCATCTTGGTCTTCGAACATTTCGGAAGTCAAACGGACTTCCGGAACGGATTACGTTTGTTGCTTTTGTTTTTGCTATTTATTTTGTGTTTTTGTTTTTGAGGCTTTCTCGGTTAATTTGTTTTTGTGACCATGTGGAACCCAGTTCAGCTACTGATTGATTGTGTGACTGCGGAAATGGATAAAAGTCCCCCATCCAAACAATGACTATCATCAGTGCAGGTAAGAAAAAAATTTAATTTTAATTTTTCTCATCTTCCATACTGTTTTATTCATTTCATAGCACATTACATTGATTACCGCTTTCATTTTATGGATCAATGGTATCGTGAGATAGAAAAATTCATGTTAAATTGCTGTTTTAGGGTAGTTTTTTAAAGTCTGGAATGGATTAATCCGTTTTGCATTACTTTCCATGGGAAAACACACCTTAGTTTTGGAACGCTTTGGTTTTGGAACCGACTTCCAGAACGGATTAAGTTTGAGAACCAAGGTACCACTTTACTTGCTTTTAAGCCAACTCTTCCTTCATACATCACATGCAAATCTCTTTGCCACCCCCTTTCCTTTTCAAATCTAAACCAGCCTCCCAAGCAGTAAAACTGAGACCCAAGTCTTAACTCTTCCCTATTGGTTGGTTTTCAACCTCCAAATTGCTGCTTTGGACTCCATGGGAGAAAATGTATGTTTCTGTTTCTTTTTCCCAATGGGACCAAGAAGATGGAATTGGCCTGGGAGCAATAGGACCTGGAAGCTGGAAGACACAGAAAACTAGACCCAGTGAGACAAATTCTAGCCTAGCCTTCCCTTAGACATGCTTGGGGTTTTTTTTGCTTGTGAGCTCTTCTCATGGGGGAGGTTTCCATCAAGTAAGTCCTCATCTGAATTAAAATTGGAGGCATATTATATGCTTATATCCAATGTTTGGTCTCAAGTGTATTACAGTAAGAAAAAGTTAAAGGTAAAGGAACCCTGGATGGTTAAGTCCAGTCAAAGGTGACTATGGGGTTACGGCGCTCATCTCGAGCCGAGGAACCGGTGTTTGTCCGCAGACAGCTTTCTGGGTCATGTGGCCAGCATGACTAAACCACTTCTGGCACAACGGGAACACTGTGACAAGTGCCAGAGTGCACAGAAACAGCCTTTACCTTCCCGCTGCAGCGGTACCTATTCATCTACTTGCCCTGGTGTGCTTTTGAACTGCTAGGTTGGCAGGAGCTGGAACAAAGCAACGGGAGCTCACCCTGTCACAGAGATTTAAACCTCCAACCTTCTGATTGGCAAGCTCAAGTGGCTGAGTGGTTTAGACCACAGCGCCACCCATAAGAATTACCCCTCCCACCGCAGTGGTGTCAACCCCTCATGCTTCTGTGTGCATCACTGTTGGGTGCACCTCCGGGCTCGAAGGAGCAAGCCTAGGCAGGTAATTAATGCAGACACAAAAGTTATTTTCCTCTGAGGTCAGGTAATTTTGCAGCGGCCTTGCGTCAGAAATGATCCAGTCACACTCAATATGGATCTGTGGCAGAACTACAAACCCTGATTACAAGGAAGCAAGACCAGAGCAGTGAATCATGCCAAGAGGGAGTGGGCAGCCTCCTTTCCTTGGCTTCACAGAAGCCCTTAATTACTGAATTAATTTATTTCTCATGCCCCCATGTCTCCTGCAGAACACAGATCAAAAATCACCACACTGGTATTCCAGGGTTTTTTTTACTTATGCCTGCATCCTTATTCCTTCTTCATCTTTTAGAATTTGCATTGTGGACTGTAAACTTCAATTGAAACTGCAAATACATTGTTTGCCCAAATCAGCCCCAATGCCAGCTCCCTAGATTGTGAACGTTATGAACCTGAACAGCACACACACAGCCTAAAAACACTGCAGATCATCCATCTGGCTGGAGGGATTGAAAGTTGCTGCTTTACTATAGGAAAGAGATCTTCCAAACATAGTCAGTGTCTCCTATATGCTTTCTATGAATTCTTATTTTCTAAATGCTTGAGCACTGATGTTCTAATACTGTCATGAGCATCCATCCTCATATTGAAAAAGATACCAGTCTTACCTGCAGGTACTCGTGGACCATGTGCAGAGCCTGGTTGGCAACACTGAAGACATTCCTCCAATCAAAGTTCACCATGCCCTCCCTTCTCTCTGGTGGCCCATTGTAGAGAAAATTGATCACATCTTCTGCTGTGAAACCTTCAGAACCCAGCTGCTCATTTAAGAAGCCTTTCACCGTAGGGTTTTGCAAAGTGTCCTAGGGAAGAAAGATTAGGTCTAATTTAACATATTATATTTGTACATGCATTTGTATTCTATCACCTGGGAAACTGCAACCTTGGTAACTCCAAGGGAAGAATTACCTGCCACTAAGCCTACATGGATAATTCAGTCTGGGGAAAGGTCAGATTCAGACACCAACCATCCACACAGGTGTAGAGGAACCCAAACCGTAACCCCGCCTAGGTCTGACCCCTTTGCCCTAACCAGCTACTTAGAGGCTAAACCTTAATTGCCCTTGTGTTCACTGGCTTTGAGGTAGATAGAACACATGAGTGTGGCAGCATAGCCCCTTCTCCAGACCAGTCATAATCAAAGATACCCAACATGGGCTGCCATGTATCCGGAATTTCCTGGACATATCCGGAATACAGCAGTCAGAAACCGTGTCCAGGTGGAAATCACTGAAATGTCCAAGGGAAAAATGGGCGTATGGCAAGTTTAGGTTTTGGCAAATTAGCTCAAAAACTTCATATATATTTTTGAGCTCAACAACTTTGGCAACACTATATTAACCCTTGTAGCTGGGGTTAGCTCAAGACATAATGCTGTCTGAGGCAAAGGGAGAAGATACTTCCTCTGATTTGAAGTACAGACTCTGACTGGACTAACAGTTGACCCTTCAGGTAAGACAGCATCCTCCACTGTACCTGAGGGCAGCAGGATAGCTTGGGAGTCCCATTAGGAATGGGGGATAGGAGAGATTGCTGCCACCCCAGCACCTGCTGTCTGAAGCAATCACATCATTCTGCCTAATGGATTCCAGTTCCCTTCCCATACCAAGTAAGGTATCCTGCACATACCCGGATCATGTTCATTTGCACACTGTCTTGAAAGAAGCTCCACACTTGGGGTCCCACTTCCTTCCAGGCTTTAGCCAAGAGTCTGAGGCGCACAAGTTCCTCAAATGTGGAATTTGCCTGAGTTAAGAAGTTACAGAAGGGAGAGGAAGAAAGAATCATAGGAAAAACAGAAGATTTGGGGATAGTCATAGACACCAGCTAGTCCAAACCCCTCAACCCAGGAAACCCAGAGTTACAGCATCCCTAAGCAATTACTGAACAGTTGAAAATTAAATCCGCATTTCTGCTCCCTTCAGAATACAAATGCATATTGATAATGTGGCAATGTTCATGTAGCAGTAATGTGCCTTGGGAACGAGACCCTGGTCCCTAATATCACCAGTGGCTTCACCTGAATGTTCACATATTGAGTGGGATTATCTGAAGGGAGATGTTTTTCATGTGTTTGGCTGAAGACACTTGAAGCCCTTCTGCAGCCAGGAACTCAGACAGTAGGGAGGAGTCTAAGCATGTTCAGGGGAATGCACAAATAACCCCCCTTTCAGACCGCCCTGCCCAATCTGCAAGAGTTGGGGCTGGTGCTGGTGAAGACAAGTTTTTTGGGACAGGGAGAGAGGCATGCATTCTGAACCCACATTCTGCACATTATTCCCCCCCCCCATACTTTTGAAGAATGCCTGAACAGGGATAGTGAATTCATGTGAAACTTAAGAACCTGAATAGTTATTGTGATATAGATTGGTGCTTTGTTATTTAATTACTGCAACTGGTCTCTGGGTGGGCCAAAAACATGGGATATCAGTGCAGTAAAATAAATTAGAAAGTGGCCTTGTGTATTATTTATTTCAAATCTGCTTCATTCCAATTTTTGCAGTCCTGGGTTTGCATCAGCAAGCAGAAAAAGATCTGCTATAGTAGCTACATGGATTTCTTTTTTTAAAAAACCCAGAATGATAAGTATTAGACAGAGAACTAAAAAGAGGCTGGGCTTCCCCCTTTCCTCCCCAGTCCTGAGTTCAAAGGCCACGTTACATTTTCTTGAGGGGGGAAAAGGTCTGTTGTTGCCTGCAGCAACAGCTTGGTTGCCACTTGTTCAATGGACCTCTCTTGCAAAGTGCTCAAGTTATAAACACTGCAGGTGCATAGGTGTAGCAGAGAGAAAATAACTTACATTCTTCAGTATCTCGTGAACGGCAGGTGAATCTGGAGCAAAGAGGATTTTCCCCATCAATAATGGTTTCATAGCCCTCCAGGCTATTTTGGTTAAAGGATTTGATTCCATAGTCTGGATCAATGTGTTACAAAAGGGAGCTGTTGGAGGAGAGGGAGGGGAAAGGAGATACGTTATATAACACTGGCCCAGTTTTTAATTGTTCACGACATTCTGCAGGCTAGCCTTTCCATCTTACCAACAGAAAATTGCAGCTACACCAGTTTCTAGGAACTCAGCAAACAGAGCAAAAAAGGTTCAGGTTGCATCTATGCAGCCGCCATGCCTTTAGTTAAAAGAGCAGTGTAATACTACTTGACTGAAATCTAAAGGACGGAAATTCCAGGGTTTATTGAGCTCATTTTACAGCAGCAGTACAACAGCAGCAGCAGAACTAAGCAGCCTTTTCCAAAACTGGTGCCATCCAGGCAGTGGTGGTACCTCCAGGTCAGCCTTTATCAACCGTGGGTTCCCAGATGTTGTTGGAGTACCACTCCCATCATCCCTGGCTGCTGTCCTTGCTGGCTATGGATGATAGGAGTTGTAGTCCAACAACATCTGTGAACCCAACAGTTGAGAAAAGCTACTCCAGATGATGAGGGCTGTTCACAAGGGAATGTGGCACGCTGGAAAAGATTTCCCACCCCTGTCCTAATGTGGCAGGGGTGAAGAACCTTCTTCTACCTTAGGGAAGCACTCCCTTCTGGTCAGCATTCTGAGGGCCTCACAACAAGGTGAAAATGGACGGAGCAACAAAGGTCAATTTTACAGTAGCTGAGTTTCTACACACACACACGCCTCCTTTCTTCCAAACCACGAGGACCTCTCTATTGTCCATTCAGACAAGCATGAGGCATAATCAGAGCTCAAGGACACATTCCAGCCTGATGCAAAGCTAATGAGGAGACTGTGGCTATGACCTCAGAAGATTCCTAAGAGCCAGGTCAGTTTTTGGACTACAACTCTCATCAACCCTAGTTAGCAACACCAGTGTTCAGGGATGTTGGGAATTGTAGTACAAAAGCAGCTGGAGACCCAAGTTTGAGGGGAAATGGGGCTAGATAGACCGCATTGGAGTTCTCCACCCCTGGCCGTAATGCCAATTTTGGAGTCTCTCTCACTGAAGCGCCTCTTTCAGGTAATGTAGGCAAATCTTAAAATGACAGCAACCTTGCATTGCTAACAAACACACACACAGGTTCCTGCCCTAATGATTCCAGCTGCTTTATGCCTTTGCATGGACTAAGTTGTTAGGCGAAATTCCTGAAACAACTAATGGCGTAACAGTGCCATTATCAATCTTAATCTTATAATACAAGCCCACATGAAGCACAGCCAATGGGGTGGGGGACTTACTGGTTGTGTTGTCATAAACATAAATGGATTCCTTCTTCGTGGAGTCAACCCCAAGGAAGGCCTTGTAATTATTGTCTTCGTACCAGTTGAGAGAGATTATTCTGGAACCACCTCCCTCTGGGTAGCCACAGAGAAGATCAGATAAAGAACTCATCAGCTGCCATAAGGACGCAGGCTCCCCATCTCGCAGAAGCGGCTGTAGGGTCGATAAAAGGTCCTGAACACTTGGCCTACGTGCCAGCTGCAGTGAAACAAAGCACTTTTTAAATGAATAGTTATACTAAGAACAGAAAGGAATAATAAAGCTGAACAATATGCCCACTGCAGCAAACTTGCCCTCTTCTAGGCTTTTTGCTTTTTTAAAAGTAACAGACACTGCTCCTGCTCTCTTCTACTCTAATTAAGGACATCTTTGGCTATGCCCCTCTTAAATACAAAAAAAGGTGTTGAACTGGTATTATGATGTTTGAAAGAAGTATCAAGCTGCACTGAAGCAAGATGCAGGTTTTATGAGGAACGTGAAGACTAAAGATAGTCACATTACTAAGGGCTGCTTGTTAATCATCATCAAGTGGGCATAAAGATAAGCAAAGGAATCTGTAGACCAAACCCAAAAGGAGGTTTGGAAGTCAGGCAAGGTATATAACAGCAGAGAATGAGCTGCAACAGCTTCCTCATACATGGAGACAAAGAGCAGCATATTATCAGATGTCCTATATAGGTTCTGGATATATCAGATTAGATATCCTCGTTAGTCAATCTGAAGCTGGATTCAGAAATGTAGGTTGTACTGTGGACTTCACCACTTCAAACTTCAGATGGGGAAAACCATTTTGGAATTCTACCTCATGTGAAAATAATGTGCTCAAATGAAAAGCTAGTGCACATCAGGGGGTAAGATTCTAGCCTCTTCCTCTTCCTGTTGCAGGTTTGTTTAACATAGAGGAATATGCAATCAGTTACCAGGACACTGAAGGTGCAGATTTGTATAATGCATGGTTTCTTAATAAGTCACAGGGAGTAGGAACAAGCATTAAGGAAAACCAGTGGGTGAAATTATTAAACTGCCCAAGCAGTTGGCATGTTTAAATTCACTGCATAAGGATGCCTGCCTGTGTCCAACACAAATTCCTTACAAGTTCCTTACTCAATTTTTATGCCAGTTGCATTCTTTTCCCTACCCCACAATGCTAAAGTGTTACCTCTTGCACGGCTTGGGACACATTAGAAAGCACTCGTCCCCACATTTGTAGATCAGCACCTTGAGCATTGCCGTCTAACACGGTGGGAAGCTGTAAAAGAAAAGTGAATGCTGGTGAGACACTACCAGTATCTACCTAAATGCTTTCAGAGTCAGGAGCTAGCTTGTGCTGGCCTCCTAGGCTGTGTTTCCAAACCTCCAATGCCTCAGTCATCCGAGTTGCCCTTTTCCAACTCTCTACAAGAAGACAATGTCATTTCTCTAATCAGGGAAAAGACCCCTTTAGGGCTAAGACCTACTACAAGGAAACACCCTCAGGCAAAAAATGATGAAGAGCAAGAAACAGATAGATCTATATGGCCTGCCCTGTGCTTCCTACGCTAACCTGCTGTACTTGGCCCGAGTGGAGGAGTTTCAAGGCAAAATGCAATTGTCCGTCCCATCAGGTTGTGGACATGGAATGGGGGGTGGCTCCACCTTGTCCTTCATCTCAGGCAGCAAAATGGTTTGGGTTGGTCCTGAACACCCTAACACACCCTGAACACAAAATTCATACAGGCTCAAATAATCATGACTTCTTGTTGTTTAATCTCAACCACAGAATTCCTAGGATTATCATCAGGAAGAACTTTCTGGCGGTAAGAGCTGTTCAACAGTGGAACAGACTCCCTGGGAAGGTGGTAGACTCTCCTTCGCTGGAGGTTTTAAAGCAGAGGTTGGTATGTCCATCTGTAAGGAATACTTTAGTTGTGATTCCTGCACTGACAGAGATTATCCTCAGGGTCCCTTCCAACTCCACAGTTCTATGATTCTATGAACGATGCAATGCCTAGGGAAAGCACGATGCCTTTCCAAGTGTCCTCATGTTTCCTAATTTGGAAACATTTTAGATTTTACTTGGAAATTTAGAGAATTCCTAGGATTTGGATACAATGCCTAGACTGATCAGTTTTCATTTGACTTTGTTCAGTACATTATGTAATGCCATCCATGAATGGACAACATTCTGCAGAGTATCTAAAGTTTGTACTTTAGTGCTACAGCACATGCATATTCACCAAATCTCATGGTTTACAATCAGGTTACTGATTTCTACAAGGGGCTGCTTTCAGCATAGGATGCCAACTCATAGCCCTGATTTTGCCACTGTCCCAAAACATGCACCACTACTGCTTCTGTTTACTGACCATTAAGCCAGCAAGCAATATGTGATGAACTCAGGATAACAGCAGCAGGACCATGATCAGATGATTGAGTTTGTTATGGAAAGCAATGGAAACAGACCCAATTCCATGCTTGCCACCCAACGATATAGCTATCCTATTATGGGATAAGCATTTCTAGATGTGGCAAAGTGGACTGGACCCTGTGGTGCTGGCCAAGATCTTGCGACATCTGAAAGACTTCCACTTCTTTTCCTGGATGTGCAAGAAGAAAGCATGAGCGGTGTTGCTTTTGTTCCCACCCTGCAGGCTGTGAGGAATCACATATTCCAAACATGATCCACTCCCTTTTTACCCTGCGGGTATCGTCTTTCTGGCTTGCTGAAATTATTTCAGAATGCATCATTCTGTGGCATCACACATACCATAGATTACAAGGGAGGCCTCTCTAGTATTCATGGCCTGTCACCTTATGAGAAAGTCCAGTCAGACCAGGAAATTTTGCGGTGAGTGATTTTGCAGGGCGAACAAGGAATTTTAAGAATTTGCCTAATCCATATTGCTCTCTGTTCATTTCCTTGCTCTGTCACACACTCCCACACTCCCACCAGTGACTTGGATTAGTTAAAATATTCAACCATCCTTTGGATTTGATTTTTCATGTGACCGCAGCTAGAGGCAGCAACACTCCTGAATGTCAGTTACTGGAAAAAACAGGAGGGGAGACTGCTCTTGTGCTCGTATCCTGCTTGCTGGACACTGTGAGAACAGGATGCAGGATTAGTTGGGCCTTTGGCCTGATCCAGCAGACTCTTTTTATGTTCATATAATGAGGTATATGGTATAAGGCTTGGTATAAGGCAGCTTCCAAAATGACTGAAGAGTTGAGGAGATGGCCAAATTGCGAGCTTATTCTGAGGCCCACCAGTATCTGTGGTCAATTTCTTCACAGTAGCTCTGTCGATGCCCTGCCTATCTTACCTCAGAGGTTAAAGATAGGAAATCAATGCCAGAATTACCTTCAAACCATAACAATGAATTCCCTTCCAGGGGGCAACAATCGTTCACCCGAGTGTAGGCTGAGGTAAACTCTGACACCAGAGTATTTGCTTTGCAGGCAAAGTTCAGATTTCATATCCTTGGGGCAGAGTTGTAAAAAGCCCTAAATCAGATTGAAAGTTGAAAAGGTTTGTGCGGGGACTAGCTATTCTGCTGAAGGCATCATTCCTTGCAGGCAGCAGACTAACACAGAATGGGAGAAAAGCACAGATCACTCTCAGGCTGTCAGGGACCTGACAAATTGACAGTTTTACGGTGCACACATGCTGGTATTTATAACCTGTCGTGTACAGTGAACAGGAACGCCTGTAACCCAAACAGCCCCGAGCTACTGCTGATGTTTTCTCTGTAGCCTCTGAAGGCAGAACGATGGAGAGATCATTAAGACTCTGCTATGCCTTTCGCTCACCTGAAAAGTTTTGCAACTCACAATGACATCCAACATAAACATGAAAGCGGTCCTGTGGATACGTTTTGCTTTGCCCTCCTCACATTCTGCCTGGGCCTCCACATAGCAGCCTTGGCTGATTCCCACTGCCCACATTTTCCGTCCCTGGTACTAGTCTGCTGAACACTTCTGGAGGAAATCTGAAGAATGTGCTGACTCTGACATTTGTAAACACAGCCTTTCCTCCTTCAGCTCTACCCTTTGCTTTGCCAGAAAGAAAACACACACACACAACTGTACTATTCTCTCTGTGTGAATGTGTAGTGAACACTCCAGTCATATAACTTCTCCCCAAATCTTCCCCTTCACCCCCACATCAATCTGCTGACAAGATCTTGCAAACTTTTCCCAAGGAAAAGATCTAGCAGAAATCCCCCTCCATCCCCCTTCTGACTCCTTACTGACAGGGGCTTCGTATCGCAATTGGCGGGCAATTTTTCTGTGTGTGCATTTCATGCATTCACTTCCATTCATTTCTGTTTTTACAGTCATGGATATTCACTGCTGTCTGCTGTTTGCTGTCCACAAAAGCCCATGCCCAAGTGGGCGAAAGTTAACAGAATGCCTCTGCTGCATTGTAACGGTTTTGTCCCTTTGCAAAATGGTTAGAGTGTTGAACATGGGAAGGCTGAGTTGCACACAGCTGAGGAGCAAACAGAAGTAGGGGCTGTTATCATTAGAGGCCACCGACTAAAACCTCATTCATCACACACATGACAAACCACTCGCTTAAAAAGAAAAAGCTCTAACAAGCTTCCATGCCAGAAGTAGCTGCCAAAGTATAACAGGTTATTTTTACTCATTGGATTTTCCACAGAAAGAGGAAATCCGGATTAAAAGTTTTCTGAAGGTATGAGCTATTGTATTGATGATTACAACAACATCACACAAAGACACTGCAAAAAAACTTGTGTGTGTAAGCAGCACCAGTTCCACAATAGTCACATCTGGACGCACCCTGGCTCTTCCGCAAACTGCAAACCCACCCTAACTATTCATTCCATCAGCCCAACTTTCATTCCTTCTCTGTCTCCCACCTGTAGTTTTGCAGCTCTTGCCCTACCCTGCGCGCTCTCTCTCTCTCTCTCTCTCTCTTAATGTTTAATTGTTTAATTCCCCCTTCTTAAGAAAACCCTTAAGGGTTTAACCACATATCATCTTTCAGATACGTTGCACACCAAACCTCCTTGAATTCAAGGTATGAAGGAAAGGCTGGCAGCAGGCGGGGGCGGGGGCGGGGGCAACCCACATCAACCACAATTACATCAGCAGATATACATGAAGGGGCAATTAAGATATAATGGCGGTGTGCACATGTGCATTTTTCAGCAGGCCATCCCGTTCACATATAAAGAAGGGGAGTGTCTTATGTTAACTGTAAAAGAAAGGGAGGTACTGAACCCTTCCCCCTTCTGTTCTTTACCTCCCCACAGTCTAATGAGTAAAAATAACCCACAGACACTGCTGGCATGGAAGTTTGTTAGTGCATTTTTAGTGAGCAGTTTGTTACATGTGTGGCACTCAATTCCCAGCAATCTGAACAAATCACAGCTCCTAGGATCCTTTGGGGGCAGCCATGTGCATTAACAGTATGGGGTGGATGCCTGCACAACCCCAGGGTTCATCCATACTTCATTTTGTGCCACAAGTTCTAGGTACAGCTATGGGATTTCTAGGTCCATGTCCAAGCGGATTTATTTATTTATTTATTGTCCCACCGCTTTCCCAGGGAAAACCTAATATGAGCAAAATTCCGGTTTTCAACCACAAATGCTGCTAAACCGCACCTTGACAGCTCACGAGAGCAAGGATACCAAAGATAAAACTCTGGCAGAATCTCAAGTGTGAAATGAAGAGCAAACAAACAAAAATGTCTCATGGAAAGGGACTAAGTGTAAGAGATGTCATAAATGAATTCAAAATGGCAACAACCTACTATCAAGTAGTCTTGAGTTATGCAAAAGTTTAAGCAATTGATAGCAAACCAAGCAGTTCTTATGGAATGGTAGAGTTGGAAGGGACCACAAGGGTCTTCAAGTCCAACCCTCTGCAATGCAGGACTCCTTTCCCCAATGTGGGGTTCAAACCGACTGAGCTATTGACCGCCTGCCCTGCAGGAAAATTCTGCAGGTTGGCATGCACCTGTTCAGGACTCCAGCCAGTCAGCCATGCCCGCTTCCAAGATAGCCATTCCTTTCCACAGGAATTCTTAACCAGGATCCCATAGGACCCCCACCATGGCGCTGGGCCACAGGTATAGCATACCTAAGGTTCCTTTTTCTCAGAGACCAGCAACGTAACGACATCTAATCATTTTACATCTTCCTCTGAGACAAATACAGCAGCAGCACTACTATCCAAGCAACAAGAATTTTGAAAAACAAGACAAACGTAACCATATCTAAAAAGATCAGTCTTTGGCAGCCAGTACTCACCAAATGGAAAAGCTTGAAGAAGTCTGTGTTGGCGTACAAAGAGTCCTCGACCTTCTGCAGGTCCTCCTGGGAAAGGGCACACATTGCCTGGTGCACAGCTTGGAAGCCCCCTGGACTGCTGAAGATAATGAAGCGATTCAGCAGGGCCTGGCTACAGGCAATATCTTTCAGAGTCAACTCTGGGACGCCAAAGGCAAACTGTAGGCAAAAGACAAACCATACAAGATTAGAACCCCCCGACCTCGGAGCATGAGAAGTCCGCCAAAAATTTATAATCTGGCACAATATTTGGACTGTTTGATTATCGTATAATTTGGAATGTTTAATGTGGTCTTATTGGATTGTTAAAATAGAAAACAATAAATATTATTTTAAAAAAGACAAACCATACATATTCTTTATCAATGTGGAGAACCGCTGTCAGTTCGCGTCAGTGCACAGCTCAGACCTTTATTTATTTGTGTTTGTTTTCAATACTTATATACTGCCCAACAACAAAAGTTCTCCAGGAGGTTCTGTATTGGGACCTGTGGTGTTGTTTTTTTAAACTTGTCCTTAAACTAGTGCCATTTTTCTAGATAAAAAGTTGCCGGAACTCAGCATGAACACCTCTCTCATTCTCTTAGAATGGCAATGGCGCCCACCTGAGAGGTGCCAGAACTGAGTTCCAGCGAGTTCCGGCTGGGGGGGAGAAAGGGCCTGCTCTTATGGATTTAGGAGTGAACGGTGAAGTGGCCAGGTTTGCTGACTATACTAAATTGTTCAGGGCCATCAAAACAAAAAGAGATTGTGAAGAGCTCCAAAAGAACCTCTTCAAACAGAGCAAATGGGTGGGGAAATGGCAGATGCAATTCAATGTAAGCATGTGTTGCAAGCTGAGGCAAAAATAAAATAAAATGATTTCACATATAAGCTCATGGGGTTTGAACTGGCATTGATAGACCAGGAATGAGGCCTTGGGGTTGTAGTGGATTACCTTGATGAGGACCCAGTGTGTGGCAGCAGTGAAAAAGGCAAATTCCATGCCTGGAATCATTAGAAGAACTGAAAATAAAACTGCCAATCTCATAATGCCATTATACAAATCTGTGGTGTGGCCATATTTGGAATACTGTGTGCAGTTTTCGCCACCACTCACCTCAAAAAGGATATTGCAGTGTTGGAAAGGGCTCAGAACAGCCCTTTGAACAAAATGATTGAGGGGATGCAGCAACTCCCCTATAAAGAAAGGTTGGAACTTTGTAGTTTATAGACAAAAGGCAGGTAGGAGTCAATGTGATAGAATTTATAAAATTCATGGCGTTGAGACATCTGCTCCACTTCCCAGTGGGGAGGACTTGCGGTGGACCACGTGGCCACCCACTCCCCTCTGGGGGTGGGGGCAGAGTCCCTTATCACCCAGAGGTCCCAGCCTCGTCATAGAACCACCCAGCCAATCAGCTGGCTAGGGGGCATGGCCGGGACCCATTTAAACCAAGGCTTGATCCAGAGAACTTCCTTCTGGTGTGCTTCCTTGATCTCCCGCCCACCCTCCCTATTTTCAGGTTCTTGAAATTGGCCTTGCTATAGACCTTGGTTGGTCGCCATTGAGGGGCCTGGTAGGAATTTTTCCACTTGGCAAATTGGCTTGGGCCATTTGGTTTTCGCCTACCTCGTAGCAATCGTCACAACTTTGATCTTATGATGGGGAGGGGAGGTGTGGCCATCACCTGCCCCTCCAAGCTTAAGGGTATTCCGTTAAAGGAATCCGGGTGTGTGGATCTTGTCCGAAGCCCAGGGTGGGGCTAGGGCCATGCCATGACCCCGTCCTGGGCTTTGGAACCAGGGGGAGCTCGAGTTGATTTGCACCGATGGGGCTCTCCCTACTGGTGGTTGACCCTTACAGGACTCCCTGAATGACAGGCAGGAGTCAGATATAGTCAAGTCAATTCCAATGCCTAAGCCAATACCGCTCACATTCTGTAACCAATAAAGCTGTGGCCTAAATTTGCCCAATAACATTAACCTAATATCCTTGTGTCTCATTCATCAACGAGGGGGTGGCCTCGGGGTCTCGACATGTGAAGTGCATGGGTAACTTTTCATGAAACTGAATGTTTGAATATTCAAGACAGATAAAACAATGTTCTTAATGCAGTGCATAGTTAAACTATGGAACTCACTCACACGGGAGTCAGTAATGGCCATCAACCTAGATAGCCTTAAAAGAGAATTAGGCAAATTCATCCAGAAGAGGACTGTCGAAAGCTACTAGCCATGATGGCTGTGCTCTGCCTCCACAGTTGGAGTCAGGAATGCTTCTTAATACCAATTGCTAGGAACCACAGGAGGGGAGAACATTCTTGTGCTTGAATTCTGCTTGTGGGTTTCCCACAGATATCTGGTTGGCCACTGTGGTAACAGGAGGCTGGAGTAGATGGGCCACTGGCTTTATGCGGCAGGCTCTTCTTATGTAAGTTTACAAGTAAAAATAAAACAAAACCATAAGTACAATATGAAAATAAGCCTAAAACAGAATAAAAAAAGCAGCAGAGGGCTGTGTACACACACATTAGCTGCAATCCATATCTATCCTGTAGTTTTTTTAGGAAATGCAATGTTTTGATACGTTTACCCCTCCCAAAAAAGCTTTTAAACCAAAAAGAGAAAAAAACAATGTAGCTACTATTTAAGCCAATAACGAGCACGCAGTCTGAGAATGACCTATCTGTCGTTAAAGTCTGCACAATGGAACTTAAAGGTACTAAAAATATATTTCAGATTAAGAAGCTTGGGAAAATAAAAGGGTCTGGCACCTGGTCCCCCGCCCAAATGATTACTGCAGCCAGTATAAATTATGTAGAATAGCAAACACTGCAGGATAAATGGTGCATAATAAAATAAATGATGCAAGCATGCATAATTTCCAGTGTCTGTGCAGGTCATAGACTATTGCTGCAGAATTTGTATTATTTTTGGCTAAGATTTATTATTATTTTTAATGCGTAATTTGGATGAAACCCGAGCAGCTATCTTTTAGATTGCTGGGGGGCGGGCGGAATGGCACTAACAATTATTGTTTTACTGTTGGTTTTTCGCTATGATGTTTTTGTTTTCTGAAATAATTTGCAGCTGCTGTGATTGTCACAAATACACTTTGGTGTAGAACAGCAGGATAAAAAGCACCGAGATCAATAATAAATAACATCTGTGTTCCCCATGATGGATGGGCCAAGGACATCAGAAAACAACCTTGTGTTAGGACACAGAAATGAAAAGAAGATTATACATCGGCTTACTGAAATTAACCACAAGCCCATAAGATGTCCTTTATGTGCAGAAGCTTCATCAAACAGAGGCCCAATTCAGAAAATGTCCCAGAAGAGCAGAGTTAGAAAAATACTACACCTCTCCATACAGTTTTTCTGGTAGTTCTGACTACAGCCAACCTCCCCCCCCCCCCCCACAAACCATTTTTCTTCTGGGAGTCAAAAGCTGCCTGTTATCTGCCCTGCAGCCTCAAAGCAGCAGTTGAGAAATACATTCCAGTAATTTTATCAGCGTGCCATTGTTCACTGAGCACTTTCGAGATGAGGAACAAAATATTTTCTCAGTTAGGTGGCCTCTAGATTAGGTTTAGCTTTCATGAGCAAGTGTGTGTCATTTCCTGCACTCCCAGGGTGCTGTGAGGTCAGCGCTTCAGCTGTGCTCAACCCTTTGCAGAAAAAAGGGGTTCAGATGCTCGTAAACAGGCCTTAGTTTGACCACTATCCTCTTTTCATTCTCCAGAATGGCATTTAAACAGGGGGAGGTGAACAGGATATATGATTAACAGTGGGCAAAGCAGCATCAAAGCATCCCATGGTAATGACATCCGTTCACAAAGCGTAGCTCCAAGAGCAGCTTCTGGTCAACTGGAAACAGGAAGTTGCTTTGCAACTAGAAATATGCACTGTACGTTCAGATGCATTTCCAGTTGAACACCGGACAGTCTTAAAAATTGAATTGCAGATGGCATGGCTTTGCTGCTACAGAATGGGGGTGGGGTGGGAATACAGGACTGAATGACGGCATGCTCCCTCTTATGTGAAAAACACTGCACAAAGAAAGCTAGGCATCAGGGAGAAGGGTTCTAGCCTACCCCGCACCCCTGGCATACTAATTTTCTATCTTTGGGGATTTTCATATGAGACTATTGAAACATGCCACCTCCTCACCCCATCTTTAGACTACGCTGCAGTCCGTGAAAATGTTTTATTACTCGGATGGCTGACTGCGTGTAGATGAGCCCTAAGAATCACAATGGAGATCTGCAAACCTGGGTCAGCAACCCAAGGGCCACTTTGACAATGGAATGAGATGTAGGTTAATGCATACTCTGTATTAATGAGGGTTCACACTCATTAGTGTGTACAAGCACACTCTGATAAATTACGATCAAGAACTCCGCTTCACTATTCAGGTGCTGAAATCCGTTTGATTTTTAGCCAAGTAAGCACCCTTACAAGAATACATGATGAGATGGCCAACATGCTATTCTTAGAACCCAACTGTAGTTTCTTTAGTGGGGTGTTAGGACTGTCTTGCCATTGAACACACTGGTGTCTTGGTGATTTTCAACACCCATCAAAAGAAGACCGGTGAGTGCCCAAAGTCACCAACACTGGGCCCTGCAGGATTTGTTATTTGTTAAAATAAAAGAGCGGGAGAGATAGGATTTTATTTCACTGAAACCACTGTGCTGGTAAAGACTGCTGGCTTTCACATCACATAGAACCTAACTTTTTTTTTTGCAGGCTGTCAGGGGTAAAAAAAAAAAAAATTCTTTCTTCTGTGCAATTCAGAGAGCTGCCAGGGAGCTTCCTACAGCTCTGGTCAGAACCCAATCAGCTGAACAATCCAGCGAATGATCATGCAAGCCACCTACAATTTTCAAAACCCCAAAGGAGTGAAAAGTGAAAAGCAAGCTCATTAATTCTATCTCCTGCTGGCCACAAACAGCCACACACATTTCCCAGATTTGGGCATTGTACAGCAAAAATGAAAAAAAGGGGGGAAATAAAGAAAAAGGGATTGTGCCCAGACAGCTGGAGTCCTTCCCTCCTTCTCCCTGCACTCTCACACGGTCAGAAAGGCTTTCGTTCCAGAGATCTGATTCAGCCGGCCTCATTCAAAAGCGCAACATTCTTCTCACAGCTCCCAAGCCACAAGGACAGAAGGGGGCAATGACAGCCTGGACTGAATCACATACAAACTATCTGTGAGGAGGAAATGCTGGGAGATAACCTGGGATTGCAATTTTCCACCAAAGGATTTTTTTGGTCGAAGTGCTATTATTTTGGTGAGCATTCAAGACAAGAGATCTGTCATCCGAGGGTCCAGTCTATTCACCTGGAACAATGCCCTGACAATGCCCTTCCACCTCTGCCCTCGCTGACATCAGGAGTGGTGGATTTTCAACATTCCTCCAACATGTGCATTGGGGTCCCATTCACACTTCTATTGAGATAAAGTGATGCATAGACAACCACAGAGGGAGCCCAAGCCAGGTCTAGTCATGGATGAAAATTTCCTTACTGGTCATGTATCCATGACTGAGCATCAGCCTCTGCAGGCCTCAAAAGCAATACAGTGGTGCCTCGCAAGACGAAATTAATTCGTTCCGCAAGTCTCTTCGTCTTGCGGTTTTTTCGTCTTGCGATGCACGGTTTCCCATAGGAATGCATTGAAAATCAATTAATGCGTTCCTAGGGAAACCGCCTTCAGACCAGGTCCGGGGACAGTCTGTCCCCGGACCTCTTCTGAAGGCTGCGGGGGGGGGGGAACAAGGGCTTTTCTTCCCACCCCCAGCATTTAAAAAAACCCTGGGACAGCGGAGGACTTCTCCGCTGTCCCGGGCGATCTTAAAATGCTGGCGGGCGGCATTTTAAAATCGCCCCGGACAGCGGAGGACTTCTCCGCTGTCCGGGGCGATTTAAAAGCCCCTGGGAAGGCAGGCAGGGGGGACAAAGACTTTCGCCCCCTGCCCGCCTTCAGAAGGTGTTCCCGCCCCCCGCCCCGCTTCGGAACAGCTTTCCGAAGTAGGGCGGCTGGGGCAGGTGTCCCCGCCCCCCCTCCCCACTTCGGAACAGCTTTCCGAAGTGGGGCGGCTGGGGCAGATGTCCCCCCCCCTTCGGAACAGCGTTTTAAAATGCTGGGGGTCGGGAGCGAAGCGCTGCCGACCCCCAGCATTTTAAAATCTCCCCGTGTCCCGGGAAGATTTTAAAATGCTGGGGGTCGGCAGCGCTTCGCTCCCGACCCCCAGCATTTTAAAACCTCCCCGGGACACGGGGAGATTTTAAAATGCTGGGGGTCGGCAGCGCTTCGCTCCTGACCCCCAGCATTTTAAAACCTTCCCGGGACACGGGGAGATTTTAAAATGCTGGGGGTCGGCAGCGCTTCGCTCCCGACCCCCAGCATTTTAAAACCTCCCCGGGACAGAGACTTCTCTGCTGTCCCTTGGAGATTTTAAAATGCTGGGGGTCGGCAGCGAACGCTTCGCTCCCGCCCGCCAGCATTTTAAGATCGCCCCGGGCAGGCGGGGGGAAGGCAGGCGGGGGGGAGCAAAGACTTTTGCCCCCCGCCGGCCTTCAGAAGAGGTCCTCTTCTGAAGGCCGGCTGTGGGCGAAAGTCTTTGCTCCCGACCGCCAGCATTTCCCTATGGGCTTTCGTCTTGCGATGCAAGCCCATAGGGAAATTCGTCTTGCGAAGCGCCTCCAAAACAGAAAACCCTTTCGTCTTGCGGGTTTTCCGTCTTGCGAGGCATTCGTCTTGCGGGGTACCACTGTAAAGGCAACTTCTGGTAATACTTGTGCCTTAGTCATGGATTGCTTTGGAAGAATGGCCAAGTATTATGTCTCATTACCAAACCAATGGTTAAAGATTTGCTGCAAACCAGGATGTAAAACCAATAGGGTAGTTTAACGTGGCCATCAGTGGCGTAGCGTGGGTTGTCAGCACCCGGGGCAAGGCAAGTAATTTGCGCCCCCTAACCCGTGGATTTGCGCCCCCTAACCCATGGATTTGCGCCCCCTAATCTGTGGATTTTCCCTAACCCCAAATGTTGCTCCCGGTGCGGCCGGACCCCCCTGCACCCCCCACGCTACGCCACTGGTGGCCATGACTATATTCAAGCTAAGTCTATAGCTTTTCAGTTGCTCAGCAGCAGCTGCCATTTGAACTGTAGACTGAGCAGGCATACATGTCACCTGCTGGTCAAAGTCTTTCCCACTGCTAAGATGTATTTTACTTTGTTTAAATTACAGCAATTATTTCTGCATTTGCATCCACACATATAAATTAGCATGTGCAAATTTTATACAAGCTTTTACCCTCTCTTGTGGGGGGACACAGTTCCTCTTTTGTGGCAATGCATTTCCTCTTAAGTGATCGCCTAGAAACTATTGTTTAAACAGTGTGTGCAAACCATAGCTTGTGTTCCCTGTGGCTGCGTAAACATCTGCTCTGACCAGCCACATGACTGAGGCATGGCTAAAACATTTTCTCCATCCACTCAGCTTGTACAGTGAAAAGCAGGTCTCCTACACACACCTTTTTGGGGGTGGAGGACTAAAAACGGCAAGATAAATTTTATGGGTTTCTACTATACATCTGGGATCTTAACCAGGGTTAAGAGAACAGCAACTGGTTAGCACTAACCATGGTCAAATCTTAGAGTCAACTGATTTATTGGGTTGTCAGATATGGGCTCTTTTATTCTTGAGGCTACCTATAAAGTGAGATAGGCTGCTTTAGGGACAACACAGTCCTACATATCTTATTAAAAACATTATCCTGCATGCCTTTTTTTTTTTTTGGCTGCCTGAAGCCTATAGGAGAGATGCTGCTCCATGTACCACCTTTTTCCCAGATGACAGGAGTGATGGTCAGGGACTGAGTCTTTTCCATTATGGCATCTGCTCTGTATAATTCACTTCCAATGAAGGCCCACCTAGGGTCCCTGTTCCTTCATTTTTGAGGACTGGTGAAGGTGTTCTTACTCCAGGAGGCAATGATCTGTATAGGAGGTTAATGATCTGTAGGTGTTCTTTGACGTTTATAACTTATTCCGCAGTATAGTTGCATAAACCGTTGCTGGCTGTCAGGATCATGGGATCATAGGAAGGTGCCTTATACAGTCAGACCACTGGCCCACCTAGCGCAGTATTTTCTATCCTGACTAGCAGCAGTGCTAAATGGGTTTCAGGTGGGTGTCCTTTGCAGCCCTACCTGGAGATGCCGAGGACTGAACCTGGAAATTTCTGCATGCAAGGAAGATGCTCAATCACAGAGCTACAGCCCTTCCCTTCAGAGCTTTTGTTTCTAGTTTTTTCATTCAAGGTGGCTGGTTTTTAATCAATTTAATTGCTTTTAAAATTGCGTTATTTTATTGCCTACACATTGCCTTAAGAACCTATGGGTACTGACAGCAGAAAAATACTGTAAGAATATTTACATGAGCATGTTTGCTGCAATATTTACAAGACTCACCTGTTCAGGTCTCACTTGAGCATTCATCAGGTGGTGAACCACCATGTCAGGAAGACGTGCATCTTCACGCAGAAACTTAGTTAGGTTCTCCCCATTTTTCAGGATGTCCTGGATTCGTATTCCATTTCCTGGGTGAAGAAGACAAAAAGAACAAGAGGCCTATTAAGAGTTGGTGCACCATGGTGGCTTTAAGAAAGCCAGTACAGTGGTTGAGCTTGAGCTAGAACCACAAATCCATTCCATGGCTTTAAGGAAACCACTGTTTCTGACTCTTGGGCGTGCACCCAACTCCACTGGCCTACCTCACAAGATTGTGGTAAAAAATTGTGAGATAATGCATGCCAAGGGCTTTGAAGGTGCGTAGACACTATACCTTTAAAGCACATTCAAAGCACACCCTCAAAGAATTTTGGGAACAGTAGTTTGTTAAGGGTTGCTGGGAACTGTAACTCTGGGAAGGGTAAAACTACAGTGCCCAGAATTCTTTGAGGGGGAAATGTGCTTTAAAGGCAAGGGGTTTTTTGAGCAGGAACTTGGAGGGCACTGAGTTCCCTTACCTTTTAAAAATTAATTAATTTTATGTTTGGGGCAGAGGCTGAAATAGATATACACCAGGCATAGGCAAACTCGGCCCTCCAGATGTTTTGGGACTACAACTCCCATCATCCTTAGCTAACAGGACCAGTGGTCAGGGATAATGGGAGTTGTAGTCCCCAAACATCTGGAGGGCCGAGTTTGCCTGTGCCTGATATACACCCAATTCCTGAGCCAAAAAAATCTGTAATCAATAAAGTTGTGCCCGTTTCTAATCCAAATCATTGTCTGCTTGGGGTTATTAATCACATCTTACATTTAGCCACTGCGCCTCTCTCTCTCTCTCTCTCTCTCTCTCTCTGTGTGTGTGTGTGTGTGTGTGTGGTACTGGGCCTGCAACAAACAAACAAACAACTTTCATGGTGAGTTCCCCCACCTTTCCCCCCAGAAAATATTGCCTATTACAATATTATTTAAAGAAGATACAACTGAGAAGTTACAACTGAGGAGTTGAGGCATACATAGAACAAAAGTAATCTAGATAGAGATTAATTCCCCAGAGCTGTTGCTCTATTTCTCTGCCTGCATTAGACACCAGCTTTGTCTAAAAACACTAGTACTCGAACTAGTGGGGTTGAGTCCCCTTGGGAGAAAGTGGGACAACCAAAAGGGGAGATAAGATGCTGAGACAGCCTTTCTTCTCCCCATCAGCCAAGGTGTGGGTGACACATGCCCTCTATCAGAGGATCAACACTGAATCATGTGGGGTGACAGCTCCCTCAATTGCCCCATCATTCTCAGCCAAATTTGGAAGAAACGTCTGCTTTGTTCCAACGGTGCTTCCTGATACGCCGTTTTAGGAAGCGCCAGAAACGTTTTGCTCTATTCCGCTGCCTAATGCCAATGCAGGCCCTATCCACATCGAAATCGCTGCACAGCAGGAACCATGTGAGAACTGCTCCACACTCGTACTAGGCAGTGCTGGATTGGGAGAGAGGCAGGAGGTGGAATAAGTTTGAAATGGAGGGCAGGGGGTGAACTTAAGAAGTTTGGGAAATACTGGCCTAAAAGAAGTGCATTCATTTAAAAACAAACAGCGTTTAAGACTCTTTATTTTATTTTTAAAAAGGTGCCTGAATGTGAAATGACAGTTGTATTGCACATTACACAAGAGACTTGGCATTTGGACCACGCTTGTTTATTTTTCTGAATGTTGAATGGGGTTGGCGTGCTCATAAAATGCAGACCTGGGATTTCAAAGAATGGAAGAAAGTTCCAAAAAAAGGCCTGGAGTGTGGCCCTGGAACTGTGAGCTTCAAAGCTCTTGAGTGTTTTGTAGTTTGGTGTGTGTGTCTCTGTCTCTGTGTGTGTGTTTTCAGTCACTTACTCAAGGAGAAATGGTTTTGTAATCTCTTTCTTCAGTTCACCTCCCAAAGACCTGCTTCCTTGTAGGGAGTCCTGAATTCCTCCAATTAGTTTCTCATGACTAGGGCTGGATTAATCATTATGCTAAGTAAACTACAGAGTAGACTTCTCCCAATCAAGCAGGAGAACCTGCTGTGGCCTAATTTTCTAGGAGCTTTCCTAGGAGCCTACTCCTTGCAATTCTTCAAAAACCTGCAAAAAAATATGCTCAGAATATCTGCATCTGCTCTCTCATCAGAGTGGACAGAGGTAAGCAGCCACAATCTCTGACAGAACTGAAAGATTAGTAAGAATCTGTTTGCACTGTCATTTTCACCATTGATCATAAGCCTGCAAGTGGGCTAAGAACCACTTTAACAAGAAAAGCATGTCCTTAGGGAACGGTTGACCAGACATGGACTTTGTGCTGGTGCTCAACCAATTCATGAAGGCCTATGCAATTTGTGACCCACCAAGCAGAATGCAGCTCACCAGCTGTACCTACCCAGGGGTGAAACTAGGCTTTATTTCACCTGGGTCAAAGACCCACTTTGGCACTCCCTGCATGCACATTTGCACACACACAGACGCTGGGAGCCTCAGTGGCTCCCCTCTGGAGGCTTCATCCGGGGCAAAAACACCCATCTAGCTCCCCACCCTCTGGTAGCTATGACACTGAACCACCTACCCTTTTTTTTGCAGTCCCTGCAGGCAGCATAAAGGTGAGGCTTGCCAAGTGCTCTTTGGCTTGATGAGTTACAATGGGGTCTCCTGTAACCTGCATTGTGACAGCGTGCTGTAGAGTTGTCTGGACTTGATGTGTCACTGACCCAGAAAATCCAACTTGTGGATGAAGGCTGCAATCCTGTGCAACTGGAATGGGGAGCCTGCAGCCCTCCAGACTCAATGCCCATCAACCCCAGCCAGCATAGTCAAAGTCAGATATCATGGGAGTTGTAGTTCTACCACAGCTGGAGAGCCTCAATTTCCCCATCTCTGCTACATACATACACACCAACCAACCTAAGCCCAATAGCTGTGTATAGAATTGAACCGAAAAGAAATTACTGTGTCTATTGACCAAATGAGTGAATGGATTACTGCTGTATTTGCACAAGCTGTTGGCACAGATGAAGGGGAGTGGAAGGGTCTCAGGTTAAGAGCACAGAAGGTCAGGAAGTGTAGGAAGTTTGGCTCAAAAACACCGGGGGGGGGGCAGAGACCAGAGGCACCTGGAGTGAGGGACTGGGAGTCTCATTGCTGTGTCACTGGCTGTGTCACTGGCAAAAACTGCAGGTTAATCAAGTTGAAAATGTGTGACCGCTGCTTATCTTCTGAGCAAGGAAATAATTAACAGCTTTTCTCCAAATGACAGAGAACTATTATTACCTGCAATCCTTTCGGGATTTGTCCTCATGGTTTCCATAAACTGGGTCATGGAGCGTAGTTCTTCCCAGAGTCGGCCCAGTTCTGTTGCGTGTGCATTCAGCAAAAGTTCTTGAGCATCTTTGTACACTCTTGCTAAACTGAAGGAGGTGGAGGAGGAGAAAGACTGCTTAGCGTGGATTGCTGCATTTCCGAAAGGAGGTCCATATCATGGTGGCAGGCAGCATTGCTGGGCACACGTGTGGAGAAAGTAATCACAGCAGCCAGTTGCCTTTCCCACCAGACTGGACTCCTCCAACCTGCGGGTGAGCTATGCTACGCCTTTCTACTTATGCCCACCAACAGGGCTATGGAAAAAATATGACATATAACCCTGAAGACAAGATAGTATCCCCTCCTTACATTTACAAGCAGGGTGACCGGACAAGCAGTTGACTCTTAACTTCAACCCTGGTGATGGGGCTGTGTCCTTCACCTGACCCCATTACCATGATGGTCCCATCTGCACCATAAATCAAAAGAGATTAAAACCACATTCTCCACCAGCCCCAAAGAATCCTGGGGACAGAGCTACAGTCTCAACACCCTTAACAAACTACAGTTCCCAGGATCCTTTGGGGGGAGGCCATGTGATTTAAATGTATGCTGTGTACGCAGTCGTGTGTGTGTGTATATATATATATGTGTGTGTGTGTGTGTGTGTGTGTGTGTGTGTGTGTGTGTAACCTGCCCTTCACAGAGTGGGCAGCAACAATATTTAAAGTCACTGATAAAAAAACAATAAGAGAAATAAGCCTATGTCACATGAGTTCTACCTAGCCTCTTACTGAACAACACAAAATTGGGTCACACTTTGTGAGCTCATCAGGGGGCTGTTTTTCATGCAGTCATATCAGAGGCAACGTTAGGGAGCACAGAAACACAGGAAGATGCCTTATACAGAATCAGAGCATTGGCACATCTAGCTAAGTACTGTCCACACTGACTGATTGTGGTTCTCCAGGGTTTTAGACAGGGGACATTCTCTAATTTTGGGGTTCATAGTTAATTGGTCCATTCCCCTGGAGATGCTGAAGATTGAACCGCCAGGAACTTTCTGCAAACGTCCTACCACTGAGTTACGGCCCTCAGCTACAATTTCACAATAGAACATGGAAGCCTATAACATGGTCAGATTTCTCCCCCTCCCCAAGATGCAAGAGACGCTGTCAGCTTACATAGAATTATTGTAGTTTGATACGACACCTGGAGACTCTCCACGGGTCAGGCTTTTGAAGCAAGGATTGTTCATGTTACAGAAGATGCCCTGTAGCCACGGCAGAGTTCCTGCAGAGGGCATCGCCTTGTTTGGGAAGTGACCTTGGTAGGAGGAACAAAAAAGGAGGAAATAAACATAGCTAAAACTGCTTACATAGATACTAACCAACTGAGCTATCCAGTGGCATATTAGATTAGGGCATATCAGTTTTATTAAAAGGTTAATTGGAAGAGCACAACCTTCCCCAACACAGGCCCCTCCAGATGTTTTGGACCAGGCATAGGCAAACCCGACCCTCCAGATGTTTTGGGACTACAACTCCCATCATTCCTGATCACTGGTCCTGTTAGCTAGGGATGATGGAAGTTGTAGTCCCAAAACATCTGGAGAGCCGAGTTTGCCTATGCCTGTTTTGGACAATTCCCATTGACTCAGCTGTGTTAACTGGGGCTGATGGGAGTTGTAGTCCAACACATCTGGAAGGCACCAAGTTGGGGAAGGCTGACCTACCATTCATTCATTCATTTAATATATACCCTGCCCCCCTCTCAAAGGAGCCCATTCTGTGATCACCACCACCACTTAATTCCTGCACATGATAAGCTAGCATGCCAGAGCTAAAGTTTCTGATATGTGCCATCTCTATAAGATTGGCGTCTATTTATTTTTGAATGAGGGGATTTTTCAAAATATGGAGTTCCACACTTGCACTCTAAGCTGGACAGATCAGGCACCATTCTGTGGCGTGCTTTTCCTACACTTATGAATTTATTTTAACTCCGACTTCAATAAAATTATAGTGAGTGCCCCTTTCATTTCAGCAGGAGCATAGTAAAGTCAATGCTTTATGGTTCTTAGAGCTAAAATGGATTTTGGTGAAAGGGGAAATATTCCAGTGTTTTTCTACATTGTGTTTGATTGCAAAAGTTCAAATTTATATTTTCTTAAGTCTGAATATTTTTGCTTACAATATGAATTCTGTTTGATTTAGGAACTTAGGGGTGGGGGAAGGCATAAAATTTGGTAAGTTGGCATTTAACATTGCTACCTTAACAGCAAGGCAAGATTTAAGTTACTAAAAAGTATTCTGCAAAGTGAAATTTGAAAACATTTCAAACACATACTGTAGGTGCAAGCTAGAAATGTGTGCAAAACTTTGTTTCAGCTCCAGTGGTTTGGAAAATATTAGCTTTTGAAGTGACTAAAGATACAGACAACACAAATAAGAAGAATACAATGCTTAGGGGGAAGAGTGCTTTCTCTAGACTAGGGAAGTTTTTAATATCTAATGTTTTATTGTATCTTTAATATTTTGTTGGAAGCCGCCCAGAGTGGCTGGGGAAACCCAGCCAGATGGGTGGGGTATAAATAATAAATTATTATTATTATGGTTCACTTCCACAAATAGTACATGGTTAAAAATCAGATTGACATCTCCTTGCCTTTGATAACAAACCAGACTGCATTCTGACCATGGTCAAAGACAATAGGCTGGTTAGTGAGCTCAGCTGGCATGTACTTTGCGCCAATTATGTGGAAGGGAACTCTTTCAGGCGCAAAGAGATGCAGTGACGAGGGTAAAACCACAACAGTAGATTAAATGGGCAGAAAGGGACAAGCGTAGGAGTCAAGGGCAAGATGATTCATCCACATTAATCCCCTAGACCTAGTGTGCTGGTGCAATATTATGGGAGCTCTAGCAAAGTATGTAATTACTTCCATCAGCAAAGCTCAAAAACATTTTATCATGCCCATTGTACCTTTCTAGTAAACATTTGCTATCAAGGCCCAAGCTACAGGCCATGGGAAGATTGATAGGCTCCATCAACCTCTGTTTCCAAAGTAACAGATAGGCGATGGTAGGGAATCAGAGCAGGCATGGGGCAAATCAAATGCCATCCTAATGATGCCAGCTAACATGTTATTTCAACATGCACAGTGCTGGGGAGCTCCAGGTTGGTGGCACTCAATCCTGTCCCCACAACATGCAGGACTGGCTCAAGATAAACGTTGCTGTATCTACTTCCTTGCTTACCAGCAGGTAAAACAAGACCTAACTTGTAAGCATGTAGCAGAAACCTAGGCCGCTTTGAGTTACTCAAAGCCTAAGCAAGGAGCATTGCATGCCAAAAGTTGTTTCCATTACGATGATGCTCTTACATTCATGTTGGCGATAGAGTGGGTTGGCGCTCCTCAGCCAGACAAGGATAAGAAACAAGGACATAGGCCACACAAGTTCAACCAGAAGACGTAGCTGGAAAAAAGTTGGATGAGTTAATGATGCAATCTGAAGACATTGTGACTTTCACCAATCACAGAAGAGTCTGATCAAACATGACTCTGCCATCCCAGTATACAATCAAGTATTAATATGTGGCTGCTTGCAGCTCCTTGGCTCCTCCCTGGGTCTTTTTGCTGGTACACTGAGCTAAGTTAAGCCAAGGTTTGGGCTTAGCATGTTGTCTGAATCCAGACTCATGGATAAGCTCTCTCTGCAGACTAACCATAAGCTGTAACCAAGGTTTGTTTTTGGTTATAGCTTATATTTATTGTGGAGAGAGCTTAACCACAAACCAGGGTTTAGATGACATGCTAAACCTGGCTCAGATCAGCATGGTGCAACAACAAAAAGGTCTGGGAAAGAACAAAGCAGCTGCAAGATCCACACTGGAAGACTGTACACTTGCACTAAGCGATGGTTTGGCTTAGCTTTATGGGAGAACAAAGTCTATGAGACAGCTGGAGAGGCTGTTCAATAGCTCAGTCTTGAGTGACCGACCATCCCATGACACTGGAGGCTGCTCCATTAGGACAGATGCGACAATGCTCCACGAAACTCAGTCTTGATTCCTTCAAGCCCATCTGCCTTCTTACATATAACCAGTGCCTCTCCTTTTTCTTGGTTTTGCCATTGTAGATGTCAAAAGAAAGGAGGATGGGGACAAAAGGCAGAATGGCTGTCATGGGTTCTGGCTCCACTTCTCACTGGCTCTGGCTCAACCTACTGTTGGACTGCCTTCTGCTCCATCAATAAGCAACATTGACCCATAGAATTATAAAACCATTGCGAAAAATGCAGGTAGCTTCATTATGATGGCTCTTCACAAACTTCATAATAATTTTTAAGTGTACACCTAAAATATAAAACATGAATGGGAGAAACTGGCTGCTGAAAACATGCATATCTCTACAGGGTCACTCATCAGAAAGCCATACTTGGGTGCACTCCTTGTTTAGAGCATGCCTAGCACTAAACCTGTGTTTGTCACTGTATAATGCACAAGATGGCCCTCAATACATCAACACAAAAAAGCAGAAATGGCTTTGAAAAGGGCTTTAGCTTAGAGCATCCGCTTTGCATGCAGGTTTCAGGTTCAATCCCTGTCATCTTTAGGCAGACTAAACAAACTCGTAGTTTGAAACATTGGAAAGCTACTGACAGTGATTTGACTATAGGTTTCATTGGTATACGTTTCCTAGCTTCCAACTGTAATATAAAGATGAGAATTGTGCCTGCATTTGAAAACTTAGTGTGGAATTTACTATTTTCAATTGCTCATACGCAAACTGCATATTACTTAAAATGTGTAGCTACTGCCACCCTACCCTTCTGCTCCGAGTCACTAGGTAATAGATAGTTATAACAGATGAACAGTTTGTCATCCTCATGGTTATGGTTTTCCCAGCCCATCTCTACATCACTGGTTACTGCCTGTGGAGGGTGTGTGCAATGACTTCACACCACTATTAAATTACTGGAAGGCATGATCTTAAGGAAGCGATACTCTTCCCAATGTATATTAAATGAACAGAGCAAGCCTTATGACACACCGGAAAAGGAAGTGCTCTGCATTCCAAGCACTAGCTTGTCAAAGTACAGATATCTTTCTCACCAGCTTTATATATGTTGAGTTAAGCAAGTTCAGTTCTGTATACAAATATTATCTTTGTTCAAAAGTTGATAAGGATGCAGGTGTATAAGCTTTTAGAGCTATGCTGGCCTTACATAATCATTTCACCCCCTCATTCTTGAATATTAAAAAGGTTAACTAGTCCGTTAAGGGTTAGAAAACAAATGAATATTCCACAAAAAGAAAAATAGTTCAGTGTCTGTCTTTGAGTAAAACTAGACATGACACTGACTGTGTGAATGCAACTGGATCTCACTGCAGTTATTTTTGCTCCAGTCAACTCCTGGTTAGACTATTGAAATCTGCTCTACGTGGGATTGCCCTTGAGGTATCCAGAAACTGCAAAATGCTGCCACAAGGTTCTTAACTGGAATAAGGAATTCAGAACATAGTATGCCCATTTTTTGTCTGATCTATGTTGGTTGCCAACATGGTTTGTTTCTAGTGCTGGCTTTAACCTTTCAAACCCTAACTGACTTGGATATCTTACGGAGCACCTTATGTTCATCCCCACATCTAGCCTTGCTCCAGATCTGTCTACCATCTGACCATAGCGGTCAACTTTTCCCTTTTCTTGTGAGGAATCCTGTTCAGAATAAGGGAATTTCCCTTAGAAAAAGGGAAACGTTGACAGCTATGCATCTGACCTATGAGGAAAGCAGTCGCAAGGAACAGGGCCTTCTCTGGTGGCTTCCATCTTGTCAATGGCATTCCAGGAGAGAGTCACCAGGCCCTGACGCTGAATGATTTTAAGTGTCTGTTTAAGATCTCTTTCTAAAAGAAAGCTTTTAGCTGACTATTTATTTTGTCTTATTGAGGCTGTTCCTTGCTGACATTTTTATTGCCATTTTATGAGCTTTTGGTATTGCTGTTTGTGGAATTCTTGTAGAATTGGGTCAAGTGCTGTTTCATTAAGACTTCTCCAATGTGTTATTGGTGTGCTTTTGCTTTATACATCATTATATATTCTATTATTTTAAGCAGCAAGGTAAAAGAAAAGATATGTTCACATTATTTCTTACGTGAAAAGAAGCCACAAAGTAGTTTGAGGGAATCAATACACAAAGCTGCCGCGACATTTGGCAAACCATATTGAGATCTTTGCCTCCCCACCGACACATAAATGATAATTATTCATGCTGAGGTTATCTTGCTACACTGAATACCCACTAATTACCATCCTATGAATTCCTTAACCACAACACTGAAAAGTTAGACCAGGCCTTGACTGACAAACAAACCACAGTGTACAATAAGGTTACAATGCCACTGATGTGCTGCCATACATGGGTGGGGGGTGGTGAGGTGAGCTGTCTTAGAATCATGGCCACCTGTCCACATTACTAGAGAGCAATCTGGGATCTTCTGGATGCAAAGTGTAAACTCCACCACTGAGCTTTTGCTGTGGATGGAAATCTGGTGGGCTGGCCTAAGGTCTAAGATGCAGCCTCATCCAAGGCATTCTTATGCAAAAGTATCTCCTACGTAGGTTTAAATCCTATGCATACTTACATGTTCAGCCCAATAGAATTTAGTAGCAATTATTTCCAAGTGTCCATCATATCAATAGCATAAGTATGCATTAGGTTCTCTTCAATTCAAAACACACTTATTAAGGAGTATGTCCCATTTAAGAATGTGGGACTTACTCATTAGCTATCATGGCAAAAGATTGTGCTGTTAGCCACTGTTTTAAGAACTTAAGAACTAGTCAATGCCTGATGTCATGCTCAACAATCCCTCCCACCTTCTTCTTCTTCTTCTTTCTTCTTCTTCTTATATTATCACTTCACTTCACTTCAAACTATGATGAGATGGGCCCATCAAGTCTCACACATAAATCAGATTTTTATTTTTTTTTAATTGCAGCAATGTTTGCCCGAGGCTTTCTAATCTCCTCCACTCCACCCCCTGGAAATGCCTCAGCAAGTGTTTTGAGTTTGGGGGCTTTGAATGAAAGGACCCAGATGTTCTAACTGGAGACAGAAATCCTTCTTCCCGATGCCTCAGGATGAAAAAACAAAAGAGCAGTGTTTCAAATTGCCCCATTCAGAATCACTTCCTCTTCGCTGTGTTTCTCACGTACAGTAATTGGAATGCCCTCACATAATATAAACCTTGGAGGCTCTGGCGCTGTGAAAGGTGCTCTGAGCTTTCCCGCCTGATTCAGCAAAATGCCAGAACCCGGTGACTTTTCTGGATCAGATCCAGTATCTTAAAACATCTCAAGACACACAAAAAAGGTCATCTTGATGAAAAAATAAGGTCAAGGCCAGGAATTTGAAATGCTCTTTTGGAAGAGGGGAAAGGGGGGAGGTTAACAGCTTGAGGCTTCTTAGAAATGCTGCTTGTCAATGCTTTCCACACTGTATCACCAGGAAGTATGATCAGAAATACTGAGCCGTCTTTACAAAAAAGAAAAGAAAGATGGCTCCCTTCCTTCTCCATTTTCAACTTTGTTATATATATGTGTGTGTGTGTGTGTGTGTGTGTTCGTCCATGCCTTCCAAGCCCACACCCCAGCCCGCTAAATGCCACTCCACAAAATGAGAAATCTTTGGTTTAAGATCTTACTGAGCTTGAGACTAAACAATACTAGAAACAATCATTTTGCAGAATTCTAAGCTGCCATTGGACACCACTATTAAATATGTGTTGAGGCCTAAATGAAATTTTGCACGGGAGATCCATTATTGCAGAGATGGGCAGAAAGTAGGCAAGATCAGCTCTCTGAGTGATTTGTAAGATATTACAGAATTGTAAGAGTTGGAAGGGGCCATGAGTCCAACCCCCTGCAACGCAGGAATCTTTTGTCCAATGTGGGACTCGAACGCATGACCCTCAGATTAACAGTCTCATGCTTTACTGGCTGAGCCACCTCAGCTGAAGCACCAAGGATTTCCAATGTGCTGTTTTTTAAATGACAGCAACATCCTTTTCTTTCTATCTTTCCAATTAGGCTGCTGAAACGAATAACTATTTTTGGGGGGGGGGCAGGGGGTGACTAGGAAAGGATCAGTTCTGGTACTGAAATCAAATTCCTGAGCATCTGTTCTGCTAACTTAATTGCAGGCCTTCTCCAAAATTGCCAAGTTTATTGGACACGTGGAGCTGACATACTGAGCCAGAACTTGCATCACCTAGTCCAGGACTGCTCTGCTCTGGCATTGATTGCTGCTCCAAGGTCTCAAACAGAGGTCTTTCCAAGCCCTGCTATTTAAGAGCTGTTGAAACTGGTGATGCCAAGGAATGACTCAATCCGGAATCTGCTATATATAAAGCAGAGATGGGAAACCTATGGCCCTATGGATGTTGTTGGAATCCCAGCTCCCATCAGCCCCAACCAACATGGCCAAAAGGCAAAAGTAATGGGAGCTGAAATCTAACAGCATCTGAGAGAGGCGTGGCACAGGCCCCCCATCTCTGACATAGGGCACGTGTTTGCTATAAAGCGACCCTCCTTTTAACCCTGGCCTTCCTAGTTTCCTGACAACACCAGCTGTGGGAAGCTCATTATTAGCTGATTGCTCTCAATGGGGATCTGGATGCACATAAAAGAATGCCTATAGCTCAGTGACTCCCAAACATTTCTCCCTGTGGACCGCTTGGAAGTTGCTAAGAGTCTTGGCAGACCATGGGATGAGTTTGCTGCCTGTTGTAGCCATTGTAATGTGCTATTGCTAGATGCTCCATGCTTTTCAATTGCTTCTTTTCTTATGTGTTGCGCTTTATTGTATTACCGTTTGAATCCCACGCAATCAAAATCAATATGGATCTTCAATGTGAGGGATTGAATATCCACCCCCTGTCTTCAGTTACAAATCACAAACACACTTCAGGCCCTCTAAATTAAAATCGTGGACCACTGGTGGTCCACATACACCAGTCTGGGAACCCCTGATCTAGCTAGTTCCATGAGGCTCAGGTGAACATTGTGATGTGGACAGAGATCGTGCATGCACATGCTGTCCCTGTGTGTGTGAATTTCCCTTTCTGGAACAGGGCACATTTGTCTACATTTGCAGTTGAGGGTTCTGTAATTTAGTCCATAGTCTCACGAGACGCCTGCTTTCGAGTTGAGGTGCTTTTGTAGCAAGTTTCCTGATCTTTGAAGAACCAAAGCACAAGAAAAGATTTCAAGTATTTTGGACATTTGCTTCCTGTAGCAAAAGTCCATTTATTTTTGTCTTCACAGTACTGTGTGTCACTAGATTCTTGGGTAAGCATAGCTGGACCTCAAGGGGAAGTGAATCCTAGTCACCACTTCCTCTGTTGGTGGGGCTGGTATTCTTCCTCACTGAGACTTTTAGTGACAAAACAGTCCAGTATGTTGAGTTTGTTGTTGTCAGAAAACTCAACACCATGAACCTGATTCTAAAATGTACTTTGTAAAAATATCCTAGGAACAGAATGGATTAACTAACTAAGCACATCTCAGCAAAAGCCCTGAGCAAATGAACTGATTTTCCCAAAGTGATTTTAATTTCTCTTGAGCAAATTAACTGCATTTTCTCAAACTAAACGCAGTCTCTCTCTCCTTCCCTCTGGCTTACCTTCTGCCTTTTTCTCAGTATCCAGTTTTTCCATAGCAGAAGCCTGACCTGTCTGAGGAAACTCATTCTTCTTATGCATTGGCAGCATCCCAGACTTGGAGAATAGAAATCCTTTGCTGTTATCTTCTTGCAGACAGCTGAATCCTGAAAAAGAAGTGAGCTTATAAGCAGATGTTCCTGAATGGCTGCAGAACTGCAGGCTGGATTTCATTTTGTTTTGTCAAACTCAGCTATGAACCAAATTCCAGCTGAGCCAGAAGTTGGAAGCTGATAGTACTTTAGCTGAAGATCACAATACAGCGAAACTGTGCGATCTGGAATGGCCAACTCTGCGCTTGTATCTGTGTGGTGTCAGGAGTAGGATTAATACCAAATTGCTCTCAGACTTGGGTCTCCAGCTGTTGTTGAACTACAACTTCCATCATCCCTAGCTAGCAGGATCAACGGTCAGCCATGACGGGAGTTGTGACCCAGCAACAACTTGACACCCAAGTTTCAGAAATACTGTATGCCATACCGCTTCTAGGGTTTGAGACTATAAGAATTGGCTTGTTGGATCAGCTGAAGTCTATCTAATCCTACATACTGTTCCCTTTTCTGAAGCCAACCAGATGCCTGTGGATGCTCACAAGCAGCATGCTCTCAGAGTCTATTCTGACCATAAATCTAGGGGAATATTTTTCAATGAAAATGAATGGTGTCCCATGGACACCTCTGAAGGGATGATGGGAGTTGTAGTCCAGCAATATCTGGAGGGCCACAGGTCCCGTCCCTCCAACCTAAGGCTGCAATACACAGTTGACCTAAAGTAACTACATAAATCTATTAAGAGTACTTGTTTTTGTGGCTGGTCAGGAAGGAATTTGCTAAACTGCTGATCTAGGAAAGTCCCAGGCATCTGGCTGACCAAAAATTGGCTCCTATGAATTAGAATAATCTTTCAGCTGTTTGTAGGACTCTATGCTGGCTCTTAAAAGTGCTATAATACCCACCAGACATTTCTTCTCTCTAGTAATGATCACAGAAATCCTGCTTAACTTTTTATGCTCATGTTGATCAATAATCATCCCTCCAATTGCTTGTTCTAGATTTGCAGAGTAAATCCCTGTTCACAACCCTTAAACTGCTAGCTCACCACCCCCTCACTTTTTCACCATTATAGTGCCATTCAAGTCCCAAGAGCTGGGTGGTCTCCATCTATATGTCATCTTTATCACCACAGACACCTTTTCTGGACATCCTAGATGACAAATCTTAAATTGGACCATGGGGAAACAAATTTTCCTCCTGTCTGCTCTTGTGAAACAATGCTGGGCTCCCGAGAGAACAGCGTTCAAATTTGAGGCATGGCAATCTAAATACGTTAACTGTGTCTTCAGTAAATCGAATGTAAAGGTAAGTTTAGAAAGTGTGTCTCCTCCTTCAACAGACTGTGGCCGCATCTGACATATGGGATTAGACGGGACAAAGATCTTCCTTAATTAAATTGTAAATCTGATTTGGAGAAGTGGGGGCTGGCTTGTTGGTGTTACTGCACACCTAGGCGGTGTCTGTGACCTATTTCTGCTTTGGATAAAACAAGTGGGATTTCTGAGCTCAGCAGTGCCTGGGTTTGTTTGTTTTTAAATGAAGATGTAAATAAAAACATCCAACAAGGCACCAAGTATTTGAGTTCACTACTTCCTAATTATACTGAGCAGGTGGCCCAGCAACTTACACAAGATGCTGATTTCACTTCAGTAGATAGTTTTGATATCTACTTTGTCTTTGGAGATGTCTCTCCCTCGCACACAGATATATATTATATCCCACTTCCCAAGATGTCTACTGTAAGTATGTGTCATGATTTGCTGTGACTAACTGTTAAACCTAGGATATTTCTGACCGAGTTTCATAGGGAAAAATAATTCTAGGTCAGGGGTGGAGACTTTGCAGCCCTCCAGATGTCACTGGACTTCAACTCCCATCAGCCCCAGCCAGCATGACCAATGGCAATTAGGAGAGCTGAAGTCCAAGAATAGGTCCTCCATAGCCTTCAACATTTTCCCAATGAAAATAGGATTAATAATAATAATAATAATTATTATTATTATTATTATTATTATTATTATTATTATTATTATTATTATTTTGCCCCAGCCACTCTGGGCAGCTTCCAATATCAAACATAATAAAACATTTAAAGGGCTGCCTTGAGGGGTCAGGTAACTCCATATCCTCCAACATTTCTCAGATGAAAATAGACGGCTTCTGTAAATCCGGAACCATCACTGAAAAATAGGGACATCCCTAGGCTACACACTCAATGTTGACATTTTAAGCAAACTGCATGCCATAGAGTTCCTGCAATATTTGAACCCTCCTCCAGAGCACCCTTAACAAGTGGCATTTTACTAGTATATAGTAGCAATTTAGCATTTAGAAAGCCATTTTTAGAAATGAGATTTGAGTCAAGTCATTCTTGGCTCAAAAGCTTTGTGTGAGGCAAAGTGGCCATTTACACATTTCCTGTTTGGAGGGCGAGTTAGACCACCCAAAAAAACAAAAGCCCACACAGGTTTTCATAAAATGTACAACTGCTCATTTATCTGTAAAGATGAACATTCTGAAACAATTGCCATAATTTAAAGATAAATACAAGATAGCTCACCATACTGTGGAAGAACATAAAAAGAGCTCTGCTGAACCAGGCCAGAGGCCTAGCAAACCTAGCAGCCTTTAATCACAGTGGCCAACCCGATGCTTGTGTGGAAACCTAAGTACAGTACTCATTCTCTCACCTGTGAGTCTCAAGCGAGTGATATTTAAAGGCATAGCTCCTTCCACAATGGAGGCCATAACATTGTAACCAAGTCACCTGTGAGCCTCACTTCACTGCCAAAATGGTGCTGTGAGGGGTGGCTTCAAGACCCCAGCTTATCCCTCCTTAGGGTTCTTTTTATCTTTACTCCTTACTAGGGCCAGATAGCCCTTCAAACAGAATACTCCTTTTCAGTACTCCCCCCCCCAAAAAAAATGTTTAGGGATACTCTCATTTTGACTCAAGAAAACCACCATTTTATAGTTCAGATCGGGGGGGAAATAAATACAGTAAATGGACAAAAGTACAGAGATTCACTAAATGTTTAGGGGTATGCATGCCCCCCAGATAAAAAAAAAACACTGCTCTTTTCAAACAGAAGGCTGTCCTCTGTAAAGGGATCAATTCCAGCTAAAGTCCCCTCCTTTCTCACAGATTCTCTTGGGCCCTCTTGCTAGTTTCTCTGCCCTCAGAGGCTCAGGGTAGGGGTGGCCTGGGAGAGGGCATTCTTTGTGGTGGCTTCTTCATAATACAGCTTCTGGAAGATTCCGAAGATGCACCTCTTTACCCTGGCTTTTGACACTTGAGGTGTATATATTTTTAGATCCCACCTTATTTTTTTAATTATCGTAAGTTGTTTTAGACCGTTTTTAACATTGCTTTAATGTTGGAACCCATCGTGGGACCTTAAGGCAAAGGGTGAGAAATCAGTACTCCTATGTAGTGGCCATGTGAGCCCTTAGACTAGACATATTCCATTCTCTCATTACTCCTTCTCCTCTCTAAAAGTGGGTGTAGGGGTGCGCTGATGTAAATTGATTTGGTTGTGCATTTTTTATGTTTTATTTTATGACTACTTTTGTTATGCTGTAATGTATTTTTTTATGTTGTAGGCCACCGTGAGTATGGTGTGGAAAGGCGCCACACAAATAAAATTATTTATCTATATGTATGCATGTAAAGTGGGACGCGGGTGGCGCTGTGGGTTAAACCACAGAGCCTAGGACTTGCCGATCAGAAGGTCGGCGGTTCAGATCCCCACAACGGGGTGAGCTCCTGTTGCTTGGTCCCTGCTCCTGCCAACCTAGCAGTTCGAAAGCACATCAAAGTGCAAGTAGATAAATAGGTACCGCTCTGGCAGGAAGGTAAACAGTGTTTCCTTAGTCATGCTGGCCACATGACTCGGAAGCTGTCTGCGTACAAATGCCAGCTCCCTCGGCCTATAGAGCGAGATGAGTGCGCAACCCCAGAGTCGGTCACGACTGGACCTAATGGTCAGGGGTCCCTTTACCTTTTTTATGCATGTAAAAGGAGAGTAACCATTGAGAGCTTGTCTTTAGTGGCTAGAACTGAGGAGAACTTGTTGTTATATCACATTGGGGCAGCAGAAGCAGCACCTGAAACGTTTGTGACTTTCATGAATTGGAACAAAGATGCCTCTTGTTTTCACAACTGAAGGCAGGGGTGGGACACTTGTGGCCCTCCAGATGTTGTTGGACTCCAATTCCCATCAGTCCCAGCCAGAATGGCCAATGGACAAGGATGATGGGAGTTGCAGTCCAACAACGCCCACAACTTTCCTCACCATGACCTATGGCTAGCATTTTGCTAGGTTAATGCTATCACTGACATGTAGTTAGCCAGCCAAATGGGCCTGAGGGCATGTCTTCATTCAGCCATGTCTGCATCCCATTTTGGCATAGGGAAACTATCACACGTTTTTAAATGATTGACATATAAGGCTAAATGTGGTTCAGAGGGTAATCTGTACTGCTCTAGGCCACACATGGTTTTAGGAACAATGGGGTGAACTTCTCCAGTACCAGAGGCAAGAACAGACCACCTTCCAACGTCATGCATCCTTTTCAGATGAAGGAATACCGGCATTGGAAACTTTTCAAACAACTGTAACACAGTGACATGGTGACCTGTAACTACTAACATCTTTTATTTTAAAGGTTCAGAAACTAGTGTGGAAAGGTTGCCAAAACCACCTGGATTCACGCCATGACTTGGGTCCAGGATGTACTGGGCAGCTTTTGGCAGCCACTACCCTTACCTTCTCAGGTGTGCTGTACACTCAAATGCTAAATTCATCAAATGCTATTAATAAATCATAGGTGAAGACCATTTGAAGTCTAGAGAGAATCAATGGGGAACTCATATAACAAAAAGTGGGGCAGCACTTTTAGGATTCATCCCAGGGAACTATACAACTGCCCCATCCAAAGGCTGTTTGTGATTACAGCTTGTGGATCTATTGTTCCAAGGACTGAAAAAAAGAGATACACAAAAGTCATACTGGATGCACTCTCTGGATGTGTTCTTGGTATTGAATAACATTGGTACAGTATTGAAAAACATTCATCTATGGATTTCTGAGATTTCCATCTAGTTGGCTAGGCTCTTTTTTGGAGGACGTATACAAAAGTCAAATTATGAGGTAGAGCAATCACCAAGGTATTTTAGTCCTATGCCCAAATTACGTTCCCAGGACCAAGAAAATTTCTTTCACCAATTCTGATATAGAGGAATTGCTGCTGTTAGATGAGGTCACCATAAATAGCATCTAATAAATATGAAGATGATCAGAATCCATTCTTTGTATTTCAGATCAAACTTGTTAGCTGTTTTGTCTATTTAACAACTTACTCAGAGGGGTAAGACAGAAAGCTGGCCTATAGATATAAATACATAAACATGACTTTTCCTGGTCACACCAAAATGAAGCGTACAGATTTGTTTTGAATGTTTACCACTTGCATGATGGCTGATTTAACAGCCTACAGTGCTCTTATCTTTGTTTTATACTGCAATTTTGATTGTATAAATATATTTTTATTCGTTATCAGATTTAAGAGCAGCTTATGGTACCTTATATGTTAAAATCCAAACACATCCAGTTTTGACACTCATCGTATTACAGAAATGAGGGGTCTTAAAAAACAAGAGTGCACCAATTAGGAATACGACAAGAAACTGTCTTCAAGCTTACCTCATTTGTGATGAGATCTCCATCAAAGGCATTGCATTGCTGTGAGAACTGAAAGAGGTTTTGAAAGGAAGTCCAGCATGACTGCAGAGGAATGCATCTCAGGAACAGTGAGCACTTACAAAATAATACAGCTCAGTTGTAAGGAGATTGCTTTAATCCTCAGCTTCATGTGGGGCAGCTCTGTTTTCAGAGTTTAAGCACCATTGCATTAGACACAAACACTGCATAGCGCATATGATGGAAAAAGTTCGGACTTCTCATAATATTTATTTGTAGATCTAAACTAATGTTGTGTTTTAACAAATATTATTTGAGGCTATGGCTTCAGGAGCTCTCTAAACCCCTGGAGGGAAAGAAAAGAAAAACCCAAAACCAAGCACGCACACACATTTGTCATCACTAATTAGGTCAGGAAGTTATAGAAGCCAGTACCCCGTCAAAGTCTCAGAGGCACTTGGTGAGTTCAGTGTTAAGTATATAGAATGTAATTACCATGCAAATCTGACAGCGGTGGCTTGTTGTGCCAGCTCTACAGCACACAAGTTCTAAACACACACTGGCACTCATGTTCCTGCACAGCTGACGTAATGGCAATGTTAAAATGGCAAGCAAACTATGATAACATCTCTGTGTTGAGAGTTGTCCAGATTTAGCAGAGCTAAAGGAACCTGAGACCCTATTACAACAGTGTTAAGACTTGACCTTCTGCCAGTCCTTTACTTCTCAGCCTAACCTACCTCACAGGGTTGTTGTGGGGATTAAATGAGGAGCACCTTGAGCTCCTTGGAGGAAAATGCGAGATATGAATACATTAAACAAACAAAGAGGAGCCCCTGAGGCTGGGGAGTCAATCCTAGAGCACACCAAAGTTGGGAAAATGGGATGGAAAAAATTGAGCAAAGCAAAAGGGAATATTATGTTCAGTAACAAGGCAAAAAACTCAAGAACTAAGTAGATGGCAAACAACAGGTTTCAGAAACTTCACCAGTGACCCTTTCTCCCAATGGACTGGACTGAAAATCAGAGCTCCTCCTTTTGGACAAGGCACCCTTTTCATGTATTTTCTTTAATATTATTTGCAGACTTCCTTCTGACTTATTAATGTGGCTAGACTGTAGCTTACTGGCTGGAAAATTGGACTAAGGGTGCAAGAGAATGGGATTCTAGCCTTATCTCAGACCTTTCCTGAAGCTTAGTAAAGTCACTCTACTTCTGTTAAGCTTTATTTACCTTCTTACCATGTACACAGACAGTATTTTATACCAGCATATTCACCAAGAAGTTTAAGTTGGTTGCTAGAATTTGCTTTTCCCATCAGATGCAGGAGAGAGATGTGTTTTGCCATCTAATGGGTGCATATTTAGGAGAATACATGCTTCAATGTGAGCTTCCTACAATAAAGCTTTTAAATTTTAGTCTAAATTCTGTTACTGTACGTTATGTGATTTTGATTTAAATATAGTTACAGGGCAGATTACTCTGAATGTACTAAGGGTTTCAACTGGGATGCGGGTGGTGCTGTGGTCTAAACCACAGAGCCTAGGGCTTGCCGATCAGAAGGTCGGCAGTTCGAATCCCCGCAACGGGGTGAGCTCCCGTTGTTCCCGCCAACCTAGCAGTTCAAAAGCACGTCAAAGTGCAAGTAGATAAATAGGTACCGCTCCGGTGGGAAGGTAAACTGCATTTCCGTGCGCTGCTCTGGTTCGCCAGAAGCGGCTTAGTCATGCTGGCCACATGACCCGGAAGCTGTACGCCAGTTCCCTCGGCCAATAAACCAAGATGAGCGCCGCAACCCGAGTCATCCGCGACTGGACCTAATGGTCAGGGGTCCCTTTACCCTTTACCTTTACCAAGGGTTTCAGTGTTTTCCTCTTCTAGCTACTGTGCTTAATAAAGGTTATACTGTACTGTAAAGAATACAGTACTCAGTTTTTCAAAAAAAAATTGGGCAAAACTGCTGGCTCTTTGGTTACACAGCCCATTGATTGACACAAAAGCCCTGTCTATTGCTGACATTTACATTGGCGCAACATACTTTATTTCAGTTCCCTGCAGTTAGTTCATATTTTTCGCTACACACAGATCTTTATATGGGAAATAGTATTTTTGAAATGAATTTCACTGAAGGGTGTAACTTAGCTGTAACTACAATCTGAAAGTGTAGCCCATACATTCACACTATATGGATATTATATAGTACATTGCACAGCAAAATGATTTCAAGTCATA